TCGATGGTTCTCTTGTCGATACCACCACACTTGTAGATCAAGTGGCCGGTAGTGGTAGATTTACCAGAGTCGACGTGACCAATAACAACGACGTTAACGTGAGTCTTTTCTTTTCCCATTACGAATGTACTAATTAAAAGATCAGAAAAATTCTCATGTGGGAATGTCTCCTCTTTATATAGTGAAAAAAAATTTTTTATTGCCAAAATTATTCGAGTCGTCTGCGTGCCAAAAATTACGCGCATGAACGATACCCTGGTGGGCTATCCAGCTTTGGAACGAAGATATCGCTGGAAAAGTTAGCGCAGGAGCTTACAAGCATAGCATAGACACCTACGGCGAGTTGAAACTAAGCATGGAGCTTGTCTGAGACAGCTAGAGCATGTCCTTGGATACGTTACCCGGCCTTCTAGAAAGAACCTAAAAGAAAAAAAAAATTTCATGGAGAAGATAAGAGGGTAAGGGTGCCTAGCTTTGGTTGGAATAGGGGTTGTTCGATCGACTGAAACCTCACAGAACAAAGAAATGGGGTTCCAGAAGCTTGGCCCTGATTCTTGCTATTGTAAATCCATTAGTAGTGCCATCTTATAACTTCATTGTAGCTGGAACGTGGAGACGATCCACCTGCCGTCGATCGACGTGTGCCCATTTTCTTTCGCGCCAAGTGAAAAATAAGGAGCCTAAATAAATCTATCCCTAATCATGGCAACAGTGTCTTTGGGGCTGAATGAAACCGACGACCATTCCATTTCCAACAGCGTATCGACTGTTTCAAAAAGACGAAAGCGGAGAAATGGTAGTTTGAGGCTCAGCAAAAGTCCTGCTCCCAACCCTAGGCTTCTCAATGTTTGGGGAACGTTACAGCTAAATACCAACCCTGTTATGCAATTCCCGAAAGTCGCCGCAATCCCGCCGTCCTTTATACACCATGACAAAGAGCAAGCTGAGCTGCACAGCCCAAATAGCCTAGAAGGTAATCTACATAGTTCAATGCTGAAGTCAATCATGAAACCAAACAAATTAATGGACGAGGAGCAACTGGGTAAAAAAACGGTTTCGTTCAAGGACGAAGTATCAGTGAGAAGCAATTCTTTGAGAAGCATGCAGAAGGCTGCTTCAACTCATGTACTCGCTGCCCATACAAATCGCAATTATAGGGACTCTCCAGTTCGTTCAAAATTGCTGAACAACAATTTATTCCAGAGACCGACGAGCAAAGAACTAGAGCAGTTCCGAACGGAACCTTCAGAACTGGACATGCTATGTTTCGAGCCCGAGCATTCGACGCCAGACGACGCAGACCACACTTTAGATAGTGTGTGTGATTCCGAGAAGCAATTGAGCCAAGAAAGCCAAAAGGGGGAAGAAAAGTCAGAAGAGCTGGCTACTGATCATGGCGAGGCTGCACATCAGAACTTCTTTTATGAAGTGTCTGATATCTTCAGTGACTCGAAGAGGTCCTCGGGCACCAAAGAAGCAGTGGAAACAAATGAGTACTGCGTTTCAAGCGACGTGCAGGAAAACGATGTGGACGAAATCGATCAGCAAATAAAAACATTAAAGAAGAAAAGAAAGGAGATCATCAAGAAACAGCGCCAAACATCTTGGTTTCATGGAGGGCTGTTAGGATTTATCAGATCAAAGACCAAATATAATCCTCCCTCAACGCCCAACGAGCACACCAACACAAGTTCTGACATTATACAGGCTCTCATGGAGTTGGAGCAAAACCGCGATGGAACGCAAAGCAGTACAGGGGAGTACTCCAATGGTACCACATTTTCATCTAACTTGGACACTCCCAACAGCTCTAGAAGACTCAGTATTCGAGAATTTTTCAAAAAGAGACAACGAACCCCAATCAATACCAGTGCCTCTGAGCCTATAGCATCACTTTTCAAAAATCTACAACTCCAACCACTGAATCTGGCTCCAGAAACGAGACTAAGCCGCAGCAGATCTGAGGAAGATATTAGCGCTTTTTTTAATCGAGCAGCTGAAACCATCGCTATCCACGACCGTATGCCATGATACCAGAATCAGTTTAAGGTGAGGAGCAACTCTCCAGTACCATTTCGAAGCCAACTTCACTATCGTGCTAAAACTAGCTATTTCGCATTCGATTTACATCACCCAATATTTTTCCTCCAGGCGTTGATGCATGTTGATAAGCCGTCAAAAATTATTCGACAGAGAAATAAACCGATTTGATGAGTTTCCACGAGGTGCTTGACAATGCCACGCCCTCAAACTTCCCGAATGGCGGGACACGCAGAGGATCAGTCACTCAAATGGGTAGTCCAGTGCTGTGGAGGAAACGTAGTGATTCGTTATCTTCCTCTAGCGAACACGAGTCTACGTCATTTTTGAGCTCAGATACGACCCGCGATTATGGGTCAGTAACTCAAGACTCGTACATCCAAAGCAGAAGAGCGTCTCTGCTTTCGTCAAAGCTTAATGTTCATGGTTTCACTCCAATAAAAGCCGACGATGATGGCACACTTCGTGAGGTGGAAACTACCATGAAAAGTGAAACTGAGCTTCTAATCAAAACCTCGATTCCACTGATCGCCACGTTTCTTCTGCAGTACTCATTGACGGTTGCATCTGTTTTCAGCGCCGGAAGCCTTGGTTCTCAGGAGCTGGCTGCCGTTTCGCTGTCCAATTTGCTGGCCAACATTTCGTCCTACGGTATTATTCAAGGAATAGCCTCATCCTTGTCGACTTTGTGTCCGCAAGCTTTTGGTAGGAGAGACTACGAGGCTGTTGGCTTGAACGCCCTGCGCTGCTATATGATGCTATGGGTAATGTTTGTTCCCATCTTCATTTTCTGGTATTGGGGTTCTTACCCTTTACTACGGGCAATAGTCCCCGATGACGAGCTGTGTAAGCTGGCAACCAGCTACCTGAGAATACTGATATACGGTGTTCCCGGATTCATGACCTTCGAGGTGCTGAAGCAGTTTTTGCAAGCCCAGGGAGCATTTCAAGCTTCAACGCTAGTCCTGGTGATCTGTGCTCCCTTGAATCTACTACTTAACTTTGTGTTAGTTCACGATAGCCGTATCGGACTAGGATTCGTTGGAGCGCCCACTGCGGTGGTGATCACAAACTGGTTAATGGCCCTTATGCTACTATACTATGCCTACTTCGTTCAAGGAAGACAATGCTTTTGCCGTTTGTCGACAAAAGTGTTCACCAACTGGAAGAGAGCAATCACCTTGGCTGCACCTAGCGTCCTCATGATTGAAGCTGAGTGGCTGGCTTTTGAGATCCTTTCTGTCGCCTCGTCACGGTTTGGCACCGCCTCTCTGGCGGCCCAATCAGTGGTTTCGACTACTTGCGTGACAATTTACCAGATTCCGTTTGCAATCTCTGTTGCAGCGTCAACGAGAGTTGCATGGTTCATTGGATCTGCTTCGAAGGATGCCGCCAAGAAGGTCACGAGAGCCGCGTTTTTGGTCGCTGCCATTTTTGGGGTCTTCAATGCGTCTGTTTTGGCCACTTTCAGGTACAATATCGCATCCCTATTCTCGCAGGACCCGAAAGTTATACAGCTAGCAGGACGAGTGCTCATTATTGGTGCCATATATCAGGTGAACGATGTTGTTTCTTGCGTGACCGCTGGTATACTTAGAGGCCAAGGAAGACAGTACATTGGAGGCTGGCTGAATCTATTCAGCTACTACTGTGTCGCCCTTCCTGTGGCATTTTTGCTGGCTTTCAAATTTAGGCTCGAGCTATTTGGTCTCTGGATCGGTATGGTCATCGCGTTATTCTTCGTTTCTGTGTGTCAGAGCTACTTTGTGATTACGAGTGACTGGGAATCTATAATCAGAATGTCCATTGAGGATGGGATGGCCCACGAATCTGGCAATTCATTGAAACCAGCAAAGAGCACCAGTAGCTTTGTGGACTATAACATGCTGAGTCCTGCGATTTCGGTGACAAGTGGATGAAGAGATATCACTACATGCGCACGTCGATCGGCGCGCCGGAATTTTTTATAGTGAAATAGATAGAAAAGGTGGATTTAATTTTGCCACAACTGGGCTTGATAAAGTGAACCTGCTCAATACTTTTGATTAATCTTTTAAGTTAGCAAGCAAATCTGAGCTACAAAAACAAAACAACAATGGCCTGGTTTGGGCGAACGAATTCCAATGTGTCAATCGAAGACAAGATCAGCGAAGCGGCTTCGGAGTCCATTCCTAACGGTGAGATCGATCTTGCCGGAGCACTTGAGATCAGTGACCTGATCCGTTCGAAGCAGGTGACATCCAAAGATGCAATGCGTGCTCTCAAGAGGCGTTTCATGAGCACCAAGAACCCAAATCTTCAAAAGTCGGCATTGAAGCTTATTGACTTCTGCATCAAAAACGGTGGAGAGCACTTTCTGTCTGATATATCATCTAAGGAGTTCATAGATCCAATCGTTTCCACGCTACATGATAAAAATCTGAATCACACGGTGAAGGAATATTTGCTACAACTAATTCAGTCGTGGTCGATCATGTTCAGCACTAACCCGAAATTGGGCTACGTTAATCAAGTATACAACAAGCTTCAGAAAGAGGGATTTCACTTTCCGATGATTACAGACTCGATAGAGAGTACATTGATAGAATCCAAGGTTGCCCCCGAGTGGGAAGATTCTGACGCTTGCATGCTGTGTTCTACGCTCTTTACCTTTTTGAACAGAAAACATCACTGTCGTTCGTGTGGCGGAGTCTTTTGTGGTACACATTCCTCAAACACCTGTGAATTACCGGAACTTGGAATAACCATACCAGTCCGGGTTTGCGATACATGCTACCAGGAGCACAAAGGCAAGTCAAAACAGTCGAAAAAGAGATCCAAGAAAGATACGCCTGCAGGGGACGAAGATGAAGATCTGAAACGCGCCATTGAGCTCTCTTTGAAAGAGTCTGGCGTTCCCATTAACGCTTCCGTTTCTTCAAAACCAGCGCCACAAGCTGCTCAGACAGAGGAAGACGACGAGGAAATGAAGGCTGCCATTGCGGCTAGTCTTGCCGATTTCCAAAAGCAGGAAGCAGCGAAATCTCCACCTGTGTCACAATCAGAGATAGCACCTCAGCCAAGTGGACTTTACTCAAACCTGCTTCCTGAGAGCCAAACCGCAAATTCATTGTATACACCAAGCTACAGCCCTGCCCCCGCAGCTCCACAACCACCGCCGCAAACCTTTTCTCCTCGGCCAGTACCGCAAATCGACTACAACAGCATTACTGGCGTTGAAGATCAGAATATTGTCCTATTTGCCCAGCTTGTTCAGAACCTGAAAGCCGCTCCTGTCGAGAAGAAACTCAATGTTGCCAACGATCAGGCCCTAAAGCACTTGTTTGTTAGCATAAACCAAATCAGACCCAAGCTTGAGTTCCAGCTGAAAAAGGAAGTGTCGAATCTGGAAAAGTATCAGGACTTGTACTCGAAAACTTTCGCGGTGACTAAAATTTACGACGAAATACTACAGCTTAGACTTGCCCAATCACAGCAGATGTACCGGCAGCGCCCTCAACAGGCATACTTTGCACCTCCACCACCGCCAGCAGTGTCGCAGTATACTGCTTCTCAGGTTCCTGGTCCTGTTTCTCAGCAAAACTCCGGCTCCTATAACGTCCAGTATGCTCCGCTGCCACGCCTGGACACTGTCTCCCAGCAGCCTGTCCCGTCATCTCCCTCCCAGTTTTATCCAGCATCGCCTGCTGTGCCCGATCAAATATCTCCCGTGGCCTCGTACACGGAGATTCCAAAGCAAGAGCCCGAAAAACCCAAAGTTCAGGAACCTGTCAACCTCATCGATTTGTAGTGTATAGATTCCAGGCTGTGCAGGCCTCTTCAATATATTTTGCGATAATACTATTTTATCATGAATATACAGGAGCCAGTGCGCAAGCGGACTCGAATAGGATCCGCCTGTGTGAGCTGTCGCAGACGCAAGGTCAGATGCGATCGTGGGAAACCCGCTTGTATGGTAAGTTGCCGGCCATTGCATGTCATTAACCATCACAGGTGTGCATAAAACGGGGCACGGCTAGTGAGTGCAAATATATCGAGCCGGATTGGACCTATGGCCCGGTCTTGGTTCCTGAGCAGCTACCTGATATAATGGTCAGCGATTGCATTCCAGATTCAGCTCCTGAGCCAAAGAATTTACTCAGTGAGCTTGAACAAATGAAGAAACACCTATCAGAGCTGGAACGGAAACTGAGCTCGTCAACTTCACTGGAAACTCCAACAGAGTCTGAGGCAGAGGATGATGTGATTTCCTTCAAAAATACGCATTTCGATTTCGACGTTGATGGCAGACTTGTGTTCGACAACGATATATTTTCTCCCCGGATGCTCTTGATGAAAGACCCACTCACACGCCTCTCCAAGAAATACATGGGAGACATGAAGAAGACTGAGAAGGCGCGCACGGAGTTTCTTAATCTCAAAAATCCCTGGTATGCAAACGAAAAGGAATCGAAGGTGAGTGAAGTATTCAAGCAAAAAGCCTTGCACCGGCTGCCATGGATATTGCATAAGGAGACAGAGATGCCTACCGAAGACTCTGTCATCGACATAGATGGGCCTAAAGGTGGTCTGGGAGGCTATTTGCAAAGTGTCATGCCCACGAAAAAATCCACATGGTTACTGCTTGATCGCTTTTTCGAGTACTGGTACCCCCATTATCCATTTGTTGACGAGGAGCATTTCACCTCCTCTATATCTGAGGTCATCGGCGAACGCAGCATGGAGGACGAGCAGATAAACATTATTGGCATTTTTCGAGCCAAGTTAGTCCTGCTCTCTTCGCTATTGTATCTGATCCACCTTGGCCAACTGACATTGTACACGATCAACATGGAACCGATTGCCGAAACGGAGACCGACGAGAACCTAAAGTATCTGGTGGAACATCCATTGAACAGCCGTCTTCTTACTACGGCCTCATATTGCAGCAAATGGAGTGGTATGACGCATATGCCAGCTTTGGCGACTCTACAAAACCTTCTCTATTCCAGAATTGCATTCAGACATTCGCCCATGGAAGGAGAGCATTCGGATTTGGAGTCCTTCGCTGGATTGGTCGTTCGCATGTCCGACATTTTGGGACTGAACAGAGACCCGACAACTGTAACCAATTCTCTCACACCGAAGCAAGTGAATCTCTGGAGAAAGTTGTGGCTTGGTGTGTGGACTGTTGACTCTGGCTGGTCCTTCCAAAATGAGAGCTTCGCACCAAGGATCCACAAATTTAACACCAAAATGCCGGTCTTCCTTGGAGAAACGAACGCGAATTGCAAAAACGAGAGCGCGGAGAGAGGCTCTATTGCTGTTCTTCAGAGTCGCGCGAAGCTTAACAGGCTATTCGCCGCGCTCATGGAGACAGTCACAGACCTCAGCGGGTCGGTCAAAACCTCTTGTCTTCTTGAACGGATCAGGGATTTGGAGACATACCAGGAAAATATGACCGGTGATATAGTTATGTTTCTGAATCCGGACACACTTGGCTCAGAGGACAAAGTTACTCAAATTCAGCGAATCAACGGATGCATCCAATATCTCGAGATAAAGCACATGTTGGTGTATCTCTACTACCATCTGTTTCTGCAATACGAGCTGAAAAACGATATCGCAAAGTCAAAGCATTTTTTGATGAAAAGCATACGTTCCTTGATGTCTATCTTGATCTTCGGACGCAGCTCCATATTCCGCCTTGGTGATTATTTCGGCCATGGGAACGAACACGTTGTCGCCCAGCCATTGATGCAATCTGTAGGCAGAACGCGGTGCTTGTATTTCATGCTTTTGGTGCGCATTAAGCATGTCACTTATACAAAGTTCATTCAGGGAAACACCGAAACAGAGGTGGTGGCCACCTGCAATAGAATAGTGGAAACTGTCGAGAGTTCAGTGGGTGAGGGACTGCAAATCCAGGGAAAACTGGCAGCGACCCATTTCATTGCCTGGTTTGCATGCAAAATCCACTCCTTTGTTTATGCAAAAGTGTACCCTGCAATGGTGGAGTCACTTTTCAACACAGCGAAAGAACCAACGGAGGAACATGAGAAGCTAAATGTCAACATAATGCTCAGGTGGAAGAAAAGTGATTTTGAGGATCTGGCCGAACTGCTTTCCAGGAAATACGAGTGTGAGGACGTCTTTCTTGGCTGTTCCTTTCCGAATCATTCAGAAAAGACGTCAGATGCTGCTGGCGCAATTGATTCTGGCTGGATTGGAAGGTTGCTCACTAACAGGTTGCATCCATACATTGAAGGAAACCCTCTCATTTCGGAGTTTCGGCAGGCTTTGAGACCGGATCAAAGCGTGAGTAGTACAGACACCACTCCGGGAACCGGTCTCGAATTTCTGGGCTCTGACTTGAACATTGATGAGCTCTTCACAAATATTGATAGTTCCATTTGGAATACTTTCCCCCTATAAAGCACACTTTTTGCTCTTGTATATAGTTCATGTGCACAAAAATTGCATTCCCTTAATTTATTTTTGGTATTTATTTTTCGGCATTAGATATATGCTCTGTTTGCTTCTGTTCGGTGGAATCTCGTTTGCTAAGCTCATTTGCCCCGACTCAAATCCTTTGAATTGCTACCCTGAGCTTTTTGAACCTTCTGTGGATTGGAGACCCGTCAAAGAAGGACAAATCATTCCGGGCGGACTGGACATACGGCTGAATATAGACACGCTTGAACGGGAAGCTAAACTTACGGGAGATATCCAGCCAAACGAGAACGGCATTGTGATTGTTTCCGAAGACACCATGGGGCCAAATGAAGAACAAAACTTGTCTGAGGCCCTTGGGTACGTTTCAAAGTTTGTGAATCATGGATTTGGCGATTCAGCTACCCTAATCAAAAAACTGGAATATATTTCTGATATGAGCTCCGACTCCGACTATGGTGTCGACGCCATGCAATTCATACAGCCATTGATCCGACTATCTGGATTGTATGGCGAAGAAGGATTGAAAGAAATTAGGGAGGAAGATCGCGATGAAATTAGGGAGCTGGCATCGATAATACTGGCATCTTCTTTAAGAAATAATGCAGAAGCACAGCGGATGTTTTTACAGTATTTCTCCAATCCTATGGATTTTGTCGACCATCTTACAGCGAAAATCGATAATGACGTGCTCCTGAGGCGGAGACTCGGGATACTTGGGTCTTTACTGAATAGCGGATCATTTTTTGAAGAATTTGAATCTATCAAAAAAAAGCTGCTGATTTTGTATCCTCAGCTGGAAAATCAAGCCACCAAGCAGCGGCTCATCCACATCATAGGTGACGTCATGGGAGGCGAAGAGGACAACGACATAGATCGTCAGTTTGCCGATTTTGTGCAAAATACACTGATTGCCCAAAAGGCCCTTGACGACGGCACATTGACACTGTTGGATGAACTGAAGAAACTGAAGCTGAACAACAGAAATCTATTCAAGGCCAAGTCTGAATTCTTGGAGTGGCTGAACGTGCAGATGGAGGCGTTGAAAGCAGCCAAAGACCCGAAGCTGGAAGAGTTTCGATCTCTTCGACACGAGGTGTTTGGCAACCCAAAAGCCATGCGAAAAAGTTACGACGAACTATGACCGGGACGCATCACAGAATATTTGACAAGCTTGAGTCTTAAAAGAGCCAAAGGTATCAAACGATGACAAATTGTCACGATAACTATGAGAATCAGGTACAGCTTGAGGTTGACTTTGAGATTGTAGCTTTCCATGACATCCTTGCCAGTATTGAATAGACATTGGTCATTATTCACGCGCTCTTCTTCTGTGCAGTACAGTTTCAGTTTCTCAGTGAAGACGAGGTTGCTTATCGACATCACGCAATAGTGTGCTGGCGAAAGATAGTTGAGTGCTCTCAGGAAGCTGTCGAGTGTCATAGCTAGGAGACCAGCCATAGCAACACCGACGGAACATATAATGGAGATGACGTTGAGCGCAAAGCCGGGATGATCGAACATGGTGTTGAACGAGAGTCCCACAGATTCTCCTGCATTGATGACAAGAGCGGATGTGTACACCATGGTGAAAAACAAACCAGCATCGTATTGAAAACCTACGACGAACACCAGGAACACGGAAAACACTAGAGCATTGAATATTTCGAATGGGATCTCGATGAGTGTGTAGCTGACAAAGAACGAGTACAAATTAGTAGCGTCGTCGGTGTACTCCTCATAGAAGAAGTCTCGCTCGCGCGGATACGCAGCCATGTTGTTCAGCATTCCAGTGAAATAAATGGATACGATCTGCTGGATCAGACCTAGTCTGTTCTGTATGCTGGTGTTGTTGTGTTTGAGCCTTGCAAAAAACAGACTCAATATAACACCCATACCGATAACTTGCGTGCATCTTGCAAACAGGATGTTTTTATCGCGGATTAAGCTGAGGACCTGTCGTTTCGTAAGCACATACAGTCCAGTGACAAAATCAACAGGCTGCTTGACAAAAGCATGAAATTCAGAGTACAGGTCTGCCTTTGATGTGAGCTTTCGACGAGGAGTTATGTGAAGGTTTTCGGGTTTCCAGGCACCGACAATGTGCCGCACTCGTTCTCTTGTGCGCCTCTCTACTTCCTCATGGGTCGTGCTGTACGATATCATGTCGATGACATAATCAGCAAGATTGGTGAACTTGGGGATAGGATACCCGATAGAGGTGAAATGGTCGACCAGTTGTTCTTGCGTGCCGCTGAAGGCCACACGGCCGCCCTTTGCAAGCAGCAGAATGCGGCCAAAACCAGAGAGAGTGCGCGGCTGGTGGATGGTCATTATGACTGTTGTTCCAGAGCTTGCCAGATGATCTAGGCATTCCAAGATCGAGGAGGCAGTGAACGAGTCCAGTCCAGACGTGGGCTCGTCCAAGATGAGCATCTTTGGCGACGACAGAAGCTGAATGGCGATGGAGAGCCGGCGCTTTTCGCCTCCAGAAATGCCCTTGATCAGTTCGTTACCAACCAATGTATCGGCACAATCCCGAAGACCGACCTGTAGTATCAGTCTGTCCACCAATGCGTTGATCTGAGAAGAGGACAGTTTGGCTTTCGAGAGTCTCATCCGGGCTGAAAAGCGTAATGTTTCTCGCACAGTGATGGAAGGCAGGAGATGGTGGTCATCCTGCACAACGTACGAGCAGATAGGTCCGATGGTATCGAATTCTGTCTGGCAGTCGTTCAAGTATACCACTCCTGAGGATGAGTACTGGGTGAATAAAGTGGATTTCAGACGGCCGCTCATCAGGTTCAGCAGCGATGTTTTCCCAGAACCAGAGGGGCCCATTATGATGTTGAGTTTTCCCGACTGGAAGTTGCAAGACACATTGTCCAGGATCTGTTTTTTCCCCCTACGGGCCAATTTGTTTTTCACATACAGATTCACGTCGCAGACGCGGACTTCCAGGGGCTGATCAGGCTGAGGAAGTACCGGGGCGCTTTCTGTTGGAGTGGCCGACGTCGACTCGCGTCCTTTCACCTCTTTGGCCATGGTCACATCCTCAGGCTTTATTTTCAAGATTACGGCAGCTACCACGAAGGTGCCGACAAAGAATGCAATCAGGACACCAAATGGAAGCGCTATCCAGTTCTCCCAGAAGCCCAGACTGTTGGTGATGTAGGAGCCCGTATACGCACGGCAAATGTCCTCCACATCGGGCGAGTCAGCGTACTCTTTGAAACAGTCGCCCCGATAGCCTGTAAATTGGTTGGAAATAAGAAGTCCATAAGAATACCACTGGTATGCGACGTACTTGCACCAGCGGACATACACAGGCATCTGCTTTGCGTTCACATACATTCCGTTAGTCATCGTCTGGAATGTGAAGTTGAGGTTGCAAATGAGTGTAGCCAGAGCGACGTCTCTGGTGAGGGAGGCGGCCAAGGTTGCGAATGCCATAGAGTTCAAATGGAATAGTATGTTTGCGGCAAAGAAACGAAAGAAATAGATGGGCGAGTCCGTTCGAAGACCCACCATGAAGTAGGTGCACAGAGAAAACAAAAGAGGTATGATTATGTCTTCGGAGAAGAGTTTGGCGATCCTGCGTGCCAGCAGAAACCCAGGAATAGAGATGCAATGCTCGGACCGTTCCCTATCATACACTCGTAAGTCCAAGGAACACAGCCGGTAGCTTTCGTAAAGCAGGAATAAGTACGCCTGCAGAGACGAGACAGTGTACAGAGAGCCTTGTATGGAGCGCAAACCAACTAGGGAACTTCCTGGCTTGAAGTAGAGCCATCCGGTCATCAGACCAAGAAGAATAGCTTCCATCAGCAACGCTGCATAGCCAATTGGGTCTCTTCTTTCGAGAATAAAGTTTCTTCGAACCAAAATACGAAGCTCTCTCCAAAAAGGGGCCCGCCCCACCTTTTGGAAGGTTTCGTCACCATTATCGGAGCTTTTATCTTCATACGCTGGTAGATTAATCTTTGCCATTCGCTGCTTCCACTGCTCAATAATGGAGAACACGCGTTTCGAAGATATAGCTTCCTGTTCAGGGTTTCGCGAGTCAACGCTTGTCGTATCTATAAGAAAGTCAGCTGGATTGACATCCTCTGGAATAGGGTATCCTAGAGACGCGAAATGATTAAACACGTTTTCGTACGTGTCGCCATAGCACATGTGTCCCTTGCTAAGAATGTAGACCTGGTCAAAAAGCTTAAAAATGTCTGCTCTGGGCTGGTGGATGCTCAAGACAATGGTTTTGTCCAGTCTTTTTGTAAGCCGTTTGAGCGATTCACAGAGCAGGTACGCATTGTAACTGTCGAGACCCGTAGTCGGCTCGTCCAGAAATAATAACGATGGATTGGAAACCAGCTGGATAGCAACACTGAGTCGTCTTTTCTCACCCCCACTGAGCCCCTTGTTTACACGGTCTCCCACAAGAGTGTCACGGCACTCTTTGAGTCCGAGCTCCATGATAATCTCGTTCACAAGCTTTGCACGAGCAGTTTTCGAGGTAAGTTTGGGCAGTTTCAGCTCAGCAGCGAACATGAGGGTCTCGAAACAGGTCAGATTAGGAATGAGAATATCCTGCTGAATCACATAGGCGTTCCTAATATTCGAGAGGTCTGGGGAATTGTTATAGGTCACTGAACCCTCCTGAATAAGTGTTGAGCTTGTAATTTGTTTACCCGCAAGCCGGTTCAGAAGTGTCGTTTTTCCCGAACCAGACCCTCCAATAATACATGCAAGAGTGTTTTCTGGAATGTGGAATGACATGGGATGCAATATCTGTTTCTTTGCTGATTCGCTTCCCCGTTTATTAGCGTTTCGCCCAAACATCTTGCTAGCACCCTTGCGAGCTGATATTTGGAGATTGTGGACATTGATGCTCACAGGGCGCGTTTTAGTGAAAGATATATTCTCCTCTGTATCCACATAGCTCGGATCATTCAAGGGACTGTATTCTAAAGGCTCGATGCTTCGAGACTTTGATATATCACTCGTCTTCTCCGACATTAAAATCGGAGTTTTAGTAATATAGGGCGGTGCAAAAAATATTATCGTAACTATAATACACCTAGCTTGCGTGCTTTATACGCGGTTGGCTTATCCAAGAGTCGACGCCGGTTCTGGGAACCTCCTTGTCGGCATATAGTTTGCGTAGCAGCTGGATGGAGTCCTGGTCCAGCGTGTTAGAGGTCACGCCTCTCGGTTTAGCCGGGGATCGCTCTTGTAGCTGCAGTTCCAGATCTCGTATCCGCTGCTGACTGGCTTTCTCCTCTTGGATTTTGAGTTGCAACTCACTCTTTATCTCTTCGTACTGGCTTTTGTAGTAAAGGTTCTGGTCGTCTGACGTGAGCCGTTTGGAACGCGCTTCCATCTTGAGTCTCTGGTTTTCCAGCTCAAGCTCGCTGATCCTGTCGCTCGCATCTTTCTTGAGCTTAGAGAGCTCTGTTTTCGTGTTGTTGTATTTAGTGTGAAGATCGTAGTACCCGTCGAATATTTCCTTGTTTGCGTCGAGCTCCCGCTTGAACTCCTCGCGTAGAGCCTTGTATTTTTGAGCAAGCTCGGCATTTTCTGTCCGGAGCTGTTGCAGCTCGACATTTTCGGTAACCAGATCAAAGTCGCTTATGAGCTTGCTGATTATCTGATTGTTCTGTTCTATGTGCTCGGCAAGCCCTCCTCCAACGGGCTCTGCAATAGGTTCTGGAAACTCACCAGGAACATGGTCGTTCCGCTGCCAGCGTTCGCGGCTCATCCTTATTCTTTCTAGAGTGTCGTTGATTTTCCAATCGTCATCCAAACGTGACGGCGTCATAGGAGGCACAATTGCAGAGCTTCTGCGGCTTCTTGTATCATCCATGTCATCATCAATGGCTAGGTCGTCGTCCCCGTTTAGATATCGTCCTTCGCTATTCAGGTAGGTGTTGTATTCAGTTACATGGTCTTGATCCTCAATTGGAGTTTGGGTATTCAGCGGACTGGGCGACGGTCCAAATATGCTATTGTACACTTTGCCAAAAAGCCCTCGGCGTCGAATGGTGGTTGTATCAAACATACGCGTATTTGTTTTGGATCTTCCCTACTTAAATCTGACAGAAAACAATAAAAAAAAAAGGGCCCATATCTTTTCTTCAAATAAAGGAATGAGAGAGTTGCTTCTACCTGTTCTGCTGCTCTGCGCACTTTGTAGAGCATCAGTGCATTACCCTTTTGAGGAGTCATTGGAGCTTAGGCCTTTGGAGCGCAACAACCTGCTTGCATCGTTCGATTTTAAAATCAACTCTACGGAGTTCGAGTTGTACGAGCCAGAAGACAAGACGTTCCATTATTCAACATTTTCCAAGCTTTTAGGACCCATTCTCCAGGAAACAAACACAAGAGAACTTCACCTTCGGTTCAGCCAGGGATGGTACGACCCTGAAGTTTATGGAGAGCTTCCGTACAAAGGAAAACACGGTGGGGGAACAGGCGTCGAATTGTGGGCGGTCCTTGAAGGCCAGAACGAGGACACTGTCTTCAAGGACTGGATCAAGCTGGCCAACTCGCTGTCGGGTCTTTTCTGCGCCTCCCTGAACTTCATCGACTCTTCATCAACAACCTATCCAGCGACGGTATTCCAGCCAGCAGCTCCTATGTTGGAACAGGGTCTGTCTTTGAAAAATGATCTTTTTCTCTTAAGAAGCGCTTTGCCCAGGGAACCTGTTTGCACTGAAAACCTTACGCCCTTTCTGAAACTTTTGCCAACTAAAGGCAAAGCAGGTATCTCGTCATTACTCACCGGACACAAAGTTTTCAACTCGCAGTGGTCCTCTATGTCAATTGATGTCACCACCCACTGCTCAGGAACAAAGTGCCATTACGAAATGGAACAATCCATCAATCTGATATTAGATGTGCCAATGACTCTGGAACGCAACAGAATGCCTATTCCCAAGCCCACCCCTGGCTCAGAGCTCAAATGCGACCCAACAAAACCTTTTGATGCGTTCCATTGTTTTCCTCTGGATGATATCTCGGAGTTGGAGTTCTCGTTGGCTGACCTCTTCGGCAAAAAGATTCAAGGTGGTGCATTACTTGCGTCACAACCAACTAAAATCTGTGCAGACCTGGATTTGGAGTCTTGGAGCATGGAAGTTCAAACTGATAGTCAGATCGTACCTAAAATTGAGCAAGAAAAGACTTGTTTTGTGATCGAAAACACAAATGAGCATGATGTGCTATTCAGAGCAAAAGACACAAAAAAAGTCAAGTCTTTGAAAAGTCCTCCAATTCTTGCATCCAGATCTCTCTCTGGCTACTCTCAGGATTCCGGGGGGTTTAGAATAGATGTGAAAAATCCTACCGATGAAGACTTGGACATCATTATTTTCGAATCGATACCATGGTTTGTCCGCATTTACCTTCACACCCTGACCTTAAACATTAATTCGACAGTCACGCACATTGTATCGGATCCCCAGTTTGACCAATACGTCAAAGGCATAATATATAATCCAGCAATTGACAGACAAAAACCGTCACACTTGGAACTGCTTGTCGGCATCCCTGCACACACGAAGATCAAACTCTCTTTGGAATTTGATAAGGCTATGCTATTATACGCTGAGTACCCACCAGATGCAAATCATGGTTTTGAGATTGAACCGGCAGTGATTTCGGTCCTTGACCGCAACTCTCATAATGTAGTCTACGAAATGAGAACTACTACAGCACTACTAACGATTCCGACGCCCGACTTTTCGATGCCTTATAATGTCATTATTTTGACTTCCACAGTGATGTCGTTGGCTTTTGGTTCAATCTTCAATCTGTTGACAAAACAGACAGTGACAGAGGAAGAAGCAGAATCGAGGGTGAAGGAAAGTAGGATTACCAGATTGAGATCTAGAATCAAAGAACGCGTCCAACGCATCAAAAGTTTATTTAGACGTTCATAATGCATTATATTTTATTCCTCTTCCTTTGGTCGTCCATAAAGTCTGTGATCTTTGCTATTTGTTTAGCAAGACCACAGGATGACCAGTTAAGATTAACCCAATTCTCAAACTTCGTTGCTAGCAACTTGAGAGGAGCTCCTTGCTCGCATTCTAAATTTTGTGTGTTTAGCAAAATTTTGAAAAGCTCGCTCCATAATTCTCTCTGCCAGTAGCTTGGCATGTTCTCGCGTATCTTATAGTTATTTGAGCTGGTTTTGAGAACCCCCAATGCTTTGCCAAATAATAGCATATGGACAATGTTTGCCAATCCATAATAATCAGGCTCGTGCCTCCAAGAGTTCCAAGTTTCATCTGGAGGATAGGTACCAGCAGATAACTGAGCAGAGAAACGAACATTCTCTGGAAACAGCGATAGATCGATTGAGTTTTCGAAATCAATAAGTTTCAAGTCGTGGTAGCCGGGCTTTGTGTTTGGAGTCAGATTCAAAATACAGTTCTCCGCCTTGAGGTTGGCATGGACTATTCTTATCGAGTGCAGAATATATGTTTGCTTCAGCAGCTGCGCAGTGACGTAAATAACCATGGATTCTTCCAGTTTGATTGACTTTGGTTGCGATGTCAGCTGGATCAAATCCAAGAGGGTTCCGTGTTTCATGTATGGCAGTATAAGATATGACTCGTCCTCGAATTTATAGAAGTCAATAACTCTGATGAAGTTTCCAGGCGCTCTAACTTCCAGTTGCTTGAGTATATAATACTCCCAATCTATTGGAGGTGAACGGACTTTTATCGCTGCAGCTGTTCCGTCTGATTTCTCGCTTAAATATGTACCTGCTTTATCCAAGTTTCCTAGCTGTTTCGTGAAACAGAACGTTTCGCCTCGAAATTCAAGCATTAACTGACGGCTTCCCATTATTGGAGCAGCGTGTGGTTTAAGCAAACTTTTGAGAGTATTAAATTTGTCGCGTTTGGAGGTCGACTGGTGGTAATCTTCATACTTCGAGAGATGCGACGACTGCTTGTACAATAGATTTTTCTGCAAATTGTTGTCAAAGGGGTTGATCAGAACATCGCTGTTTCCAGGCTCGGAGTGAATAGGCTCCTCCAAAAATGGGGAGCTCATTGCACCAGTATCCTCATTTGTGGATTTTTTTGGCGTAGCAGGTGGATGATTTGTAATGGTTTCTGTAATAAATTCGCTGAGCCCTTCGTCCAATGGAGGTTCCTCGTCGTTGACTTTAGTCTCTTTCAATGGCTGATTGAGCATCTGAAGAACCTCTTTCATGGACTGGCGTGAATAAAATGTAAGCGTCGGAGAATTAAGCAATTTGGTTTCATTCTCAGCATCCACTGAAAGTGTGTGTTTCTTTGAGGGTGTTTCTAGTGTGCGCTCCGATTTTCGCTTTTTTGCTAAATAGTACACGCCACGGCTGAGAAGCAACACTTCCATAAGACTTCTTTCGTCCTCTCCATCGGAATATAATAAATCAAGGTTGAAATCGAACTTCTCAGTGCGTTTTCCTGGGTTGTGTATAATTTTGGTGACAGGAAAGCGCAATTCGCTGTCTCGAAATACCTCAAATTTAGGCTCATTCGACTTGAGCACCCCTTGTTGTATGAGCTTTTCCCCTGACCAAGATGCTGGACGTATCACATTTTCCTTCCTCGAATTGTCTATCGTATCAAGATGCTGCCATATTCCCTCACTGGCTGACGAGGGTTTTGACTCCGAATCATTATAAACAGCAAATGTTTTAGAGCTGTGAAGAGACCCTCGTTTTGCCACCGTTTCCAACCCTCCGCCGGATGGATTATGCAAAACACCTAATCCCTGCCTCTTCTGAACTTGGGAGGATTGGGCTCTTCTGATCTTGAAATTTTCGTAGGCACGGATCAGCCTATTGAGGGGCCTGGCTTTTGCGTCAATGCCTGCTTGGTACAACTCCTCTGCCTTTTTGAAATCCTGTTCAAACTCCATGAAGTTTGCAAAGCTCTCGTACAACAGCGAAAGAGATAGACCAATCTTCTTCTTGTAAAGATAATGGAATATGTCTCGTGGGTTATCGCTGAACTTCACATACTCCAGCCAAACCTTGAAATATCGCACCTCGTTTTTGTAGTAGTCATCGTCTTTGAAATCGTGTGTTATTCTTTCGAGCAGCTGAATTAGTCCTGATTCTGTGTTAGCCCCAGAAGGGTAATGAGTGTGAATCCAATCCAAGTACTTTAGGTAAGGCTCTAATGGATCATCTAGGTCTTCAAGCTGAGCGGGATCGAGAGATGCTTCGAATTGATCTCTTTCCCTAGCAAGAATTTCTTTGCGTGTTTCCTTGTTCAAAGATAAGGCTTTCACCAAATTATTGGCAGAACGGCCCTGCTTTAAAGGCTGAATGTTTTCTTTGTCGGCTTCAATACGTGAAAATTCGGTTGAAGAGCCAGAAATGATCGACCCCCCACTATTACCACGCGAACTCATCGCGTCATTAATCATAAACAAACAATTATTTTTTTGTATACAAAAGCGAGTTTCCGTATGATTAGGTAATAAATTCCGATCAGATCTTTATAAGCTACGGTTTGTGTGAATTCTACTTCAAGTTAGCATTAACGTTAATCGAAATGGCTATTTATACCCAGCATTCTAGGATATTTGTGCTATCAACCTAAATATATACATGTCATGCTGCTTGAGCACCTTCCTCGGGATGATTCTGCTGCTCGTTAGGAGGCAACAGATATTTTTTGAAGGCATCATTCTTTTCCTCGAATGGACGTGGCCCCAATAGTCGAATCATATCGTCCCTGGTTAACACTTCTTTGGCGAGCAACTCTTGGGCCACTTTCTCGACTTCATCTAATTTTTCAGTCAAGAGATTTCTACACTTTTCGTATGCCTCATTGATGACTCTCTTAACTTCGTTATCGATGAGCTCGAATGTCTCCTCGCTGAACAGTTTGTGCACTTGTGGTTGTTGACTGTTTGTTTCAAAAGTGATCGTGCCTAGCTTCTTCGACATTCCCAAACGAAGAATCATCATATTTGCCATTTGCGTAATTTTTTTGAAATCATCAGCAGCACCAGTGGTAATGTCATCAAAATTGAGCTCCTCTGACACTCGTCCGCCAAGCGCCATAATCATTCTGTGCTCGAACTGTTCTTGTGAAATGAGATACTCATCACCGGGAAGATACTGCGCGTATCCAAGAGCACCCTGGCCACGAGGGATAATAGAAACCTTTAGCAAGGGGTCAGCATATTGCAGATACCATCCACAAATTGCATGACCTGCCTCGTGATACGCAACTGTTTTCTTCTCTTCCGGCGACAGCACTCTGCTCTTTCTCTCAAGACCTGCAATCACTCTCTCAATTGCCCGTTCGAAATGAACCAGCTTCACCACCTCAGCGTCCTCTCTTGCTGCAATTAATGCAGCCTCGTTACAGCAATTCGAAATATCTGCTCCCGAAAATCCTGGAGTCAAGGCAGCTAACCTCCCTGCAAACTCGTCCGTGACAGGATGTTCAAGCTTGAGCGGTTTCAGATGAACTTTGTAAATTGCCTTTCTTCCCTCAATATCTGGTCTATCAATGCTGATATGTCTATCAAATCTGCCTGGTCTGGTCAAAGCTTTATCCAGAATATCGGCTCTGTTAGTACCAGCAAGAACCACAATGTGGTCAGTATCCTCAAAACCGTCCATTTCGACTAGGAGTTGATTCAAAGTCGCTTCTTTCTCGTCGTTCGCACCCATTGGCCCACTCTCTCTTGATTTACCAATGGCATCGATCTCGTCCACAAATATGATACAAGGAGCTAGCTTTCTGGCTGTAGAAAACAAGTCGCGAACTCTGGAAGCACCAACACCAACGTACATCTCGACGAACTCGGAACCGGAAACCGACAAAAATGGAACACCGGCCTCTCCGGCTGTGGCCTTGGCCAACAAGGTTTTACCTGTACCTGGGGGTCCCGAAAGTATAGCACCTTTTGGAATTTTGGCACCCAACTTCTCGTATTTTTTAGGCTCTTTCAAAAAAGTGACAAACTCCATGATCTCTTCCTTGGCTTCGTCACATCCTGCGACATCTTTGAACTTAACGGTAATGTCCGTTTCCTGGTTGAAAAGCTTAGCTTTGGATTTCCCGATGCCCATGATGTTATTCAAAGGCCCGCCGCCTTTACCATTCGGAGCACGCTTTTGTAACTGCCTAGCAAGATAGTAAGTACCACCGATTAGGATCAGAGTCGGCACGAACGGCATAATGTAGGACAAAATGCTTGAGCGTCGAATGTAAGACACTGGAATACGTTCGTTGTTTGGTATGCCGAGTTTATCTTGGATCTCATCTAATTCTTTTTCAAAGAACTCAACCGAACCTATGGTGAATCCAACTATCCTAGGGTGTTGGGTGACTAGCTCGGCCTCCACAAATGAGCTGTTTATCACCGTAATACGTTTCACCAGTCCTTTCTCAAGAAAGTTGACTTTGAAGTCCTGGAAAGTCATTTGATTGTTCTCTGCACCGGAGTAGCTATTCAACAGCAGAGTGATAACGAGACCAGGAAAAATCCAGTTGGTCCATTTTGTGTTTTTGAAGAAGTCCTGTGGCTGATTGCCAAGATCAGGTCCCTTCTTCTTCCTCTTCTTGTTGTCCTTATTCTTGTCTGGTTCTTCGTTCGGGTTGAAAAACGTTTGCTTAAAACGGGTTTGCTGTCCAGACGAAAATGAACGTACTAGAAGAGGAGCAATCCTTGGAGGCTGCTGAAAACGCACCTTGGCCAGTTCAGGCCGCAAACGTGCTATCGAGCCCCTCAAAAACATATCTCTAAGAACTTGAAGTAATTGCCACTATATTTTTAAAGAAGCTATCTGAGCCCGGGTAACTACCGTAACATAAAAATATGAGTATATTAGATCAAGCGTAGATAGATGGGTAGCGTACTAGAAGGTCTCCTCGTCGCCCATCTTTATATCGTTCTCCTTTCCTGGGCCATCGGTTTGATCTTCGCTAGGAATTTGGAAACCCTCAGTGGTGCTATACAAGATTTCCTGGATGTGAGATACTAGCTGCTCCATGCTAACATCGACTGGCTCAGAGTTTTGCAGCTTCTCGCTGAGATTTTGTGTGAGGATTTCGATGTCTCGTAGTTTATTGAAATAGAAGTTTCTTTCTGTCTCCAAGCTTTCTTGGACCAGCTTCATTTCTTCCGCCTGAGCTCTCAGGTTCTTCAGTTCTTCTTGAAGGCCGGATGGAATGCCAGGGCCATATCCTGAGGATACACGTGAGCTGGAATAGCTCAAAGTTGGCTTTGAATGCAAAGGCTCTCTGACTTTCTGAGCCGATCCAGTAAGAGACGTTCTTCTGCTGCCTGAGTGGCTACCGTTTGCTGACGAGTTGGAAAATACACGCCGACTGCCCGACGACGTTCCTGCGGTCGATGGAGGCAACGGTGCTTTTCTGCGTGCCGTGGGATCGTAATCGTCCAGTTTATTTTCTGACCAAAGCCTGCTCATCCATTGAAGAAATTCCAAATTATCCTGGAGGCGGCATTTCATCAGTCGTTCCACAGGAACTTCTCTGGTAATCTTGTGCCTCGAAAACCCACTCTGCAGAATCTTGTAGTTGGTCAAAGTTTGATAATCTGAGGTGGGATTGAAGTTGACTTTCCCCATCGGCAAGTCTCCAAAAATGGAATCAAATATCTGGCAGTATACGGCTCCGTTACCGCACTGCTCGATCTTGGTATATTTGAGCTGATATGTGGTATTAATCCACTCCAGAAGCTCTGATCTAGAAGCCCCGACAGCCATAAGAGAAAGTAAACAACGCGAAGATTTTCGACGCGACGGTAGTCTTCAAAGTAATATATAAGGGAGGCTCCTGAACGTATCATTCAATAAGTAAGGTAGACACCAATAAATAAGCTATAGTCGGAAAGGGCCCTATATAGAAAGAATCCTAGCTGCCCGTGTTCTCATAGCTGGGCTTTCTTCTTTCAGGGAGCGCCGAAAAATCCCGAATCACATTGAATTCGCAATTTGCGTTTTGGCTGAAAAATCTACCGGGAATTCCGTCATTGTCAATGAACGAAGCCCTATGGTCTCTTCTCTGCGGCATTGTCAGAAGCTCAGTTATGTCCCTTTGTTTTTCCACCCGTGCTCGGTAGGCCAAAAAGTTCTCCTCCAGCTGCCCCCAGACGTTGGGTGAGTGAATGCTCGAGACTAGCGACTTGCCATCGTGCTTCTTCTTGTAACTCTCATTAGCGTAGTAGTATCCAAAACCAAGTGCAATAGCGGCTGCTCCGGTGAGTGTCGATCTATTCACAATGGGCTCCTCCTCGCTGAGGGGTAGCTCGTGGTGGTCGTCATGGTCGTGGTGTTCCTCTGAGTGTCCATGCTCGCTCTGATGAGAGCTATAGCGACAAAGCAGCGGAAGGGTGCCTTTAATGCTCCTTTGAAGAAGTCCTGTTTTGGCAGAGCGAACAGTTGACAGCATCCTTAAAACAAGCTATAAGAAATTGGGGTAAATTTTGTGGGCACATAACCAAGCTGGTTTTTCATCAAGAGAATGAAAATTACTTTAGTTTGTTGATGAGCAGCGAGGAACCCGAGAAGATTGGCGAAGAGCAGGTTGACGATTTGTTTGGGGATGCCAGCGATGAAGAAGTGGTAGATGAAACAGCAGTCAACGTGTCAGATGAGGAAAACAACGATGTGCAGAAAAGTGACGACGACGACGACGACGACGAAAAGGAGGTAGAGGAAAAAGAACCTACCCGTGCAGAAATATCGATTCCCAGACATCCACGATCACATGTTCCCAGTAGAGACGCTATGGTGTTTAGTCTGCCGCGGTATCTCTTTGTGGACCCCGAACCGTTTGCTCCTACCACGTTTGAATCTAATATTAACGAGTTCCTGAAAGTTTCCCTCAAAGACAGCACAAACAAGGAATTGCAAGATTCTCTGGAGTTCAAAAAATTAGAGGTGCAAAATACGATCAGGTGGCGATATGCAAAGACGTCGTCGGATGAGCTTTATAAACAGTCCAACGCCTCAATCGTCGAGTGGGAGGACGGTACGATGTCGCTGAAGATTGGAGACGAGTTCTTCAACATCAAACTCAACAACAACGAAGACGAGATTTTGGTGGCGGAGAGCGGCGACCTGTATCTCCCGGTGACGGAACTCAAGAAAAGCATTCAAGTTCTTCCTTCCTCGACCAGCTCCAAAGCACACAAGATTCTCGCCAACACCTTGCAGTCTAATTTACGCTTGAGGAAATCGAAAAAGATCAATACCATAGTCACCACTGAGGATCCAGAGCTCAAGGCAAGAGAGATGGAAAAGGCCCAGAGAGAAATCGACAAGGCTAGACGGAAGCAGCTTGCCAAGCTGGCAATGGAGGAAGAACGACAAGAGCGCGAGTCCAGGACAACGAGTCTGGCACATTCCATTGACGCTGCCGAGGACGAGGACGAGCAGGACGACGGTGAGTACAATGACAAGGACGACTTTGTTGTCAGCGACAACGAGCAAGACTCGGGCCTGGATGACGACGAGCTTGATAAAGCTGCTGAGAAGCTGAGAAGCGTCAAGCGTGCCGGAGAAGCCATATACAGGGAAAGATCCCAGGAAGTTGAGGAAGAGGAAGACGACGAAGGTGCAGTTGTGCGGAAGAAGCGCCGTGTGGTGCTTGACGACGAAGAGGACGAGGACTAGTGTACACTAATATACGACATGTAGAAAACTATATAATCCGGGTAACTCTGAATCCCTAGAAGCTCCAGGTACAATTTCTTACACATAAATAAAACAGACATTGCGAAAAAACAGATCTGATTTTCTAGTCATGTCTTGGAACGGTAAGTTGCAAACGCGCCAGAATTGCGCAATCCGAGTCGCTAACCTTTAGCATACACTGACAACCTCGTCGCCACCGGAAAATTGGACAAAGCTTCCATCTACGGAGCTGATGGCTCCTCTCTGTGGGCCACCACTAACAACTTCCAATTGCAGCCAAACGAGGTGCAGGAGATTGTCCGCGGATTCTCCGATCCTTCCCAGCTGTACGCATCGGGTTTGCACATCCAGGGCCAAAAGAACGTTTGCATTCGTGCGGACCCGCGGTCAATCTACGGCAAACACGATGCCGAGGGCGTTTTGTGTGTGAAGACCAAACAGGCCATTCTGATCGCTCACTATCCGTCCGGCGTCCAGGCCGGTGAGGCAGCCAAGATTGTTGAACAATTAGCCGACTACTTAATTGGTGTGGGCTACTAAACAATACATACCAACAATATACAGATAGGATGTTTTGAGGATACCATTGGTGTAGGCCTTTATCAAGTGCCTCAACAGTCATCATGGCTTCACGATATCTTTCGCAAGTCGTCCAGCACATCCGTATGGATAGATCAGCGCGTTGTCCACGTCCCAGATACCTGCCTTGTAGTAGGGGTCAGTCTTTAAGAACTCAATGATCTCCTCTCTGGAATTGGCCACAATGTTGTAGGAGGACCCTGCAAACTCGGTCTTCGCATCGTCCTTGTAGATGGCTCCACAGTTGGTCACTCCCTTGTTGAAAGCCGCTGGAATTCCTTTCAGGTGCTCTTCTCTGACAGCTGCACGGCTCTGGCGTTAGTAATAGCAGTTTTGTCCACTTACGGTTCCCGGTTTGTCGTAAACAATAACTAAGTACTCCATCGGTAGAAACTTGATATCTTTTAGTCGACGAAAATATTTTGTTACCTAATCTATTACATATCCCCTCAGCACATCAGATTATGGAGTCCATCTTGCTGAAGACGCTGATCACGGCAGCCACGACTTCCAAAACAAGGTCTCCTGGTTTGTCGGTTTCGATTTCCTTCTCAATTTCAGAGAAAAGGTTCATGCCCACACCAATTGAGGATCCTTTATCGATAAACGGATACTCGCTGAACTGGCTCAGTATCTCGTCGGCCCGGATAAATGCATTATCGCGGCTTTCAAAGTTGAGGTCCATTAGGATGTTCTCCAAAACATTGGCGGCACAACAGCCTGCTACCAGACAAACCGTCCGGAGATACTTGTATTTGACGGTTTGCGGGAAGTATTTCTCGTCGTATTCTATGATAAAATTTCTGTTTGTAAGCATAGCGAGAATTCGGGATATGACGTTTCTCTTTGGTGTAGGGTCCTGGATAGGATGCGTGGCCATGTCGAAAAGAAGGAAATTCTTTCTTTCGGTCTTGAGAACACCTTTGTCCACCAGGCCTTTGGCCAGCCTCTCTCTCACCTGTTTGAGCTGGTAGTTGATCTTCATCAAGTTCCAGGTTTCGCCAGACAACAGGTCAATCCAGTTGGAGACGCTCATGTGTTGAGAGTCGTTTTTGATCAGTTTGAGTGCTTCGTCCAGAAGGGTCTCTCCAGTCATGGAACCATCGCAGCACTCGATCAGACGGTCTGGGAATTCAAACCTCTTTCTTGCAGGGTCGTTCACCATTCTAATCTTTCCTCGGAAGGCCAGCTCCAGGATTATTAAGCCCCGCAAAGCATAGGAGATGTTGTCGTTCCAGAAAGAAAGATATCCTTCTTTATCTTTGAGTCCAATGAGCAAAACTTCTTCCATCAGGGTCAACACAGGAACCTGATTTCCCTTAGACGACTCCGAGATATCATTTGGGTCGTAGGCGATCTTATGTTCTCCTGCATCTTCAAGAGCTCCTGAGCTATCCTCGATTGTAGAAGACTGCTTTCCCCGACGTCTTTGTAATCCCGATGACATATTGTCGTTTTACGTTAGACGCGCTTATGCTGGTTTCAATGCGAGGGCTGCTTTCCAATGCCAAATCAAATAGCTGTTGCCAACGGAAGTACGCTTTGTTGTCTCTTTTCGAAAAAAGGTAGAGGTGTAATTTTGCTTGCCAAGCACACGACTCGGGCTGAACTGATGAAAAAATTATGCTCCTATCCAATCTAGGCTGTGCACATAAAAACCTTCGCGATTTAGTGATCATGTCTGATAAGCTGCCCCGGGCCACTTTGAGGCAGAAAATTCAGGTCCTGGATTATCTTCATGGGCCGCCGTCCAGGTCGCAAAAGGAAACAATTGAGCATTTTCGGAAACTCGGCGAGTTTGGTATATCCCAAGCGACCCTGTCGACTTGGGTTCTTAAAGAACCAGCACTCAGAACGCAGCTCAGCAGCAATCCCACGTTTGAGACGTACAAACGCAAGCCACGACTAAAATACCCGGACGTCACAAAGGCTGTCGAAGAAGAGATCGAGCGATACTTTGCAGAAAACGAAACCATAACGGATATGCAAATCACTAATTTATTCATGAAATATATGGAGCAACTTGGCTACTCTACAAAGTCCTTCAAATTGAGCAAAGGGTGGCTGCACGCATTCAAGAAACGCAATCGCATATTTAACGGTCGTCGGCTGCGCGACTGGCAACCTCAACCTCCTGAAACGTACAACGACAGTGCCTCCTTAGACCTCAACTACGATGAAATATTTAATAACCAGTTCGTGGGTTTCAATACCAGATTAATCCATTCAGATGACCACTTCACCAACCTTATCAATAGCATTCCGGGGCTCGAGCAAATATCACAAGACACAGATCGCATCGAACCAGTTGAGCTTCAGCCACCCTCTGCGATTCCTCCTCCACAACCTGAAAAATTACCATATTATCCAACTATTCAAAATCCGCTACAGAACCAGCTCTCGCGCAAACCATATGTACTCGAAAACTTCAAGTACTCCAAAGGGTCGCACCCAAACTCAGAAAAGGTGGAAAAAATCCTCGAGAATATCACTGAAGGGTATGCTACCATATATAATTCTGGCACCTCTGCTATCATGGGAATTCTCTCGTACCTCAATCCACCCATGATTTGCATCAACAATTCAGGGTACCAGGGGACGCATCGAGTGATCAAACTTCTCTCAAAGCTCACAGGACTTCAGAAGCTGACCCTTGAAGAAACAGAGCGACTTCAGCCAAAGTCTGTTATTCTGATCGAGACGCCCATGAACCCTGAAGGGTACGTATTAGACATCGCCAAGTTTGCAAGGCTTGCGCACGAGAAACAGTCATTTCTCATTGTTGATTCCACGCTTGCTCCTCCTCCCCTCCAATTTCCGTTCAAGTACGGTGCGGACTACGTTGTATACTCGGCGGTGAAATATTTGGCTGGTGTATCTGATTTGGGAGCAGGGTTTGTCGTGAGCAAGAAAAAAACGGATAAAGCAAACCTCCACAGCGAGAGACACTCTCTTGGGACTACAATCGCCAATTTCGACTCCTTCCTGCTACTGAGGTCCTTAAGAACATATAAAATGAGAATGCTGACCCAATGTCAAAATACCGAAAAAATAGTCACCTATCTCAGAGAAAGCATGAGCAAGTATAGTATGGTGATCAATAAATTGCATCACTCTTCTCTCCAGCTTGATCCCTTTGTCAAACAACAACTGAATGGATTCTACAACCCCGTGCTGGCCATTGAGTTAAGGAGCGAAGAGCTGGCAGAGCTTATTCTCACAAAATTCAATTTTCTGAGTAACAACCCGAACATCGAGGGAGGCGAAACTGTAGTCGAGCTGGCATCGAAAAACCTAAACTTCGCCCGCCCATCCACAAACAGCAATCTACTCAGGATCAGTGTTGGCTGTGAAGACTATGAAGATCTCATCAAAGACATTGACCAAGCGTTGATGAGCGTCATTGATCCGGAACGTGCTGGTGATCTTTGATTTCCCTTTTGAGAGGTTGGATGGCATCCAGAAGCTCATTCTTCACGAAGACAAGATAGTATGGAGTCGCGCTGTTGTTCTCGCTAAAATTCAGCACTTCTTCTATCGGCACCTCACTCACTATTTCATCGTTGTATTTTCTGTAAAGGTTGGACTTTGGATCTCTGATGTAAATCCAGTAGTGCCCATAGGAAGCTTGTCCCCTGTGGATGAAAATTGCAAACACTGAGTATCCAATCTTGGTGAGATCGCTGAACTGATTAGTTATCAAATCTTGCAATCTTTCGACCTCACTTTTGATGAAGGTTAATTGCTCGTCAATTTTCGAAATCTGTTCATCAAGAACCTCAATTATGTTAGAATCGACAAGAACCCCGATCTCGTTGAGAACCTGAGATTTAAGGAATTGTCTGGTGGAATCAAGGGCATCCCGAAGAGGCAGACCATGCTCATTAGGTTCAGTAAGCTTTCTACGGCGTTCCTGAAGTTCAGCTATTTGCCGTTTCCACATAAACACCTCCTTTCTCTTTGATATGAGCTCGATGTCCGTAGTCTCCATATACCTGTCCATGTAAAGATCTTCCTTGAAAGGAAGCGGCTCAATCGATTTCACAGGTATAAGCCTTTCTCGATCAAACTGAACTCTCTGTATTTGAATTTGCAAGATCTTCGGAAGCTCGGTGATAGTGAGAGACCTTTTGACCTCTTCATTGTCCAGCTGGAGCAAATCTTCGGTGAAGTACGTGTCCAACGCATCGTAGATGTCTCTTGGGTGGTCACCAATATTGACGATAAGATTCAGAAACCTTTCCTCTTTCGTCCGTGCTCTAGCGGAACTAATTTCCTCTTTCGTGACTGGGTCAACGGGCATTAGAATCTGCTTTGTCTTTCCATAGAAGAGCTGTTTCACGAGATCAATCTGCTCATTGTCTGAGTCCAATTTTTCAGGCTCCAGCGCACTTTCTATTTGAATTAGCACGTTTTCGATACATTCTGTCACGTCTTGTTGTCTTCCTATCTCAAGAGCATTTTCGATTTGATCTGCGCTAATTTTTGCCGTAGCAGCATTGTGAAGCGTGGTCTTTTTTTGGGCTGAAGGAGATTTCTCATCCACGTCCATTTCAGAGTGATCCAATTGCTTGGTTTCGAGCACCTCTTCAGCAGACTTTGCTTTTTCCACCAATTCAATACTCACCTCGCCATGCTCTTGAACTTCTGATTGCTCTTCATTGTCGCCCATCGCTGCATCTTCCGGTTCGCCCGTGTCATCTGCAAACTCAACCTCGTCACTTATAGGACTGAACGCAAGGTAGGCAAGTTCCCGAGTTGGTTGGACGCATCTTGTATTTTCATGAATCATTTTGTCATACAAGTCTCTCAGTTGATACATGAACTGGTAGGATCTTTCGATCTCTTTGTATCCAACAGTTCTTCCTCCAATTCTCCGGACGAGGTAATTCTTATTGTTTTCAATTTGATGTCTTTTCAGTGTCTTGTTGAATTGCAAAATCAGGCTTCTCAAAGGCTCAATGACAAAATAGTATTGCAGCAAGGAGTTGAGGTAGCAGGTGTTTCCGATATTATTCAAGCCCGCTGGTGTCTTTTCAACGGATAGTAATCTGGAATCCATGACTCCTGAGTTCAGGAACCCTTCTATCAGCTTGGATTTCTTTGCCTCTCCAATCACTTTTAGGCAAACCCAGAGACGGTAGAAATCAACGTTCAATTCTTTTGCCACTCTCTCCTGGAAAATTCTAACCACCGAGGAGTCATCTGCATACTGGTCGCATCCAATCAGCTCGTATGCCTCCTCCAGCGAAGGAATCGATTGGGAAAATTGTGGAAGGCTGGCATGGATGTAACTGAACAGCATAGGGCTCTTTCTCTGCAGCGCGATGGTCATTAGCGCTCTGGCGTACAAAGAGGAGTAGTAGACAGAATCCTCCGCTTTCAGTTGAAAAGCGGTAATAAGAACATCCTCATCCACTGACGGATCCGTTTCTAGTGTTTCGTATGCCTCAGAGACATCAAACAAGGGCTCGGTCTCCAAAAAACTTCGAATTTTTGTGCTTTCTCGGTATAGGCCAACCTTCTCTAGGGCCTCTCTAAAGGTTGAGCGTTCGTACTTTGTAGTGCTGACTATCACATTATTTTTGTATGAAGATATGAGCTGGTCATCAGTCAGATTCCGTGCAACCTCAGAGTTTGTGATGTCAAAGCCAAACTTCTGGAAACAACTTTTAAGCTCCATGAAACCTACCACGCCTTTGGATCTGAGTGTGGCAACAAACATCGATAAGTCACTTCCTTGTCTTGATGTAGCGCAATATGTCAAGGCATCAAAGAGCTCCGGTGTGTTATCAGGATTCAGGCTAGTCATAATTGAATAGCAATCTATGATCATATTGTCCGTATAGTACGGACAAATACTAAGAGCGGTCAAAGCTGTAACATACTGGAACTTATCCCAGTACTGTAGCTGATTGGACAGGTCAGGCTCGTTCAAAACCCTGAACACTGGACTCATATCAGATAAAAATGTGGTTTTGGTCTTGAAGAAATCTGAGGTTGGAGAGAATATAGAACCAAGATACAGAACTTCTGTCAGAGCCCTCAGGTAATAATCGTATCCAATTTTCATATACTGACCAAGATCTGAAAATCGAGGAGGCTGAAGCTCCTCATTTATCTCTCTGAAAAACAATTTCGAGGGCAGGAGCTCCAATTGTAAATGCAATCTCAAAACAACGGAGTTGTTTGGTTTGAGAGTTTTGATATCGTCTGTGTCTAAGTTTGTAAGAGGACCTTTGAGAACTTTGAACAATGTGTTCAAGCAGTCGATCGTTGAGGGAACAGGAAAGTTGTCAATACCGTTGTCCGGCAGTTGAGAAATAAAAGACGAGACTCTGAGTTCAATCTCTTCCTTTTCAAAATGCTTGAGGTCTTCATAGTTGAAAGTTGACGGATACAGCTCAACCCTGAGAATCGTTCCTGTAGACTCACAGATATAATTCGCTGAGTCTATAATTTGCGGAATTGAGTCCACCAAAACCCGATTGTTATACTCTTGCTCTGCGTCGGACGCAACTGATGCCTGATTTTTGATTCCATCAACGTCTAACATTAAATCTTTCTTGTCTTTTTCCAGCAATTGGCTGTCACCAAAGCTATAGAACTTATGTTTCACATGCATGGCGTTTCCCTTTCCCTTGATCTTAATTCTAAAGTGGAAGAGTGGGTGTCTGGGTATGGACAATTGAGGCGACGGAGCAATGATACCATTGACGGTCCATAACTTCCAGCCATCCTCCAGTTCCTCGGGCTTTGCCGTATTCAGCTGCTCAAATGTGGATACAGGGATCAATGCCTGGTATTTCTTGGATGAGTTTTTGATAAACCCGTGTAATCTTTCTGCGTAGTAAACGGTTTCCTCGCCTAAAATTCCCTTTCCCATCTCCTCCGACACATCAAATCCGCTCAGAAGAAAGAACGGGTCATTTCTCAAATCATCCAAAATACGCTCACTTGTCTTGAAGAACTCGGCATCTTTAAAATTGTAGGTTTTCTCTGCTGGGTGTTGAGGGACTTCCTCGAAATATGGTGGGTTCATGTCCATCGGCACACTGCTTCCGTCACTCGCATCTGATTCAAGTTCGTCATCTGCCACAGCCAAGTCTTCCTCTTTAGTGCGCGAGTAGTCGTCATTCCTAGGTGGCACAGAGGGATACAGCTCGTTCAGCTCTGCCGATCTCTCGGAATTGACTACTTCAGAGTAATCTGGGGGCGGTATTGAGTCTGACATTCTGTCTCATAGATGTCCTGATGGCGAGAAATACAAATTCCGTGGCACTTATGACAGGATACCGTTTGCCGTTAATATTGTGATTTTATACAGATTTGTTAGACTGATAGCATGCTAAGGTTCCGGGTGTGGTTCCAGAAATAATATTTGGTGGATTTTTCACTATATAAGTTGTTTAGCAGATATGACACCAAACCTGCCGACGGAAAAAAAGCCCGAGGCGACGGTTCCAATCGACGAGGGCAAGCTACCGGGCACGGATATGTTGCCGTCGGTGATATCTGGGAATCCATACTTCACGGCCGGTGGAGGCCTCATGGTACTTGGAGGCTCTTTGGCTCTTCTTCGCAAGTCTGTCGGCTCTTTGGCCAGCTTAGCGTACCGGAGAATGCTTGTGGATTTAGAGTTGCGAAGTACAGATAAGTCCTACGATTGGTTTCTTCACTGGATGTCCAACTATAAACACAGATCTTCTAGACATTTGAGTGTTCAGACGAAATACGTTCAGCATCCCAACGGTTCGATCTCCACAGGTTTTTCCTTTGTGCCTGGCCCAGGAAATCATTGGCTAAAGTATGACGGAGCGTGGTTCTATGTGAAGCGCGAGCGTTCCGAGAGATTGCACAATTCCGGTGTACCAACAGAGACTATCACATTGACGACACTGTACAAAGACAAATACTTATTGGCATCGATCCTGGACGAGGCAAGGGCAATGGCAATGAAAATGGCAGAGGGGAAGACCGTTCTGTTCAAGTCATGGGGACAAGACTGGAGACCTTTTGGACAGCCCCGTAAAAAGAGGGTGATGGATTCGGTGGTTCTTGATTATGGAGTTAAGGAGGCCATCATTAAAGACGTGAAGGAATTTCTTCAATCTGGAAAATGGTATCATGATAGAGGTATTCCTTATAGAAGAGGGTATCTGCTTTACGGACCACCAGGCTCTGGGAAAACCAGCTTCATCCAAGCTCTTGCCGGAGAGCTTGATTATAATATTGCGATACTGAATATCAGTGAGCCCAATTTGACGGACGATAGGCTGGCATATTTGATGAATAACATTCCAGAACGTACCATATTATTGTTGGAGGACATTGATGCTGCTTTTAATAAACGTGAGCAGAATCGAGAACAGGGATACGTTGCAGGTGTGACTTTCAGCGGCTTATTGAATGCTTTAGATGGTGTCGCTTCCGCTGACGAAATCCTCACTTTCATGACTACCAACCACCCGCACAAATTGGACCCTGCCCTGTTGAGACCGGGAAGAATTGATTACAAGGTGTTGATCGACAATGCAACAAACTATCAAATTCAGCAAATGTTCTTGCGGTTCTATCCGGGAGAAAGTGAGAAAGCGAACATCTTCATGAAAAGATTCAACGAGCTCAAGTTGCCTTACATCAGTACGGCGCAATTGCAGGGCTTATTCGTACAGTTTAAGGAAAGCCCGGACGCTGCTATCGATAACATCGAGGTGCTAAAACAACCCCACCTCAACAACTTTTTTTATGAATAATGTACAATAATGAGTCACTAGCCCTTGAATCGCTGTAGCATCTCCAATTTGGCATCTTCGAGATGTTTGTGTAATATTTCGGAACTCGCGTCTTGTTCTGATAATTCGTTAGCCTTTTTGACGAGTGCGTTCATAAAGCGGAGATAGTTCAAATACAGAAGCAGCTCAAGATTCTTCTGTTTGTACTTTAGCGGCTTCTGTGCACGTAGTGCCTTTTTATGTCTGGCAGCGATTTTTTGATGATTCATCTGCCTTGTTTATTATTATACTAAGAAATTGAATCTTTTTTCCTTGAACGCTAAGTCAAATAGGGCTGTGCTAGAATGGGGTAAATTGAGGAGTAGGCAGATTTAGGTATTTATGTTGCAAGCATTCAAGAACTACGTTTCCCCAAGCCAACAGCTAAGACTTGTGCTTCTGGATTTTAAAGATCCAAAAACATTCAATAGAATCATAACCACCTCTGACGAATCTCTTGGAGGATTCTCTACCGTTCACTTTGATCCATACAGAGATGAAGACACGGGGAATTTGTGCGCACGATTCCACGGAAATCTGAACCTTAACCTCCCGGCTGACCCCAAGGTGAAGGATTCCGGATGGGCGATGTTCAAGACCAAAGATCGCCAGAGAAAACACTCTTTCAGGCCGTTCTATTTAAGCAAGCGATTTGCAAATTTCTGGTGGGACCTGTCTACGTTCTACGCTGTTCATTTGCGGGTTAAAAACCAAACTCCCGCACGGAAGTTCATGATCAATTTTCAAACTGATACCTCCTCGAGAACAGATTTATTTCAGCACAGGGTCTTTCTTGAAAATAATAGTCAATGGCAGGATGTGTTTATTTCTTTCAGTGATTTTGTACTCACAAACAAGGGCAAAATACAAATACAGTACGACGAGGAGTTTGAGAAGGATCGTGTGAGGAGCGTTGGATTCTCCATTGCTGATAAAAAATTTGGGGAGTATAGCTTACTCATAGACACCATTGAGTGTCTCTACGGAGACGAATATGCTGAAAAGTTAACTCAGGCGAGAAACAATCCACTTTTAGAGTCTAACGACTCAATAACAAATACGCTCAATTAAGAAGCGGTGTATTCAGAGGTTATTGACTGCGGATCCTCTTGACATTTTCTTCCGTTACGTCGGATTCTCTCTTGGGCTCTTCTGTGCGTCCTTTTGGAGGATTCAAGAGTGAATACACGGTAGTTGACGGCGTATTCTGAAGAGGAGGGACAGATGTAGCGCTCGCTGAACTCGACGAGTTCGTTCTGCTTTGCTGTGCTGTCTGCTGTTGCTGATGTTCATGAACTGTCCGTTGGTTAAGCTGAGAAGGTATCGATCTTGGCGGATTGGTCAGTGAGTATGTTTGACTTGATCGTTTCTCCTCCGTCACCGGCTGTGATGGCATCGATCCTGCCCTTTTCAGGTTGTTTGTTGGTGAGCCAGTAGGGGCTGGAGCAGTATTTTGAAGATATGACAGCGAGTTGGCAGACGACGACCTCGTCTTAGCATTTTCTCCAGGAACTCCAGAGAGCGTTTGCATTATCAGTGGTGGAGGCGGGTTTCCTGGACCGGGAGAAGACCGCCGGACAGGGCCGGGAGAACCCAAAAAGGGCATGACTGCTGGGGAGTTGCGACGCATTGGTTGCTGCGCAGATTGGTGTGACATGTCGGTCTCATGCATTTGACTCAAGATTGCTGGCGATTGCTCGCCCGGTGGAGGTGGAGGTGGACCTGTGTTGATCACCGAAGGTGTTGCAGGTTGCAATGGATCAAATACAGATACGTTTCTGGGCCTGTTGGAGGATCCGCTGTATCTGATGTCCTTGTAAGGCAGTTGACTCTGGTCGTAAGGATGGAAGGACGACGTGGCGGATGAGTTGCGGGGTGGAGGCTGGGGTATATGAGACAGAGACGTATGAGGGGTGTGTATTGGAACAGCAAGAGATCCATGACTGTCCGAAAAGATCGATCCGCTCTCGCCATAATGTCCAAGGCCATTTGTTACTTGTTTGAAAGCCATGTCTCGCGCGGCGCACCGCTGAAGAACGTTGGTTTTGAATTTCTCGAGCTCCGACAGTAATTTTGTAGTCATCATTTCGTTAGCCGGTTCTTTGGGTATCAATCCAACGACGTCCTTTAGAACATCCAGAAGCGAAACACAATCATAGTTTGTCTTTGTAAGGTCTTCTTTCACAATCTCATAGCGATATGTCAAAGCGTCGTAAGCTCTAAGTAAATCGTGATACTGACCGGTGAGTTCTAAATAGTTTGTCTCCTTGGGTGGCATCGTCGTACTCATCTGCTGTTGCACATAAGAGTTGGTAAGTCTAGCTTTCATGTCCATTTCCTCTTGCATCGTTACGTCGTTGAGATCACCCGGGCTACTTGGATGATACCTATAGGGCACGTAGTTTTGGGCGTCCTTCATCCCCTCCGTCTGCGGAAGTTTCAAACTGTGAACCTCCTTTTGCGAGCTGACATTTTTGAATGAGCGTCGCTTGATCTGTGTTAGGCCCTCGGTATTTCCTTGTCTGAACCATCCAGATGAGTGTTTGAATTCCCAGACATATGACGAGTTGTTCGACGAGTTAGAGCCTTTTCTAGAGCCCGTCTGATCCGAGGGAGGTGGCGTAGTTGTTAGCGTCTCGTTGTTAAAGTTGTCGTTCACTTTATGAAAACCGTACATGTTCAGCTGCCGTATAAACGAAGCGATATTTGCATGCTTGAAATAATTGCTTAATACCCTTGTAAATTCTTCGGAAGGAAGCACATAAAAGGATGACTGGTTGGCATGCCACCATATAAGGTGATCGAGGTTATGGTCTTCCAACATCGCATACAGTTTGTGGATGAACGAAGTGTTCGGATTCTTGGGTTCTTTATCCTTGATTTCTTTCATTTCATCCTGTTTGGCCGCTGCCACCGGCTCTTCTGACGACATGACGGCTACTTTTGGCACATATGATGATTTTGAGCGATCTATTTCACAAATATCGCAACTGCTGGTGGGGCTGCACTGGATACTTCCTTTTCACAAAAACCTTTTTCGGCAACTTTTTTGCCGGATCGGAATTGTCTTGAAATTCTGAGAGCGAAGAATACCCCTGGTTAATCAATGGGCTTGCTGAGGTTTGACAGTCTAGTGCTTAGGTCAGGATAAAGGGAAATTTAGCAATATCATGACACTCGGACTTCACTTGCCGTTAGGTCGTAATATTTAATGTATATGCACAGAAACAATAGTAGCCAGAAAACGTCATCGATTATGATTAGACGATCCTATTCAGAGCGCTGTATGATTGATGTTGAGCTTTGTTCAGCCATCTGAGAGCGCTCGAGGATGTAGAGGCGCTCGAGATGCGGAATCTTGCATCGAATTTAGCTGCTGTGCGCATCTCCTTGAAAAATGCTAACATAATCACTGTGAAATATAGTCGTACCAAACTGGTAACGACCGTTAGGGCAACGGTTACAAATAGTTCGTAAGCTTCAGATGCAGACTGGGATGAGAGGTCCTCGGTGACAGCACGGGCTATTAGCTCCACAGAGGTATCGTGCTCGGAAAACCACAACCAGGAAAAATACCCGGTGTATAAGAAACCGATCACCGTGTCGAGCAGATAAACAAAAACGACAAGCGAAAACCAGTTAATGTTTGGAGTTTGCACTCTCCGGAATCCTTGGATATATAGGATCATGACTGCTGTGGACGAGAGGTAGTACAGCCATTGCACGGCATCGATGGGATGACCTGTCAGGAACGAAAGCAGACCATACACGCCACACATCTTATTGATTACGGCATAGAGCAGCACCAGCTCCACACCTATATAAAGTGGGTATCCCACAAATTTCTATTCTGTTAGTCCCGGGCAATGAATCCGCGATGTAACATACCTGCGGTAGGCTTTTTATAAGCACCATCTATTAACTGTTGAGTTCTGAACTAAATAAATTTAAATCAAAACTGTCAGTCCAAGTTCGTGCACAGGATGAAAAAAAATTATTTGATAATTGACAATATGAGTGAGCTAGATCTAGATGGCTTGAGTTTGTCGGACTCTGATTATAGTTCTGATGAGGCTAACAGCGGATCTAACTCTTTTAGGGGTGCTTCAAACCAGGCTTTGAAAGAAAAAACCGAACTTTTGGACAAGTATGCGTCTCATATCAAGGTGGATCAGATCAAACATAGAATCACTAGAGATAAAGCGGAAAGAGCCACCGTGGAGCAAGTTCTCGACCCTCGAACATTGAGATTTTTATCCAAGCTATTTAAGAATGGAACAATCACAGAGATGAATGGTTGCATATCAACAGGCAAGGAAGCTAATGTGTATTACGCATTGAATTCAGAAACAGGAAAAGAATATGCTGTCAAGATTTACAAGACCTCCATTTTAGTGTTCAAAGACCGCGAAAGGTACGTTGACGGCGAGTTCAGATTCAGGAATACGCGCAACCAGTCGAACCCCCGGAAAATGGTTCGCTTGTGGGCTGAAAAAGAGTTTCGAAATTTGAAACGGTTGCACTCCGCTGGAATTCCTTCTCCTGAACCGGTGGACCTCAAATCTCATGTTTTGGTGATGGAGTATCTGAGTAAAGGAGACGGGTGGCCTTCTCCAAAACTGAAAGATTACGAGTTCCGGGATGACGAAGAAATAGCCAGCTTTTACATTCGACTACTAATTTACATGAGATGGCTTTATCATAAGTGTCGGCTGGTGCACGCAGACTTGAGTGAGTACAACACCATTGTGCATAAGGGCGAACTGTATGTATTTGATGTCTCTCAGTCTGTGGAGCCAGATCATCAGATGTCAATGGATTTCTTGCGAATGGATATCAAAAACGTGAATGACTTTTTCTCCAGGACGAAAAACATCAACGTTTTTCCTGAAAGAATGATATTTCGGTTTGTGATTGACTCATGGTCAAACTTGATGACCGAGCTGATGCCTGAAAAGAATGAGCGGCGATTGGCTTCGGAGAATCCTGAGAATTTGGAGTTGCTGGAGAAGTATCTGGCTACATTACCTCACAAGACTGAGGACGACCAGGAGGACATTATCTTCAGATCGCTGCATTTAGTTAGTTCGTTGAACCACTTGGAAGAGCGCGATTTCGATAAGTTCAAGAGCGGGCAGGTGGACACTTTGAGAGATTTAGTTAAGGAATCATCCGATGAGGAAGAAGATGACGATGAGGAGCAGAGCGAGGAGAGTGACGAAGATGATAGTGAACAAGACGAAAGTGGAGATGAAGAGGGAACGCCAAAAGGAAAGAAATACGAAGACAAGGAAGCTAAAAAGGAACGAAAGAAAGCTGCTAAAGAGGCTGCTAGAGAAAAGCGCAAAACTAAAATGAAGAAGCATGTTAAAAAAAAGCTTACTAAAAAAGGTCATAAATAGTTCATAGACGATAGATTTTTGCAGGTCACACGCTACCGCCGCTCTGATGTTTGCCTATCATGCCTGCCATCTCAAGTAACGCCCTTCCATCATCCCAATGCATCGCGTTGAGCTTCTTCCTCGCTTCTGCCTCCCTGTTTTCCCATTCCCATAGCTTTTTCTGTTCCTCGAGCTCTTTCTGCGATCCGCAGCCCCAAACCTCGAGGTTGGTAATGTTGATGCTAATTTCAAACTCTGGCACGTTGTGCGGAAATATTGAGCCGGTTTTGTATGTTCCTGGCACAGCCAGATGGCGGAAACTGGCAATTTCCATTGCAGCTTCAATTGTGAGCGACACTTCTCCCGGCTTGAAAATCCGGACATTGTTTTTGATGAGTGGAGGCTTGCTACCAAATCCGAGGCCTCCTCCAAGCGTGCTGAAATAGGCGTAGTTATGTGCGTAAGCAGAAGACGGGTATAGGATCTGTCTGGGAGATAACTGTGCAATGAAGGAGTGTTCGTCTCCGAAACATTCGCTGTTGCTGATTCTCCATGGCTTTTGTAAATAAACCATGAATGTGTACGTATCATCATCGGCTGAGGGCGGTTTAGGTGACTTGTTGTTTGATGCGTGAAAGCGAGGATATTCAGTAAGAAAAGCAGCGTATTTCTTGTTCTTTGGGACAGGCCCGGATGACGGTTGCATCTCGATCAGTTTACCGGAAACTAAGAGTATGGTGGGTGCGTTCCATTTAAAGACTTTTGATTCCATGGAACGCATGCTAAATCCAGACTCTGCACCCACAAATAGTTTCTTGAGTCTGGTGAAAACAAGCTCGTCGGGCAGTATGGTAGCCAGCTGCGAAAGCATCGGATGTGTGAGAATACGAGAATCGGCGAACTCGATGTTGTGAAGAGTTGTTCTTGTACTATAGAGCAGCGAATCCAGCAAGTGGTGTAGTGGCACAAGCAAGTTGGGCATGGTTCCGTTGGAGTACGAAGTACCAATGATTTTCTCAAACGTAGAGAACGTAACTTTTTTAGATGTGTAGTTTGAGCTTGTCAAGTCCAGGTCAAATGAGCGCAATAAGTTCATTGCCTTCTTTTCGTATTCCAGCCAACCCAAATCGTCGAATTGGAGCTGCTTTCCTAAAGGTTGCGACCGGTTCACCTCCAAACTGATCGGTGCCACGTAAAGTAGCAGTGTCAACACCCTTAGAAGCTTTGAAGCCGGTAGAGGGTACTGCGAGAATTCAATACCGTCGAATGATTGCACTTGAGGAATAAGCATCCATTGGATTTTATCTTGCAAGTAGACCACATCCACTAGGTCATTCGAGGAAGCTATTTTCTCCGACTTATCGGGATCTGGCTCGTGCCTTGAATCAAAGCTCAAGGCTAGAAAGATCAGCATGAGAAAGTAGCGCGTGTTACCAAATAGCTGAGCAAATTTCTCGGGGTTCAGTATGGTCAATACCTTGAGCACCCCAGCAACATTGAGATCGGGACCGGTGCGATAGTTCGGAAATCGGGCTAAGAAACAAATGCATCTTATGATATCCTGTGTTGCTGGTGTATCCGGAAGTTGAATAATATTTGTAATATGTTTGGTTGAGATAACAGTTGATCCTTGCAACTCTTCGAGACCTAGATTATCTCGAAGCGAGATCAGCTCAATTGGCTGAAAACACCGTGCTGCTTCCCTGATGAATGCATTCTCCAGCTCACCCCGCGAAAGCTTGCCATTAGTAAACTTCGCTGTTTCTTGGGACTCTGTGCTTGAAGATTGGCCCATAGCAAAAGATATCTGCAGATAATAAAATTATGGGACGAAATAACATTGACAGAAATAAAAAATCAGGATAATAAAAATCAAAAAATAATTTTCAGATCTATGGCTAAAGACAAGAAAAAGGAGGTTGTTACTCAGGACCCTCGGTTCGCGAAAGTCTACAGCGACCCTAAGTTTAGACTCCCGAAACGTAAAGACTTGAAGGTTGCAGTGGACGAACGGTTCACAAAGGATGAGTTGAAGTTGGGAAAGAAAAAGAAGCTAGACAAGTATGGACGTAAAATAAAGGAGGACAAAAAGGACGACTTTGATAAATACTACAAGAAGGAGGGCGAAGAAAGCGAAGAAGAAGACGAAAGCAAGAGCGAAAGTGAGAGCGAGCTTAGCGAGTCTGCAGCCAACATTTTAGACAGGGCAAGAGGACTTGTATCTGAAGAATCATCCTCTGACGAGAGTGAGAGCGAGAGCGATAGCGAGCTTGTCAGCGAAGAAGATGGCGAAGAGATCCAGCTTGAAGATGAACCTCCTGAAGGAGAACCAACAAGTACCTTTGCGGTTGTGAATCTTGATTGGGATCATATAAATTCCACAGACCTTTTTGCTACCTTTATGGGATTTGTCCCCAAAGGCGGAAAAATCCTTTCCGTGAGCATATACCCTTCTGAGTACGGAAAGCAGCGAATGCAACAGGAGCAGATTGAGGGTCCTCCAAAGGAGCTATTTAAGTCGAAAAAGGTGGAAAGCGATTCGGACGACGATGAGGACTTAGATCTAGCCAAAGCAGCCAAAAAGCTTTACACAGAAGACGACGGCATTGATTATAATTCTAAGGCTCTGAGATTATACCAGCTTCAGCGACTCAGATACTATTATGCCATTGTAAGGTGTGACAGTGTGCAAACCTCGCGTGCTATATATGAAAATTGTGATGGTACTGAGTACGAGTCCACTGCCAACCACTTTGATCTTCGTTACGTTCCGGAAGACATGACGTTTGACGATGCTCCTCGAGACGAATGCACAAAAGTTCCTTCCAATTACAAGCCTAACTCGTTCACCACCGATGCGTTGCAGCACTCTAAGGTCAAACTTACGTGGGACGAGACTCCTGCAGAGCGTCTTGCAATGGCTTCCAGAGCATTCTCGCAGAAGGAGATTGACGACATGGACTTCAAAGCTTACTTGGCCTCTGACTCTGAGGAGAGCGACAACGAGGCTGTCAACAAGTATAAAAGCCTTGTCTCCGAGGTGCTGGAGAAGAAGGATGCGGACGATGTTGACATGGAGATCACTTTCACTCCAGGTCTCGAGGGACAGGAGGACGAAAAAGAGAACGAGGAAACCACCATAGACAAGATCAAGAGAAAAGAGAAAGAGAGACGGAAGAAACGCAAGGAGAAGTTGAAGGAGCTAAAGAAGGCAGCGGAAGAGGAAAAGAAAGAACGGAAGAAGGCTGGCAAAGCTCAGAAAAAAGAGTTGGACGAAAAGAAGAAGGCAGAACTGGAGCTGCTTATGATGGACGAGGATAAGGGACCAGAACATGAGCACTTCGACATGAAGCAGATGTTGAAGGAGGAGAAGAAGAAGCGCAAGGACAAAAAGAACAAGAACAAGAACAAGGAACCGGAGGAAACTGGCGATTCTGTCGACATTGATGAGAACGACGACCGTTTCAACGAGATCTTCGAGGACCACGCCTTTGCCATTGATCCAACCCACTCTGAGTTCAAGCGCACTGCCACCATGGAGAAGCTGATGAAGAAACGCAAGTCGAAGGAACCTCGAGAGAAGAACGAGAAGCTGGGAGACTTGGTTCAAAAAATCAAGCGTCGTAAATAGAGCACCAAATTAATTATTTTCCACGATTTTGTTTGTGGGTGTTTTTTCTTCCAACTTTATACTATTTTTACGCGTTGTCATGAAATTCGGGTTTCTGATTCCAGCGCTTTTGGCCGCCAACGTGGCCCACGCTCTCCATTTCTACATGGAAACGGACGAAACAAAGTGTTTCTTTGAAGAACTGCCAAAAGATACCATCGCAGTGGGCAAGTACGAAGCTTATGAATGGAGTCCTAAAGACGACGATTATGTTCCCGTGGATAACCTCAAAATGGAGATCACAGTGGACGAAACTTTTGACAACAACCACCGTGTTGTGTCCCAGAAGAACGCTCCGACCGGCCAATTCACATTCACCTCTTACGACTCTGGTGAACACAAATTCTGCCTGACACCAAGACACTCCGACTGGTCGAAACGTGCCAAACACAGAGTTTACTTTGATCTGGTTATCGGAGACGCAAAACCACTTGTGGACTCCAAGAGAACCGGCGACATCAACTATTTGACCCAGAAAACCAACGAGTTGGTCAAGAAGCTCCAGGAGATTCGCAGAGAGCAAAGCCTGTTCAGAGAAAGAGAAGCCGTGTTCAGAGACATATCCGAGTCTGTTAACTTCCGCACTGTGAAGTGGACTGTCATCCAGGTCATTGTCCTGGTCGCCACTTGCGCTTGGCAATTGACGTACCTCAAGAGCTTCTTCGTCAAGCAAAAAGTCGTCTAGTTATAAGGCTGTGCAGCATATATAAAAATATTTCACCATTAATCATGTCTCTGTCTTTAGATGAGTACCTCCGCTACGGGCGACAGCTCATAGTGCCCGAGTTCGGTCTGCGGGGCCAGATATCGCTGAAGGAGTCTCGTGTGCTGGTCGTTGGAGCCGGTGGTCTTGGGTGTCCAGCTTTGCAGTATCTAGTTGGAGCTGGTTTTGGCACGGTGGGAATCGTGGATCACGACACCGTCGATATGTCGAACCTTCACAGACAAATTCTGCACACGACAGAAACCGTGGGGATGCTGAAATGTGAGTCTGCAAAACTGCAGCTGACCAAGCTCAATCCTTTGGTGCAGATCAACACTCATCCGGTGGCTCTCAGCCCGGACAACAGTTTTGGAATTTTTGAGCAATACGATATCGTTTTGGACTGCACGGACACCCCTGCCACCCGGTACTTGATCAATGATACCGCCGTCCTTCTTGGCCTGACTGTTATCTCCGGATCTGGTCTCAAAACTGAAGGCCAGTTATCTATTCTCAATTTTAACAACACCGGCCCCTGCTACCGTTGTTTCTATCCAACACCGCCACCTCCCAGCTCTGTGACTGCCTGCAGCGACGGCGGGGTTCTTGGCCCGATCATTGGAATCATGGGTGTGATGATGGCACTAGAAGCTATCAAGGTGGTTAGTGGCTACTACTTGAAGGAGGATGTGGAGTTTCAGCCCTTTTTATCTTTGTACAGTGGTTATGGTCCGTTGCAAAGCTTACGGACGTTCAAGATGCGCAGACGATCGCCCAAATGCCGAGTTTGCAATCCCGAAACGCGAGAAATAACAAGACACGTGGTAGAGACGGAGCTCGACTACGCTGTGTGGTGCGGTAAAATGGATTATAATGTCCTGCGAAAGGATGAAAGAGTCTCTGTGGAGCAGCTTTCTGCGCAGAAAGCGCCCTTCCTGATCGATGTGCGAGCAAAAGAGCAGTATTCTATTGTCCACCTGCCAAACTCGATTAATATACCACTCAACGCACTGAAGCGCATGGACACTCTGGATGTGCCGAAAAAAACTATGATACACGTAATTTGTCGATTTGGAAATGACTCGCAGCTTGCCGTGAAACATTTGAAGAGCATCGGATACGAGAACTGTGTGGATGTCATAGGCGGACTTGTACAATGGTCCAAACAGATAGACCCAAACTTCCCTGTGTACTAAATCGATTTTGCGCTCAAAATCCGTTCTATGGCCACCAGTCCATTCGCAAACGAACATGCCATCAAACCGGAACAGGACGGCCTGTTTGCCAGGGCACAGCTTGTCACATTAATTCTGTTGTCATAGATGGAGTGGCTTTCGACGTCTTTGGACTCTGATGTTGCCACATATGAGAGATCCAAGCGGAACTCGTCCTTGCTGACATCCATTTTCATCAAGCGCAAAGACGCGGGAGCCACCTTCAGCTTGGCAGTGCTGTGTATTCTTCTGATTGGATTGTATAGTCTGACCGAACCGTTAACGTAGCCTGCCACAAAAAACGGTGCAAAATCAGAAACCCCTATGGAAAACACCTGGTTATCGTCCCACAAGTTCAGTGTGACGTAGCTTTGGATGTCTTTTTTGCTCACAAACTTTGGCGTTTTCGTGGCATCGGCAATCACAAATCCATCAACCAGAGCAGAGTACTGGATCTGGGTGCACGGTACTTTGGCCTTCTGAGACTCTGCTATCACCCTCATGTTGTCCAGATCAACCAGGTAGTAGTAGAAATCTGTGGCTGATATCACCACTATGCGAGATGGCGCGCCAAAAAGCGAATCAGAGTACGTCGACGTCACAGAGATGATGTGCTCCACGTCGAGACCAAACACAAACAGCGGCTTTTCCGGCTTCGTAATATTCACTTCGGCAAGATACCCGTCTCGCAGTCCCAGAACAAGTGTGGTATTGGATGTCCAGTCGCAGGAGAAGATGTCAAACTCAGGAATATTGATAAGCACAGACGGGGCGACGAGGCATGAATACGGGCCAGACTCAACGAAACGCTTATCAATTCTCAGCACTCTGACAACCCCATCCTTGCAAACACAGGCCAGCAAGCTGTCTTCCGGATCTGAGCTGAGGAGCCATTTCATCGAAGTGATGGCTCCAAAGGGTATGACCATAGTCTTTTTGTGATTGACTGTCTGCTTGTCCAGATCCACCTCGTATACCTGCAGCGCCGCATCATAGCTTTGTGGCTGACATATGGACAATTCTTTGCGGACCGAAGTGTCTGTTCCGGCGCGGTCTATCACGGAGACAAATAAATAGTGTTTGCCATCAATGGGCTTATTCAGAAACGAGCTCACCAAAGGAACACCACCCGTATTCACCACAAACCCCTGTCTCAAGACGCTGTTAGTTGGATACTGTGCATAGCCTTCGGCCTTGAGCAGTTTGCGTACACCATCATTAAACCCAAACTTGACAGGCACTGTCAGATTGACGCGCGAGCAAACGACCTCATAGGCTATTTCCTCTTCAATACTATCTGCAATGCCATCAGGGATCGCTTTCAGGGGTTCAAATGGATAACTTTGCACCAGCTCATCATTCACATGGAAAATGTTCGGCTCCATCAGATCTCGTCCTAGCTGAAACTTCCGGGCGTAGGACTCGTTCAATGCGTGAAAGTGTAACACTCTTGTCTCTCCCTGGTGCGTGCTTTTGACTCCCGGCCTCTGATGCCAGGGGTTCGATGCGAGAGGTGTCGGTTCCTGGTAATACTCCTGTTCAAGCGTGCGGTAGAGATCGTCGTCTATAACTGTCTTGGAAGGCGGATTCGAGCTTTTTTTCTTCGCAGTGTACCCCGGCGGTGGTACCCAATTCTTCGGCTTGCGGCCTCTGGTCTCTTTCTTGACGGGAGTCTCGTCTAGTATAACGCGATCGTTGCCAGGCTCTTCCTCAGAGGTCTCAGCTGTTTTCACCTCTGCAAACGCAGTAAGCAGCTTTTCCGCGGTTTGCTTAGCCACTGCACGGCTCTGACGCCCTTTGATGGGCGTCGTGTTCGCAGTGGACGTCGCCTGCGGCTCTGGGGTTGAATTGTCAGACATACAGAGTGTTTACTTTTTAGAGAATAAATGTATGATTATGTAAGAGGCCATAGTTTAGCTCAGACTTGATAGAGCCTGGTCAAGGTCAGCAATCAGATCATCAGGGTGTTCGACACCGATGCTGATTCTCAGCAAGGTTTCCTGAACACCTGGGTCGGTCATCGCACGCCATTCGATCATCGACTCTACACCGCCCAAAGAGGTGGCATGGTGGAAGTACTTCAGTCTGGAAGGCAGTCTCTTGGCGAGCTCTGGAGTTGTGAGCTCAATTGCAAAGACAGGACTGTGGCCACGGAGTTGCTGCTTGATGAATTCCTCCTTTTGCAAAGAGGAGTGGTAAATCTTGTGCAACACGGGATACTTGTCCTTGTTGGTTGCAAAATGTGCCACAATCTTCTCTGCGCTGCTACTTTGTCTCAAGATCCTCATCTCGTACGTTCTGAGCGATCTTAGCAGCAGATAGCTGTCGAGATTGGCAATGGTGGTACCCAGAAAGGTTCTGTCCGATACTAGCTGGTTCTTCACCTTGATGTCTTTAGTAGCAAGACAGCCAGCAAGGAGGTCGGAATGGCCCCCAAAGTACTTGGTTGCAGAGTGCATCACCAAATCGACGCCGAAATCGAACGGCGTCTGCAGAGGGGGAGGAGCAAATGTGGCATCACAAATCACGTGCGCTCCCCTCTTGTGGGCCTCGGCCACGTAGAAGCTCAAATCGTGGGCGGTACCGAACGGGTTCTCTGGGGTTTCTAAATGAAGGACATCGCCGGGCCCCAATTGGTCGTACTGGTCCAGCCTAACTTGTTTCAGGCCGGATATTCTAGTAAAAATTTTGGCTATTCCATGACAGCCATGGTAACCGTTCCCAATTGCGAGCACCTTTGGATGGTAGTAGGTGAGTGCCGCAAAGAACGCTGAAAGGCCGGAGTTGTAAACCACGACATGTCCGTCTAGCAATTGCTCTAAAACTGCCTCGGACTTTGAAGAGTTCGGATGGGAAAGTCTAGAGTACACAGGGTCCCTTGTGGTGATAACGCCCTCTTTAATATCCTTCGCCTTGACGAGCTTGTCCGGGTCGTTGTTGTAGCTGAACGTGGTTGTGACATTGATTGGCTGAATGACATCAGGAACTCTTCTAAAAGTGTTATCGTCGCCGTGGACGAGGTTGGTGCTGAGATGAGACATATCTAAGATATTAAGCAAGTTATATTTAGGGAGCCTGTTTGATAAATACACCGCCAGAAAAAAAATATTTTTTAAAAAAAAAAACTTAAAAAAATTTAGAGCTCACTAGCATGGCGAAAAAGGGCGGCAAAGCAAAGAACAGAGCGCTGAACGCTCTGGAAATTGCCGAAGCAGAGCAGAATAGCTCCTCCGATATTGGGAGCGAGTCTGAGGGAGAAAATCAGAAGTTCAAGTTAGGGGTGCTGACCGTTGACGGGAAGGATTTTGAGGATGAAGAGCTAGACTCTGATGAGGCGTTAGATTCGGACGACGACTACGATGTTTTGAACTCCAAATTTTCACAAACCATCCGGGACAAGGGTGAGACTGATACGGGTTATGACAGCATAGACGAGAGCGAGTTGATTCCGCTTTCGGAAGTTTGGGCTCGAGACGACGAAGAGATGAAACGATCCGGTGGAAAAGAGCTTGTTTTAGATGATAATTTGGTTTCGGACGAGAGCAGCAGTGAGGAGAGCGAGGAGAGCGAGGACGAAGACGTGTTTGACGATTTGGAGGACGAAGAGAACGATTTATCCACTGTGATGAGCCAGCTTCGGTCCAGAGACAGTTCCAAGGCCCATAGAACGCTCATTAACGACAAGACAGAAGAAAACGCATTTCGTGTGCCGGCAACCGGCAAGAAGCTCAGTCTCGCGGAGATGATGGGCGACATAGAAACGGATAAGCCACTGCTGCTAAATGAGACATCTGCTCCTGAGCCATTGGCGGTTCCTCTTCCGCAAAGCATTCAAAAAAGACATGAGAGACGCGCAGCCTACGAAATCCAAAAAGAGGAGGTCGATAAGTGGACAGACAGCATTCAAGCCAATAGACGGGCAGAAGTGCTCAAGTTCCCTGCCAAAGATGGCGTCCAGCACAACCAAACGTCCTCGTTCCAGCCTGCTGAAGTTCCTTTGACGAGTCTCGATAAGAAGCTGGATGGATTGTTGGAGCAGTCCAATATCGAGAGCAAGAAGGCGGAGGACTTGTTTGAGAACATCGAGACTGCTAAGCTTTCCAAAGAAGAGATGGCCAAGAGAACCCGGGAGCTTCGGCTGATGAGAGAGCTGATGTATCGAGGCCAGAAAGATGCGAAACGTCTGAAAAAAATCAAATCGAAAACTTATCGGCAAAAGCTAAGAAAAGAAAAGCAGCGCAACAAGGAGCTCGTTGAAGGTTCCGACGCCGAAGACGAGGACGCCGACTACAAGAGGGCCGCGGAGCGGATGTCGCTCAAACACAAAAACACCTCAGAGTGGGCCAAGAGCATGATTAAGAGCGGGATGTCTAAGGATAAGGAGAGTCGAGATGAGCTGGAAGAGATGCTGCGTCAGGGAGAGAAATTGCGCCAGAAGCAACTCGGATACGATGAAGGTGAGAGCGAGACTGACGAGCGAGATGTTGCGGAGATTGCTGCTGAGCAAGAGGACGACGATATCGAGCGGTCTAAGCTGGGCAAAGGTCTCATGGCCATGGACTTCATGAAGCGGGCTGAGGAGCGCGAAAGGATAGAAAACCAGCGATTGGCTGCTGAACTGCAGTATGGAGACGAGAGTGACGAGGAACAGGTGGCCAACGTGGTGAAGAACGCCGGAAGAAGAGTGTACACTCCTGGAGCTGCAGCCGCTGCCGATCAGTGGAAAATTGTGGAGCAGAAAGCCAAGAAGGAAGCTGTCGAGGATCAAGAAAAGAGTCTAGAGAATAAGATTAGAGCCAAAAATACACCAAAGGAGACCAAAGCTTCTGAGGAAGTCAATCCATGGCTTGCGGACGCGGAGCCTACAAGAGGCCAAAAAGTCCGCGTTGTCGACGCCGACTCTTCGCGTGTTCAAAAGAGCGCTGCAAAGATTAAGAAGCGGACGCACAAGGAGGCCGAAATGGATGTGGAGATCACAATTGGTGACACTCTAGATGGCGAGCACGAGGGCGAAGGAGACGGAGAGCAAGACATTCATGTGTTCCAGCAAAAAGATCTGATCAAACAGGCCTTTGCTGGAGACGACGTCGTCACCGAGTTTGAGCAGGAAAAGCGCGAAGTGGAGGAGCTGGAAGGAGACAAGGAAGTCGATTTGACTCTGCCTGGTTGGGGCGACTGGGCCGGAGGTAACTCCAGGAAGAAAAAGAAGATTGTGAAGACCATCAACGGCGTTGTGCCGTCTGATAAGCGGAAGGACAGAAACAAGAAGGGTGTGATTGTGAATGAGCGGGTGAACAAGAAAAATGCCAAGTACCAGGCAGGCTCTGTTCCGTATCCATTTGAAACTATGGAGCAGTACGAACGTTCCTTGAGACAGCCAATTGGACAGGAGTGGACGAGTCGTGAAATCCACCAGAAGCTCACGATGCCAAAGGTCATTGCCAAGCACGGAAGCGTGATTGCTCCGATGAAAAAAGAGTAGTCGGTTTGGTGATCTATCATATTTAATGTAGCATAAGAGAAAATCAGGGACATCCTGAACGTTATGTTTTTTCGCAAACCAAGTATTGCTTCTATTGCCACGTACACCACCGTCGATCGCACGATCAAGCTTGTCGATGAGGTGCCTGTGAACCGCAAACTCAGACTAAAGTCGAGCTTTGCTACTCAGCAGGATACTGAGTATGACAATGTGTTCGTCATTGATGAGTCTGACTCCACCGGCTGGATCTCCTGGTTATGGAGGCTATTGGGGTGGGACAAGAAAGAGGAGAAGGTGGTTGACTTGTTTGATGTGTCATTCGACTCAGATCGTTTCGAATTTAATTAATTAGGTATACTAATTTTACGGCGGAATCAGAGTTAAGTTTAGCCAGTCGGTAATGTATAGTCCAACCAATACAAGAGTAGCAACTGTCTGAAACCAGCAATGATTTATCAGCTGTGGCACTGTAGGCCTTTTTAATCTGCTGCCCAAAATCTGCAGCTCCCAAAAATACTGTAAATAAATTCATACGCGTATGGTGACGTACGAGGAGCTCAAAAAGGTTTTGAACCACCAAACAAAGGTGGTGAGCAAGCCTCTGGTCTTTGACAAGGACGTGAAACGGTTTGTGCAGCAAGTAGAAAGCGAAGCGGTCTCAGAAACACAGATTGTGCGGATCATAAATTCAACAAACAGATATCTAAGCAAGCGATATGGACAGTTCTTTCATCGCCAAAGTATAGTGCAGATTATTCAGCAAGTCCTGAACAACGAGCACGCGCTCGATCTGCAGCGCAAGGGCAAGCTACTTGCACTGAACGAGATTTTGATGAATTTCGGATCAGACACCGTGGTGGACGTCAACGGAAACTACGAAGACGAACGCGGGTCCAATAACATTGATATGAACGGGATCATGAGAATCAAACAGGAGGAGATCCTAGGCATGATCGACGAGCTACCAGACCCAGACAAGCTCACTGCCAAAAATGACGGACTTCTAGAGCGCTACGATGAGCTTCGGTCAAAGCTGGCAGATAATCGAGCCAGATTGCTCGAGCTGCAGGATAAAAAAAAGTACTACGAGAAAACAAGAAAGCTGCTCAGTGAAATGACGGACACGACGCAGGATCCTGATTCCACCTTACAGAAGAACCTCGTGCTCAACACCAATGACCAGCTGGTCAATGAGGTCTCGCAAACACGAATTCAGCTGGCAATGATGAGTGAAAAATTGCAGGACCCAGAATTCGCGGCCCAGCTAAAAAAGAAGCTCAAACTAGACCTGGATTGATTATTCGGGGCCTCTACACTTCGCTAATAGAATTAAAACTGACATCGCTTGATTTATACACTAATCGAACAAACCGAAACCCATGTCGTCGTCTTCTTCTTCCTCAGCAGCCTCTTCCTCCTCGGCAGCAGCCTCCTCAGCAGCAGCACCGGAAGCAGCAGCGCCAGCAGCAGCTGGAGCAGCACCACCAGCTGGGATTGAAGCAAGCTTAGTAGAACCCTCGGCAATCAGCTCCTCGACAGACTTTCCTTCAAGAGAGGAGAGCAACAAGTTGAGCTTTTCCTGCTCAATCTCAGCACCAACCGACTCGAGCAGAGCAGTGATGTCAGCGGCAGATGGAGAGGCGTTACCACCTTGTTGCAACAAAAGGTATGCGGCTAAGTACTTCATTTTCTCTGGAACTGTAGAATAATCACGTTTAAGCTGTTTCAGCAGACTATCCTTTGATTAGTTCTGTGAAGAAATATATTTTTTGGTGAAAATTTTTGATATAGGGTACAAAAAATATCGTCGACATCACGTGACACATAGTTTCAAAGATTAATCTTTAGATCTAATGACGGAGGAGTCGATCCTGAATGACTCGCTGCGCGAGATCGTTGTGGGCTCCGTTTCGGGTGCCATCGGAAAGCTGATAGAGTTTCCGTTCGACACAGTGAAGGTGAGACTCCAGTACTCCAAATCTCTCTCCATTCCTCTCTTCACATCGACTCTAGACTGCATCACCAAAACATACAAGAACGAGGGAATATACAAAGGATTTTGGAAAGGCCTACCGTCGCCGATGATTGGAGCGTCGCTGGAGGCGAGCTCACTTTTTTTCAGCTACAAAATAGCCCAGGATTTGGTCAATCTATCGCAAGGCAACCGGATCAACACAGAACTGCCCCTTGGACAACGTCTTCTGTGTGGCTGTTTTAGTGGTATCACCACAAGTTTTATATTGACCCCTGTGGAGCTCGTGAAGTGCCAGTTGCAGGTCGACAATCTCAAAGTGGGCCAGGCTAACTACACCTCTCTTGGTCACGTGATCAAGACCGTTTTGCGGCAGGAAGGTGTACGCGGACTCTGGAAGGGACAGACTACAACGACGGTGCGTGAAGCTGGAGGGACTGCAGCGTGGTTTGGATGTTATGAATATACTTTAGATTGCTTCAAGGGCGACCGCGGCCCAGACTACGAATATAAGGCCCATGAGCTACTCATTGCTGGAGCCATGGCTGGGATTGGATACAATGCCTCATTATTTCCTGCAGACACGGTGAAGAACGTTATACAGACAAGCGAAACACAGGAAAACATACTTGGGGTGTTCAAAAAGATATATCTAGCGCACGGAATCCGAGGATTCTATTCGGGTCTCGGCATCACCCTGATCAAGACAATACCTGCGAGCGCGGCGATGTTTTACTCCTATGAGCAGCTCAAAAAGCTCTGGAATTAACTAGATAGCGAGATCCTTTGCAGGCAGGGGATCTTGTTTGACACGCTTGGCTTTCCGAATCAACAGGTCGGTTTTTTGGACGAGCTCTTCTTTGAAATAGAACAGGAATGCAGCACTTAGAATACTCTGGAGCAATTTCAGGCTCAGTCCGCTGTAGAGGTTCAATATTCCCTCGTTCTTTGCAATATCCAACATGATGGAAAGCATGCCTGGTGCCTTTTTAGGCTTCTCGAGATCGTGAAGTTGGGCCGAGGACTCGATGTCATCAGGAAGCGACTGAACAGAGTCTGCTGCGGTTATTTCCGAGCTTGAAGTAGCAGGGGCCGAATGCGAGTCTCTGACACTATGCAAGTGCATCCGGGACCTGACCGTTATGTAAGGATATGTGACGATAGTAGCGATCAGCTTTCCGAAGGCTCCTAGTATCAGGGCGTCGACAGAGCTGAGTGCCCTTCTGCGCTTGGTGACTATAAGCGTCTTGAGTTGTTCAAAGATGGTGTACTGGATGATTGGGTTCAGAACCAGAAAAAGCGCCGGCACCAGCCCACTGAATAGGTTTTTCCATCCTTCGTTTCTCACAATCGATAAGATCACCTGGACAGTGTTTTTGGGGGCATTCTTTCTGGAAGATCTTTTCAAGACGGTCAGTCTGGTATTTGCGATCCAAATCGGGTTTGTTACAATTCTGGAAACGACGCCGGCCACTAGTCCGGCTAAAATACTTTGGGAAGCAGTGAGTCCTTTCTTGAGTGTCGTGGGAGTGTTCTTATCTTTTCTGAGAGCAGAGCCGGTCAGTTCATAGAAATAATAGTAAACAAAGTTCGTCGCAGTTATTCCAACCAGTGCGCTTTCCAAGCCATTGTAAAGGTTCTTGGCTGCTTCAGCAGTTATTTTAGTATCCTCATTCTTCTTCTTCGAGGCCTGTGCTTTGGTGGAAAGAGTAACTAGTGGATAAGTCAAGGCCATTGAGATCAAGCCTCCTAGTCCACCGGCCACCCCGTGAGCCAAACTATCTGCTTCTTTCGACATTGTCGGTATAAAGAAGAAGAGAGAGTAAATTATAGCTTGCTTCTTCAGATAGGCTATACCCAGGATCGGGTAACAATTATATTTCCGTTTCGGGATCTAAAAAATAATTTAAATTGATCATGTCGTCAACGCTTCCTTCGCTAAAGCAATTTTGGAAACAGACCCTGTTCCTGTCTGTGCTCGCGATTGGAACGGCAGCGTTTGTCAAATCCAAAGTGACCATTCGCCGAAAACAACAATATATCAAGGAAACCTCGTCGTTTGACTCAACACAGAAGAAGCAAATTGCAGACGTTAGACCTGGATTTCCCGAGAGAAACCCAGACGACGAGAAGTACAAAAGAAAGAGCGAGTATGAAGGAGCAGGAAACAGCTACATGAGTAGAAAGCACGGCGACAAGCTAGCTTGGTGGGGACGTGGAAGTGATTGATACAATTTCTGTAAATATAAAATATAGTATACATTTTGAACTACTGTTTGTCGTTGGAGGAGAAATAGTCGGCCATCTCCTGGTCCAGCTCCTCGACAGTCTTCTTCCTCTTTGGAGCAGCCTTCTTGGCTGGCTTGGCCTTCTTCTGAATAGGCTTGACCTTCTTAGGAGCGGCCTTACGCGAGGCAACCTTTCCAGATAAAGCCGGAGCAGCAGCCTGGTTTGGAATGATTCTTGAGGCGAGAGGTTTCATGGCTGGATCAACGATAAGCTCGAGTCTCAGTGTAGTCTTTCCTCCATCGATTGGGGCCCCGTTGTAGGACTCGACAGCCTTTTGAGCCTGCTTCGATTTCTGGAAGATTACAGTGGCAATACCTTTAGATTGTCCTTTCTCGTTGTAGGAGAGCGAAACTGTCTTGACACCACCGATTTGCGACTGGAAAAATTCCTAAAATTTGTTAGTAAACGAGCGACTCTATGGGACGGCATAGCGGAAGGTTTGTTACTGATGAACAGCGAAGCTTGGACAAGGCAGTGTGCAGAGAGGAGGGTGACCGGTTCGTCGTTAGAACAATCAGAACGTTTCAACAAGTATAGTCATGGTAGCCTCAAGCTACCCCGATCAGCATCAGTTTGCAACTGCGAATCCCCGGGGCCCGACGGCCCAGATTCATCCATTATAAGCTTCAGCTTCGTCATCGTCTTCGCGTTTTTGTCTATCCCTGTGTCTCAACATACCTTGACAGCATCGTTTTTGATGTCTTTAGGTAATCCATAGACAACGACCTTCGACGCGTAGTCAACAGCACTGGCCGGAGCTGGCGCAGGCTTCGAGAGGACGATAGGTTTTTTGGCACTTTTGCCAGCAGCAGCCTTACCAACTTTGGTAGGCTTGACAGTCTTCTTTGTGCCTTTGAAAGGCTTCTTTTTCAGAGCCGGCTTCTTGTTCGAAGCAATGATGGCATCCAGTGATTGTTCTAACGACGACATGACCTGTTAAACGTTGAAGAGGACGTGCTGGGTTTTTTTTTTTCCCGAAGGCGAAAGGAGTGAAAAAACGAGAGCTCTACGATAGGGTAACGAAAATTGTGTTCCTGCCTTTCGTGCGTCGCGTCGATCGCCCAGTTTTCCGTTTACATATAATTACATGCGTAATTGTTGTCCTGTTCATGGTGCCTACGCTCGACTACATATTAGTATCGGAGTTCGACAAACTCAAGGGAGTGGTTGTGAAAAGGCAGTTCCCTTCATCCCCGGCCGTTGACCAGCTGGATGGGGTCATTGACCTGCTTATGCCCTTGAACCTGCATAAGTATCTAAACACTATTCATTACACTCTGGTCCCCCTGTTCATTGATCCTCTGTCAGGGATGCTGTCTTGGGAGGCACGGACCGAAAGCTACAAGAGAGTTTACCTCTACACGTTGAGTTATTTCCAAGAAGACCGATCCTACAGAAATGGCACCGCTATGGCTTTGTCAATCCTAACTCGCCTGCCACTATTTGAGATTTTCAAACCACTAATGACCTATTTGCTTCATAATCAGATGGCAGCATCTGAAAACGCTGATATCATTGAGCTGACCCTCAAGGAACTGAACAAGATTAGAATCGCTGAACTCATAGACGAACTTAGGTTAAACAAGCATGCAAGATTTTTGCTAAGCCGTCTTGATGACCTGGACGTTTCTGTGCCTTCTCGCTTGACAGAGTTTACCAAATCTGACCGCTTCTTTAGGTCCGCTCTGAATCTTGGCAAGATCAAGTTTCCTCTTCAAATTCCGGCATTACCCCTAGTGTCGTCGTCGTGTGCTATGTACGGTATTGACTTGGCCAGAGAACGACTTCTGAGGGAGTTTCTCATTAAAGTGAGCAATCTAGAACTGATTCTTCCGAAACACTCGTCTTTGGTACCATATTCCTCGATCGAACCACTACATGTGATTTTCAACGCTATCCTGACCAAAAAGAAAATTGTCCTCTACTCCTACGACTCATGCTATAACGACCTGATGGATATCGCCCAGGCCCTTCTTCTTCTTGTTGATGGCGATTATCCATGCTATCCGATTCTAGACCTTGCCGCCTTGGACATTCCTTTGCAGCTGCCCCACTACATTGTCGGCACATCTAATCTACTATTCAAAGACCGTCTGCCTTGGGATTTATTTCTTAGTCTCGACTCTAATCAGTTGTTAGTTCGAGAAGAAGAAGATATCATTGAAAAGAAAGCTTCAAAACGGGTATCGACGGACTCTAAATTCAGACAGCTGTTTAGAAAGAGCACTCCATCGGTCTCGACAATCAAAGAGGGCATTGATCACATAGTGCTGGATAATTCCTGGGACCCAACATTTCCCGTGGTTGATCCAGAAGCTGACAAAGAGTTTTTCGCGCCAGTGACTGAACCAAGCTTCTTTTCTACAGGATTCAGTTTTACGCCCTCTATCCCTTCAAATGCCGAGCCACCCCGTATTCACACTCAGATAAACGAGTTGGTAGAAAAACTTGTGGAGGAGCATCATGGAGACCTGACGATTTATCAAGCATTGACGAAGTACCTCTACGAGCTTGAATCTGTTGTTTTCAAAGCATTCAAGTTTTACATTAATTTAAGCAAGCTGAAAAGCTATAGACATTTTGCTCTTCTAAAGCTGCAGGAACCGGAGTTCGAAGATTACACATTGATTCCAGAACTGCGACTATTCATCAAAGAAAATCAGATTGTTCTCCCGCTGGCCATTAATTATCCATACAAAGAGGATATGCCGCCACCAATTAACAACAAACTGCTGGACTATTATACTTCAGTTATGAGTCAAAACCACGGTTTATTCAAGACTTTCGAAAAAACAGAGTTGCCCACTGATACCGTGTATTACTGGCTTGACGGGTATTGTTTTGAGCTAGATCTTAATCTTTTGTCGAAAGAAGTTTCTCAACTTCTTGAAAGGGGGAAAGACGTTGGCCTTCCAAAACGCAAACTGTACCAGCTCTTCAGAGCCATCAATCAGCTCCTGAAGTCCAAATCCACTGAAGGCCTTGAAAAGTTCCTCGCGGCATTGTACGTGCAATCTGGTGGCTTTGAGTCCTTTGAGAACCTGCTTATAATTGCCTCACTCTACATTAGCAAACCCCGCAACAAGAATGATGTGGTGATTACCGAATTCAAGCGGTTTCTCAGTCTGATACTAAATCACCAGTTCTTCACAGTTTATATGCTTCCGCGTTTGAATGATTTCATCAAGCTTAGCATAAATGACTTTATAGATCATCACATGTACTAACCGCACATGAAATAAAATCTCCAAGGAGTGTCTAGCTTATCGAGCTCAATTTCAACCAGTTTTAATCCACCTTGGTAGGAGGCGAGCTCTTGATCTAATGCTTGAGCTTGGTGAACCCTGACTGATGAAGTACATGAATCACCCCCAAAAGCGTCCAATAGCTTGGTCCATTTCCAGCCAGGCATGATGTCATTGTACGACCTTTCGGCCCCCTTGATAGCACGCTCAACTGTGTATCCGTGATTGTTGAGAAGCAGAATCAACGGGCTGAGTCCATGTTTAATAAAAGCTGATAGCTCCTGAATTGTCATTTGGGCTGAGCCGTCACCTTCAAGGAGGATCACTCTCGAGTCAACACCCATTTCGCGGTTTGCAACTGCAACGCCGAATGAGCAAGGTAGAGCCATTCCTATTGAGAGATAAAAATGCTGTCCTACTAATTTGACATCCTTGGGGAGCCTTAGATCTGGGAGACCGAACATGACAGAACAGGTGTCGACGACAACTATATCGTTTGGCTGGATGAACTTTTGGAGCGAAGATAATAGCTGTGATTGTGTGATCGCAGCTGTTGACGGCGTTTCTTCGATATGGTGTTCCATGCGAGGGATGGTGAACTGCGGGAGCTTTGACGGGTTCAGATTTGATACAATTTTAGGAAGTACAGGCACAAAACCAACATCGAACTTGGTCGATCCAATAATGATATTTTCGTGGTTCATGATTATCAAGGATTCAGGGTGGAGGCCATTGTAAAGGGTGTGTTTTCCTGAATTGATCTCGTTATTGAACGCGCCAATGTGAATCACCAAATCGCAGGTCTGGACGAACTGCTGAACCTCTTTTTCGGAAGCATCTCCATTGTAATCGCCAATGTACGAAATTTCGGTCTCGTCTAGAACTGATTTGCCCATAAATGTGGACAGGTTTGGAATATTGGTTTTTCTGACAAAGGCACGGACCTCATCAGTGAGCCCGAACCGGTCTGTCAGGATATCAACTAGCATGCAGGGGGCTGTGGAGCTATAGATTTTCGATAGCACCAGTGACGCAAGCTGGCCACAGTACTCAATTGGCCTGATCTCCATTGGTCTATACAGATCCAGGTCTCCCAATCTCAGCGCACTAACAGGTATGTTCACCAGATCGCATGGAATAAAGAGATAGCCAGGTCTTTTGGTCTCCATAATTTCCTTGATCAGAAAATCAATTCTCTCTGGGGCATCGTCCACGCTTTTCAGGCTTTCAACCTTGCAGGCTAGTCTCTCAACAAGGGTCTCATAAATGTAGTGGTCTGACTTGTTTGAGATCAGTTTGTTTGGTGCCACATGGTGCGTCAATTCTCCCCTGCTTTTTTGCACTGTCGATGTTGTGCCGACTATATGCAAAAGGGGAACGAATTCCGACCAAGCACCACAACAGGCATTCAACGCAGAAAGTGAGCCCACTCCGTATGTTGTAATCAGAACTCCAAATTTATGAGATGCTCTGGCGTACCCGTCTGCTGCGTACCCAGCGTTAAGTTCATTACATCCTCCGTACCACTTGACATTGGTCGAGTAGATGTGTTCCAAGAGAGAAAGATTGAAGTCTCCAGGCACACCAAAGGCTGACCTGACTCCTAGGCTTTCAATTCGCTTAAATAGGTATTCCCCCAGTGGAATGTGGGATTGAGCTGAAGAAAGAGGAAAAGGACCCATTTCTAAAAATTAAAAAAGGGATCTGCCCGTTTAGTATTTCAAATCACTGGAAGGCATAATTTTTATGTTCTATTTATACGACTCTCAGCTCAGTAAACAATATCAGCGCCACGGTGAGGAGTGACCACATGGCTTTGAGGTTCCAGCAGAAAATGAACCTTGGTTATTGAGACCTCCAGCGGCTCCCATATATCGACGCGACGGTAGACGCATAGTTAAAAAATTATTTCACAAAATTTTTTAGATCGATTAAGTATGGAGCTTCCGAAACTGAATCTGGGGTCCCTTAGGGACCAGGTGACAAAAACGCTGGAGCGTGGGAAGAAAGAAAAACCAAATAATAATGGGAAAAGAGCACCAAAGAAGAATGGTAACAAAGGCCCGAAAAACAGCAAAGAGAAGCACACTGCGAAGCCTAAATCAAATAATAGCCACAAGAAAGAGAGCTCTGACGATGTTCTCAGAACAGCAGCATTGGAATTGGGCGCTACTGAAGAAGACATAAAGCTGGTTGATGGCGTGGATGACGAAGCAAGTGAGCAAGAGTTTGAGGATGCTCCTGTGGATAATAAGCTCAAAAAGGAGCTGTCCAAGTTTATGAAGGGACTGGATCTTGAGGAGCCGGAGTCGGTCGAGGAAGAGCAGCAAGGAGGGGAGGAGGAAGTGGAGGAGGAAGCGGAAGAGGAAGAGGAAGAGGAATCTGAAGAAGGGGCCGGCCCAGACTCCGAAATCGAGCCAGAAAAAAAACCTGAAGAAGCAAAACCCACCTCTAAGAAAAGCGATAGACTGCAAAGTTTGCAGACTGTCAGCTCTGACAGACTAGTTGTGCCTCCACGTAACGACTGGTTCAACGAGAAGCTTCCAGATGTGAAGAGCAGCACACTTCAGCCGAAAGAGATTGAAGAGCTCTACGAGAACGCCAAACGCATGTACAACAAGGAGCAAGAAACATACATTGAGGAATTCAACAAGTCATCGTCTCAGAAACGATTCCTGTCCCAAGTTCTTACTGGAGGTACATTGAACGATAAAATTTCTGCGCTGACTCTTTTGATTCAGGAATCTCCTCTGCACAACCACAAGGCTCTGGAGACCATGTTTGCCATGTGCCAGAAAAAATCCAGGACAGCAGCCTTACAGTGTATTGAAGCTCTGGTTGATTTGTTTGTCAACGGTGTCATTCCCGCTGATAGAAAACTGAGATACTTCAACAAGCAGCCACTCAGAAAGGACATGAGTCCGAAGGAGATGGTTGTGTTTTATTTTGAGGATTATCTCAAGAAGAAGTATTTCCAATTTATTGGAACGCTGGAAAAGCTTCTTCAAGATAGCATTGTGCACGTGCGTACCAAGGTGGTCGGCTATGTCTTTGCTCTGCTGAGAGCAAAACCAGAACAGGAGGCCAATCTGCTAAGAATTGGCGTCAACAAGTTGGGAGATATTGACAACAAGGTGGCCTCGAAAACGTCGTACCATATTCTGCTTTTAGAGCAGCAGCACCCGGCCATGAAGGAGATTGTCGTGGAAAATATATTCGACGTTCTTTTCCGCAAGAACAACGACCACCATGCCATATATTACTCGACAATCACGATTAATCAGACAATTTTGACGAGAAAGGAGGACAAGCTGGCCAACAAACTAATGGACGCATATTTCAAGCTGTTCGAGAAGCTGCTCCTCGAGACAGATAGCAGCAATGTCACCAAATTGAAGGAGGCAGACCACCAAAAGGACGGCAGACGCAAGAGAAATTTCAAGCGCGGTAAGAAGGGAGGAAAGTCGGAGAAAAACGAAAAGAGCGAGCAAGAGGCACTAGAAGAGCGCAACAGCAAGATGTTTGCTGCCATTTTGACCGGTCTGAACAGAGCTTTCCCCTTTTCGACTCTTTCTGCGTCTGTTTTCGAGTCGCACCTTGACACGCTGTTCCGCATCACTCACAGTGCCAACTTCAACACCAGCGTGCAGGCGTTGATGCTGATCCACCGAATCACACAGAAGGGAGAAATCAACAAGGACAGATACTACAGAACACTGTACGAGAGTTTGCTAGATGACCGGCTCGTGTCCTCGTCGAAACAAAATATTTATCTGAACCTGCTTTTCCAGTCGTTGAAGGAAGACACCAACAAGGACCGTGTCATGGCCTTTGTCAAGCGGATATGCCAGGTCTGTCTGAATTGGATCAACATCGGTCCGGTTGCCGGAATGGTGTACTTGCTTGTCGAGCTCGAAAAAGAGGTGCCTGAAGTTCGGAACTTGGTGTTCAACGCTCCGCTCGAAGACGGCGAGCAGAAAAAAGAGTACGACTCGCGGAAACGAGACCCGCAGTTCGCGAACGCACAGGACTCGTCTCTGTGGGAACTGAACGTGTTTTCGAACCATTTCCATCCTACAGTGACTCACTACACGGAGGCTTTCTTTGCGAACAACACCAAGGACCTGCAGAAACCGAACCTCGGACTGTTCACTTTGGCCCACTTCCTGGACAGGTTTGTGTACAAGAAGGCCAAGATGAAGCCTACAACGCACGGCCAGTCGATCATGCAGCCGCTCGCCGGCGCACACACGGGCCAGCTTCTCGTGAAGACCGATGTGCATGGACAGCTTCCAACCAATACCGAAGACTGGATCAACAAGAAGGCGTCCGAGATCCGTCCTGAGGACAGGTTCTTCTACGAGTACTTCAGCACGAGACAGGAGAAGGCGCTGGCCTCGAAGATGGACAGGGAGTTGAACAGGAAGGTGCGCGAGGACGACGACGAGGAGTCTGATATCGACGAGGACAGTGTGTGGAACGCCCTGGTGAAAAGCAATCCCGAGGTGGAGGGTCCTAGCGAGGACGAGCTGTCTGACTTTGAGATGAGCGAACTGAGCGACGAGGAGGAGCAGGAAGAGGTGGAAGAGGAAGAGGAAGAGGACGAGGACGAGGACGGACTGGTCACTTTGAGGACTGTGGACGATCTGGAGGACGATGACGAGGATGCTGAACAGGAGGAGGCCGAGCCGAGTACGGGCAAGTTCAGCGACTCGTCGGACTCGGATATTGGGGAGCTGATGGGAGAGTCGGAAGACGAGTCGGAGGAGGAAGAGGAAGAGGAAGAGCAAGAGGAAGAGGAAGAGGAGGAGTCCAGAAAGCGGTCAAAACAGTCCACCGGACAGTCGAAGAAGCTCAAGTCGCTGCCTACGTTCGCCTCTGCGGACGACTACGCCGAGTACTTGAACTCTTCCGAAGACGAGTACTAGACGGTAAATAATTCGTAATCACATATTGCAACGGTGTCTGGAGTACGGGCTGAGGCGTGTTTTGATTTGCGGCGTGCGCGCTCCTTAAACACGGTTGGCCTATTTTTTAGCTTTGCCGCCGCGCCGCACAACACGATGGTTTGTTTACCAGAAGAAAAAACACAATCTTCTCGTAAAGTTTCCAAGCCATGTTCGAAACCCCGTTGCCACCTCGGAAGAGCGCATTTCCCACGCCTCCGAGCACCCAGAACCGGCCTGGCGCCTACTCGGGACAAGCAGGACTGCCTGACATGGGGCTGAGTCAGTTTGCGGACGACAGCTTCAATGCGTCCGAGCTGAGCATCGACCAGAGCATGCTGACCGACGACTCTCCAGTGTCTCGCAAGCGGCGGATCGAGACGCCCCAGAGCGATCAGCCAAGCAAGATGCGGGCCAGCAGCGAGAAAGAGCAGGAGAAATGGCCCCAGGACGTCGAGGAGGCCTTTGAGCAGGCGTTGCGGATCATCCCCAAACACGGGCTCCACAAGATCAAAATCAATGGCCGTGCATGTGGACGCAACGAGCTGATCTCGGACTACATCTACGCCAAGACAGGAAAGGTCCGGTCGCGCAAGCAGGTCTCGTCGCACATCCAGGTGGTGAAGAATATCAAAAAACGGCCCGAGCTCACCAAACTCATTTTGGAAGGTCCTCCGTGCGACGAGGAAACCAAACGACTGTTTGACCAGGAGTTCAGCCAGATCTCGATGGCGAAAATGGCCGCCGCCGACAAAAGCCCCGGGTCCTCCAAAGTGCAGACCATCAGGTATCCGCTCACTCCTATCCACCCGGACAACAACGCGTTGCGCCAGCAGCTAAGCCTGGCAGACCTGTTCCGGATCGACCTCAGTCTCAAGAAATTCATCATGAACTACGTCGACTTCGAAGAGCCAGAGAACTCCCACATGTTCACGTCTCTGCCGGACGACTACTACCAGCCGCCGCTGCGGATCCGCACCAACGCCGACCTGAGCCACCGGTTCCCGCAGCTGTTTGAGCTCATCGACCAGATCAAGGCGCAGACGCCGTCGTCGCCGTCCACGCAGATGCACTCCACGCTGCCGCCTGTGCCGCTGCTGCACGGCATGGTGAAAATGGTTGCTCCGGGCGAAAACCAGGACACCAACTCAGGACACTTTAATGTCAACTCGAGCCTCCAGCTGCACGGCATTCCGGCTACCGACCGCAAGTACGCGTGCCTGACGCTGATATACTCCTACGGACGAACAATTGTGACCACCCTGGAGAAGCTCGAGACCAAGGTGGTGCGCAAACAGGGCGCGCACAAAGACATCGCTCTGGAGATCAGGCTGGGCACAAACTACTGGGCAGACTTCTTCGCCAGCATTCGCCGGCTCTTGAACGCGCCCGAAACCAAAGACATTCGCAAAGACCTGCTCACGCGCGCGATAAAGGGCATCACCATGAAACAGGTGATTGTCAACGTGAACGACGAAAACGAGCTGGTAGCAGAAACAAAACCGCGCATTTCGCTCGACCACGTCCGCAAAGACAACGTGCGGGCCATCATTCTATGGGAGTTCCTCAAAGTGGACGACCACAACGAGGCGAAAACCACCATACGGAGACTCCATCTGCCGTTGAGAGAACCTGCACAGCCCGTGCAGCTTCCGGAGCCAGAACCAGAACCAGCTCCTCATCACGACATCAACTTTTCCCATGCATTGCCTGACTTCCACGAAGCAGACCCATTTCTCTCGCTCAACACCCTCAACAATAACGACACACAGCTCGACGAAAATTGCTCCTATTTGTGGTGACCATGTAAGTGCTCAAAATAATTTTTTTAGGTGCCCGAAATATCCACACGATTTATGTCTGGAACCAGCTCCTACACGCTCAATTCCGGCGCAACCATCCCGAAAGTCGGCCTTGGGGTCTACGACATTCCAATTGAGACGACCGAACTAGTGGTTTACGAAGCCCTCAAGGCAGGATACCGACACGTGGACTCTGCTGCCACTTATGACAACGAGGAGCAGGCTGCCAATGGAATTGCCAGGTGGCTGGCCGAGAACCCGACCCACAAAAGAAGCGAGATCTTCTACACCACCAAGGTCTTTGACGACCATCACGGCTACGAGCTGACCAGACAGTCTGTTGAGGAGTCGCTTGAAAAGGCGGCCAAAATCGGCTACATTGACCTCGTCCTCGTCCACTCGCCAAGATCGGACTACAACATGCGCCACGGCACCTGGAATGCGCTCCAGGAGTTTGCGGCCAGCGGAAAAGTCAAAAATATTGGTGTTTCTAATTATGGCATCAAACATCTCAGGGAGCTTCTGGCCTACCCGGACCTCAAAATAAAGCCCGCTGTCAACCAGATTGAGCTCCATCCGTGGCTTCTGCGCCCGCGATTGGTGAACTATTGCAAGAGAAACAATATTGTTGTCGAGGCCTACTCTCCTTTGGCCAAGGGATACAAATTCGACGATCCCGACCTGCTGGCCGTGGCTCGGAGACACCGAAAAACGCCTAGCCAGATTTTGATCGCCTGGTCCCTGCAAAAGGGCTATGTCGTGCTGCCAAAAACAGAAAAGGTAGCCCGACTAAAGCCCAATCTTGATGTTTTCGACATCAGGCTGTCAGCAGACGACCTGAAACGGCTAGAAAAACCTGGCGAGCACTTCAACACAGGCTGGGACCCTACGGTGTACCCGCTGGACAACGAGAAATAGCTGCGACATAACCATAGGTACTTTTATTTAACATTCTCCTCTTCCCAACCATCAAAGTAAAGATCTAGGAGACAGGAGGCACTCCATGCCTGAGTGGGGCTCGAATCGCCACAGAACTCTCCATTTTTCTGTGTCAACTCGGTCAGTCCTGCCCAGACACTCTCGTCGATCCACTTTTTGTGGCCAGAAAGCCTCTTGGATAGCAACTGGTGCATGTAGTGGGTAGAATTACCGTTGTCAGAGCATCCTGGATGCTCATAAAGGTGAACATGCCGGAAAGCACGCATGAAGTATCCCAGAATCCAGCACCATTCAGGACCCTGGTGGTAGTTGCGTCCCTTGGCCGTCGCAAAGTCCATGGAGTCCACGCTGTTCAAATAGTACGGCCGGTAATTGTAATCGCTTGGATCCAAAGTAGCCAGTCCAATAGGTCCTCTCAAGATACGATCGGCCATCTGAATAGCTTTCAAGGCGCGCGAGGGAGTGAATAACTCTGGTGCAACTGCAATGGCAATAGGGAAATTGCCACGAAGCTGGTAATCCTCGTATTCCTTTCCAGATCTAAAGAGATCCTTGTAAATTCCACGACGATTGACAATTTCTGGGTTGATCACAAACTTGCTATCCTCAGCAGGGTCCTCGGGGATATAGTAACATTTTTCGAAATTGTCTTGTAGCAGCTGATTCCAGTGCTCAAAAGTAACTGTGTCACCCTTTTGGGTCTTGAGTTCTTTGTAGTCAAATAGACCCTTATTTTGTAACTCAATGACAAAACGCAGTGCACTCTTCAGCAAGGCATTGATTTCCACTGCAGCTCCATCTCGAGGAGTTCCTGGATACCCTTTATTGCCCGCGAGACTGCTCTCGCCCATTTTATCCATCCACGTTCCACAGTTGAACTGGTTGCCTCCGTGAACTAGACCTGTTTCCCAATCAACATGGATCTCAACATTGAAACCTTCATCCTTCATCTGTGAGTCTATCTGGGGGCCAGCATTGGCCTCTCTAAACTTGATTCCAGCTGCATGGCGACTGAATATCTCGTATATTATTTCTCTGATTGTGCTTTCGTAACTAAAAGCTAACGGGTCATCAACAGGAATATAGGTATCGTCCAAGGGGAACCGCCTTTTCACTTTGCAGTCCAGAATATCAGCTCCGTTTGGAGCCCATTTGATATAGCTCTGAATAGACTCCAAAAACCACCATGCCGCATCCCGCGCATTATACCGTGGCTCTTTACCCGAACCAAGCAGGTTTGGAATCAGCCCGTGTTTGAGTGTCTTTGCAAAACTCAAAATATGGTCTTTGGCCTCATCAAACCGGCCTGTGACTATCAATAATCCACGCAGAGCAATAAATATATCTCTGCCCCAACATCTCATATAGTCGTAACTAAAATGTGGCAGCCCAGCAGCCATAGACGGAATAATTGTATGGGGATGAATAGAGGCACTTCGCATGTATGCGATCATCTGAACAGAAACCATGGCCAGACTTTGAACAAACCGCGTGCTTCTCTGGATTCTTGGAGTCATCAGCCTCAATGCTTGGAATCTCAGTGCTTCATAGGCAATGCCAACCACCAAGGCAAAATAGCGAGGGACAAGGAAATACGGCACTTTCTTGACCGCGTAGAGACGCGACTCAAGCCAAACCTTGAATTCTGAAACGGCTGTTCCGTAGCTCTCATACTTGGTCAGTCGAGAAGGAATATAGTCCAACGCCCAGGTACCCGATCGAAGATGGTCCGACAAAGGATGAGCTAGGTCATTGTTCCGGATGATATGTTTCAGAACTGATATCCAGCCCTGGATTCCAGCATAAACAAGATGTCCGTATCCAGGAACGTCATAGTTGCCTTCTCTTCCAGCACTGGCATCACGTTCTTCTGATTCGCATCGATACAGAATGGCATTAATATCCAGCAGCGTCAGGTTTTTGGCCGCTTCTAGAGCACCAGACCGGACAAACCGATCCAGCTGATAATCGCAACCAGGTATAGTCGTACTCAACACTGCAATGGACCCTTGCGGAAAGTTTGATGGTAGTTTGATCAGGCTATCCTGGCCCCGCATCTCCACTTCTATAGGACCTATCTCTTGAAGCTCCACAGGAACAGACTTCATGTAGCCCTGTTTATAAACTGGGTCTTCACCTGTACGGACCAAAGTGTATGCAAAAAGATGCTCCACTTTTGTTCCACTTAGGACAATAGGCGCTAATGACTGGTCGCTGTCTTGGTAAAATTTGGTTCTGGCAATGAGGAAGTAGCCTTTGCCAGTTTTGGCGTTTGTTCTGTGAACAGTGATAAACTGGTCCTCATGGTGCACATGCATTTCGTTGCTTTCCAAATCCTCAACGCTCTGATTAGCAAGCTCTAGCCTGATTTTGTTGAGTTTCGTCTTCACATCACCGATTCCGGAGCCATATGTATATAGTTTGTCTTCTTTGACAACATCTAGCAGTTTGGGATAACACTCATCATAGCCAAAGGTCGTGCCCACTGCACAAGAGCAGAAAGAGACCAGGGCAGCGTTTGGTAGCGTATCCTCAACTGTACGTTTTTCGTTTGGCGTTTCATTATCATGAGTGCAGTCCATGAACAAAGCGTGAGGAGCATTGGATACAACAGATTCAGGGATGGGAATCTCACTCTTTCTCGCAAAACTCTCACTCAGCCGAGTGTGGTAGTCTTCTTCATGAACAGGATAGGCCAACTCGTCCAATGGGAGCCACTTGAATGAGCCGATTGGAGGACCTCCGTGCCGATGGACAAGCCGCGACAGTTCCCCGACAGAGTACGCTTGCATCGCCTCCCGAATCAGGGATGAGATGCCAAGACGCTCAACAAAAATAATGTCAAGCTCTTCGTTACCCGTGAACAATTCTGCCACCACGTACAGGTTTGGGTTCACCTCACGAGCGGCATCTAGCAGGGCTTCTGCAACATGCAGCGGAGTCGAATGACAATTATCCATTCTGAATCCATGGAAAAGAGAAGCCGATAGCCTGGAGTACTCAATCATTCTGGACCAAAGTGCAGGCGAGTCTTGAGGTCCGCTTCCATACCGCAATTTCACGCAGTCACCCCAAACAATGACCTCACGACGCAAATAGCACCTGGACTCATCCGAGGCAAAGTCCACAAGCGGGTTACCGCCCCAAATCCATCCATTGTTAGCTAGACTCCATTCTTTTCCACTGGAATCAGTGAATCTTGTAAAATAAGGCTCTGTCAAAGGATTTTCCTCCGTGACCTCTCCGAGTTTCGGGCCGTGATCTTCGAGTCGCATATACTTGATTCTGTTGTATAGCTGTTCCAGTATTTCGCCATTATCTTCGTCGTACTGCTTGTACAAAGGAAGATTGATCTCGTCAAGGATTTTCCTGGCATATCCTTCGACCTCAGAATATGATAAATCTCCGTAGAGATAATGCAAAACCGAAGCAAACTTTTGTATATCGAGGCGGTTGCCGAATCTAGGGCCAAGCCCGAAAGGTTTGACACATGCTCTTGAGGCAACAAAACGAGCCAGATCGGGAAGACTGGCATCTTTGGAAATGTCAAAGGAGCAGGTCCCGGTGGAAATATCCCACTGCGACTCCAGCTCAAGGAGATGGTCAGAAACGTCTACAACATAGAACTCCCATAGTTTGAGCTCACCCAGAACGTGGATCTTTATTCCGTCCATGACCTTGAGAAGGTCCTCGACGTTCCGGATATTAGTGGGGTAACCGTGACGTTCCATCGTTCTGCTGAACTCCAAAAGCAACCTGTCCAGTTCAATGGCAGGAATCAGGTGAGGGGCGGTTTCCTGGTTGTATCCGACGTCTGGGTTTTCCCTGATCCAGGTGCTGTTGTTGGCTGTGTGATTGAAGACGACATCTGTCATTGACAGAATGCCGTGCTCTTTTTCTAGTCGGGCAACCATGTTCTTCACGTCCGTTTTGCCGTTGGCGAAGGCCGTGCGGTCAAATTCAAGCTGGTCGTAGATAGAGTACGGCGAATTGGACTCGCCGCGGGTCTGCAGCGGCGTGAAGTGGATCATGTTGTATCCCTTGCGGGAGATCTCGGCAAACACAGGATCCCAGTCAAAATGGTTGGCACCCATCCATTTGGAAACCACGGATTGCATGCTGATGGCATTGAGAGGCAAATACTGTCCCTGGACAAACAGCGAGGGCGGCACAACAAAGTAAAATTTGCGCGTCGTCACAAACTCTTCCTCATCGCCCTCCTTCAGAGTATGGTATCCTATATAGTAGCAGTAGGAGCCCGGGCGGTAGATCGGCACGTCAACGGTGATGTCCTTGAACAGACTGGACGCAATTGGGTGCTTGTTGTACCTGTCTCTTCTGTACGGGTCGCTTTGCATTTTGGGGACATCTGTCCAGATGGTGCCCTTGTTTGTGATTTGAGAGCCTGCAACAATGTAGAACCTCAGAGTGAAGAGGGGACTTTCCTCTTTGGAGCAAGTAGGAAAAGTCAGAACTCCACGGCTGTTCTCGAACACGGGCTCGCCCGTGTCATTAATTCGCAAAAGAACTATCCGGGTCATAATGTTGCTGCCTTATTTAATCGCTGCTGTATAAATTAATTATCCCGAGAGGTCGTCCCACCGCGAATTTACCCCAGATTATACACAAAAATTATTCTGCTGCGCAGCTTGAGAGCTATGCGGTCTCCGAGAACCCAGTCGAAATCCAGCTCTGAGTGGCTAAAGCTGAAAACCTCGCTGTAATTGGCAAGCAGATCGTGCAAATTGATACACTCTGTCGAAACGCACACGGAAGTGTTTTGCAACCCAAGGAGATCCATCGGCACCGAAAGCCCCAGTCTCTGCAGCAGGAGCACGTAGAAGTTGGGCACTTTCAGCGCAAAGTCGGTCCGCACCACTCTCGTGTCCAACGCGTCAGGACATCGCGTGGACAAGTCCCAAACGCGGATCGTGTAGCTGTTGAAGTCGAAACACGCGAGCTTGGAGCCGTCAACGGAAAACTTGGGCTTGACGTACTTCTCGGACCAGCCCAGCTGGGCCGCCAGCTGCGCGTCTTTTGGCAACTCTGGCGTCTTCAGCGGCAGAAGTTCCCATTCCTTCTTTTGCTTAGCCATCACCACGCCGCAGTAACCCAGCTGCAGCACGGAGTCATCGAGCATGACCGAGATCTTGCATTGAGATTTGGCGAGCGCCTCGGGCGATTTTTCTCCGAGGCCTTCATAGTAAGATCCCAGGGATTCGTGAAAGTTGGTCGTGAGCAGATTGATGGTTGGAGAGCTCCCTGGACACGGCAAATTGAGGAGCACGCAGCTGATCAAAATAAATAAATTGGTTGGCGAGAGATGGGTGTTCACCAGCAGCTGGTTGATATATGTGAGCGGCGGAACAGGTGCGGTCATAAGACTCGCCAAACTGAGCACGGCAAACTGCTCGTCTAGCGTGACAAAGGCGTCGACTGCGTCCAAATGGTTATGTTGTATGAGGTTGTAGAAAAGAGCGGGAATATTGACGAGCTGTTTTAAGCGCAAACCCATTTTCTGAACCAGCATCGACATCGACATCTCTGTGGAAGCGCAGGACGCGTACTTGTCTAGTTTTGGGCCAAATTCAGGTCCCAAATCAATTTCGGCGTGGCAGAAAAGAAGACCAAGGACGAGCACGGCATAAACAGAGTAGTTCTCGGAGGAAGGAAAATAAGTCTCGTCAAGATAATGTCTCCAGGTGCTGACCAGCTCCTCGTTGAACCGGCCAACGCCGGCAAGCAATTGGTCCAGCAGAGAGAACGCCGTTCTGTTGCCAGACACGCAGTAGAGACACAGTCGACTCAGCAGCAAGAAGCTATAATTTTCCACCGCATACGACAGAAATAGCTCTGCCAGACGATCAGCGTCCACAGAGAGACGGAAAAACACCTCTACCGGAAATCTGGCCAGAGGTAGCGAGCAATGGTAGAACGTGGTGTAGGCGGACAGAAAAGCGAGGTATTCATCTCGGCTCTCTAGAACATAGTTGTCTATCTTGTCAACGGCAGAAAACTTTGGACACTCCAGCTTATCTGGCTTTGTCATGGTCTCCAAATGATGGTTTTCGCCGTTTACCACCAATGATTCTCCGTTCTGCAGATGAATGACAAATCCGTCTCCAGCATCCACAGTGGCCAAGCGTTCGGCAACTACTGCCAGGGAGGACGAGGCAACCTCAAAAAGTTGCGCCTTGCGAACCTCGTAGAGCGCCCACCCCCTTTCCTGGAGAACAGCCCACTTTCCAGGGCCCGCAGAGGCAATGTCGGTGATCCGGCCGTACTTTTGCACTCCAAACACCCCAATGCGAATCAGCATCTTGCGGTCGGCCGCCAAAAGAGACCGTGTCTGGAAGTTGTACCTGAAAATCTCGTACTGGCCAGAGGGCCCAACAACATAGATATAGAATCTGCTCAGTAGCACCACGCCCTTGGCCCAGAACGGGAGGTACAACGGCGAGCTGGTGGTCAAAGTGTTGCAGTGGGTGACGACAGTGATGATTGAGCGACTTTGAACGACCATAACCACGCTCTGGTCAATGTCCAGGAGCCAAAACCGGTCTCCCACGTACTCCAGTACAGCTTCCGCGACAAGCTCTAGGGTGTTCTGGGAGAAAACCACCACCTTGGCCTCGCAAAGCACATAGATATAGCCATTGTGCGCGCTCAGCTGTGTGATCTCCGTTTTCATGTCAATTGCCCCTACAAGACGCTCTTTGTAGGAGTATACCCAGTTTCCGTCCGCAAGAACACAGGTTCGTCCCAGCGGCCTGGGGTGTCCGTGCCACAGGCCAATTTCCGGCATTCTGACAGTGTCCACCTCGACAGTGCGTTTTGCGGTCTCTTTATACGGTCCAGCAACAGCCAGACTCAAATTGATTGCCCTCATATCATGTTAATATATTTATTTTTTACACCATCTCTCTATATATTATTCCCTGCAATTTATAGCTTCCGGGGTAGCACACAAAAATACAGTCCAAAATGAGCTGGTCCATAATTTGGCACGCCGTCAGCAGCTTCGTGTCGCCGTTTACCACCTGTAGCAAGTTTAGTTTTGTCACCAAGTGCTCTAAACTGTGGTATCCGGACTGCGTCTGTCCAAACGTAACCACGGTGTCGAGAGAGACCACTCCCTGTTCTTTCAAAACGGCTAGCTCCTTTCGCAGACTGTAGTTCGTGACATAGCCATAGAGCTCGCCGTCGCGCAACACCGGATAGCCCTTCACCTCCTGGGCTCTTTCGATATCCGCGAGAGTCAGAGTGCCGTCCTCAAATACATGTATCTCCTCAGCCGGCATCATCACCGACGCACAGGTTTTCACCGCATAGTCAGGGTTCGAAAGGCGGTCCTCAATGTTGGGTGCCACGTACGGCAGGCTGGAGATTTGCAGCCACATCTCGTAGATGCTCTGGTCCACAATCATGTCGTTCAGAAAGCGCGCACAGAAAACACCGAGCATGATCGGAATCATATACGTGACAGCCCCAGTGAGCTCAAACAAAATGACCACCATGGTGATGTTCATTTTGAAGACGGCTGCCGCAAACGAGCCGGCGCCGACAACAGCATACGAGGCCACAGAGATGCACTTCTTTTCGTTGAGACACTGGAGATGGAGCGCTGACGTAATCAGCTGGTTCTGGACGGCTTCGAGCAAGACGCCAACGAGCCGCCCCACGGAGCCGCCGATCACTAAAGACGGCAGCAGCAGTCCACCCGGGACGTTGCAGCCGTAGCTGTATGCGCTGAAGAAGAAGCTTTGCAGAATTCCGGCAACGAGAGTCCACACAAGCTTCCAAGGGAAGCCAGAGTCTTGGGAGCATAGCAGGCCGTCCGATTCTTGCGTGCAGCTGTTGAACAGCTGCTGGAGCATTTTTGGGAGCGAGAACATCGAGTAGCTGGACAGGTGGCCCACTACGGCACCTGCCAGCGCGATCGAAACGACCTCAACGATTTTTAATTTATCGTTGTCGAGTCTCTGCTGTCGAAAGGTTGCAAAATAAATATTGAGCTTGCAAAAGAAAATGCCGAGCACGCCGCAAAGAAGTCCCAGAAACATGTACGGGACCGTTTCGTAGCTGAGCCAGTTGTTTTTGAGCGACACCGTGAACATGTCGTCGATGTCCATCTCCATAAATGGGTGTAGTTTCTGGAGTACGGTGACGCCGACGGTAGAGCAGATAAATGCGTTCCACATGAGTTTGTCGATGGGGAACGCGGAATGGATCTGTTCGAGACCAAACAGCACGCCGCCGATGGGCGCATTGAACGCGAGGCCGATCCCAATGGCGACTGCCGACGAGAGGTACTCTCTTTTCACCGCCTCGTTCTGCGTGAGCGGGAGCAGGTTGATGAAAAACTGCATCACCCCCATGGAAATGTGCACAAGAGGGCCCTCTATACCGAGAAACAGGCCGCTGGAGACGACCAGCACGAGACTCGCGACCTTGGACATTATCATGCTGATATTCAGAAAGTCGGGGATGTTGGTGCCGGAAAGAATCGATTTTATCTCCGGGATGCCTCCGTGCGCGATGTAGTTGTGTTTGGACGCCAGGAGAGCGCCAAAGAGCGCGAGAACGAGCACGATCATGATGTAGACGATGAAGTCGTTTGTGCGGCGCAGAAGAGTGCTTTTGGTGAAAAAGAGGAAATACGTGGACCAATCGGCCAGGTCGTCGCATTCGTACGCAGGAATCAGCACATTTTGCTTGCAGACGCCCGATTTGAGCCCGTGCAGGTACATGGAGACGTAGTCAATGGCGATCGTGAGCAGCGCTATGGCCACAGACGAGGAGATCAGGAGGATCCAGTGCAGATTGGAGTAGATGAGCTGGCCAAGACGAGTGGTCTCGGGGGCCTTTTGTTTGCGGGCCTCCGCCAGTTGTGCGTACTCTCTGTCCCAGTCAATAAGCTCAAGCGGCCCGTAGGGTCGCGGCTCTGTGGGGGTTGTTTCGATATCCACTATGCGGTTGTACGACAGGATGCGAAGCGACATGCGAAAAAATTAAGATTTAAGAGTGGAGGATTTACGTATTTGATGTGTTGGCGTAGAAGAGCTCCGAGGGCTCTGGACGGAGAATTGGGCTCATTCGGTCGTTTCTGGATCTTGCGGCTAGTGGCGTGTCCTTGGACACCTCAGGGGCCACCAATAGACGGTAAGACGATAGACGCACCGACGCATCTGAAGCTGCCAAATTCGGACAAATAATAACAAGCACAATAAAATTACCATCCAATTTTCTTTTCCCATTTGCTATGTTGAGAAGTGCTAAATCGCTGCCTACCATCGGCGCTGTCTACCGCCAGACCATACAGAAGGAGATTTCCACTGTGTCTAGAGGGTTTGCTCATCAAAGAACGAAACCGGGCTTCTCCAAAGACGATCTGGCCGTCCCTTCGAACAAGATCTTTTCCCAAGTGTCCACAAGGAGCGTCCACCAGACGTCCAAGACTCAGTTGATCATGGACCTCGGGTCGAGCGGCAAGTACGCGTCGATGAACCTCCAGGGCCTCAAAACCGAGTGCAAACGCAGAGGCCTCAAGGTGTCGGGACGCAAGATCGATCTCGTGCAGAGACTGATCCAGAACGATTCGTCCTCCATTTCTCCTCCCGTGCTGAGCAGAACCATCACTACGAAAGCCAAGGCCGCGAAGCCGGTGAAAACAGCCCAGAAGGCCGCCAAGACGTCTGCGCGAGAGCTCAGCTCCACTACCTCCAAGCAGGCCAAGGGCGACAGCTCGACGATCGATTTCTACAAGGTGCCGCAAAAATCGTACCCTGTGCCGGACGGCAGACCGCCAATGAAGGTGCCTTCGCTCTCGACCAAGGCCTCGCTCAAGGATCCGGCTCCAGACACGAAAACCGCCGCTGAGGCTGTTGTGCAGGCCGTCGACTCGGCCCCAATCAGCAAGAGCGGCCAGGTCCTCCAGACCACGGCAGAACAGATCCACGGGGCCGCTGAAAAGAGCCGCAGCGACACGATTTTCTTTGGCATTTTCGGGCTTCTGACACTGGGATGGTGGTCCCAGAAGAACAAGGACGGTAGACAGTAGCCACGGACATTCTTATTTATCTACAAGTTTATGTTTTTTATGTTTTCTTCTAATCGTGTAGATACAGACTGTCCACGCACCCAAACCCGGCAGCGACTCCTCCCTCGTTGGACGTGCTTGTTTTGGACCGGAGCAGGTAGCCCGCGTAGTCGTTGCTGAGGATCGTGCCGTCTGTTTCGTTGAATAGCAGCGTGCCAAACACTCCCAGCTCGCTCACAACACCCTCGTTGAGCACATCGCCGTTCCTCAGGATCTTGTTGTCGTGAACAGCAGGAACAATGAGCTCCATCAAAATGTACGCTCCCCACTCCTTCTCGTCCAAGCGGCGCAGAAAACCAGGAATATCCTCCTTGTAGACGTTGTTTCCGCCGCCTTCTCTTTGCGGCTTCAACACAAACCGCTCGGGATGCTCAAACGCAAGCTTTTTCGCCAACTGGCCCTGCTCACTGGCGTCCAGCGGGTAGATTTGCACAAACGTGGACAAAAGCTCCTCGTCCGCGAATCCGTATTTTTCCAGCACCGCCCGGTCGGTCAGAAGCTGCTGCACTTTCTTGGCACCGCTCAGCTGGACCAGCAACGACGGGCACTTGATAGCCTTTGTTTTTTCGAGCAGAAGCCGCGCTTCCCAGGTTTCCGGCTTGTTGTACTCATTGGGAGCATATGCCGAACGGTAGTACACCACGGCCACCTCCTGCTCCTTGTAGAAGAGCTTACGGGAGGAGTCCATCTTCACCGACGAAATGACCTTGTCAAAGTCCACCCGCTCAGCTTTGACGCCTTTGGCAAATAAATCGTACTCAATGGCGCGCTGGTCGAAGACGTTTCTTTCTCCAGGCTGCACCACAAAGAGAACGATTGTGGACGCTGTCTGTTCGGTTGTTTCATAGTATTTGACCGCCTCAAGAAGCCCGTTTGCAAGACCATCTATAGACTGGCTAATCGGCAGGTCAGAGTCTCGGTAGTACTGCGGTTTGCCGAAGAGTCCCTGGGAGTTGAGAAAACTGTGTAACTGGCCCACTTTTGGCGAAAGACCGCCAAAAGAAACGCTCACTGTGTTGAACTCCACCTGTTTGATCGACTGGGATAGCGTGTCCAGCATGTAGTCCGATCTAAACAGTCCCAACGACACCGGTTGCACAATCTCGGGCTCTGCCTCCAAGTATGTCTTGTACAACATGCCGGTGAAATCGCGGTCGTATTTCGAGAGATCTGCTATCACTTCTTTAAGCCAGCTCTTGTCCGCCACGACGCGGCTATACAGCTCGTTGAACTTGGTTGAGATCGCAACTCCCTTGGCGAATTGGGATCTGGGGAACGGCGTGGGATAAAGAGTAACCGGTGCGACCGATGGCTGGTACGCCTTGAAGTCGGGAGGATAGATAAGTAGGCCATTGGAGATCGCATAGTGCGTCAGCTTCTCCAGAAGATCATCTAAAGCGGCGCCCGACAGGTCTGGGAAGGAGAGAGGCATGGGTGTCTGAATGATTTGTAATTTAATATTTCGCCATAGTTTACCCGGCTAGTCAAAATTTTTAATCAAAACAAAACACCTCTCGTTCTTCACTGCTCACCATGTCGGTTCATTTTGGCCAGGTGCTAGGATTTGGGGCTCCTGTGGACGCGAAAAAGGAAACGAAGCTCGAGCTCACGGAACTCCAAAAAAGAAGGGCTGCCAGACGCACGAATGCCGCGTTATCCAATGGCCCGTCCTCTGGCGTTGGATCTCTGTTCCCGACCGCGAGCCTCACGTCGTCGCTGTCTGCAGGCTTCAACTCGTCGCAGCTGATGAAATACCAGCCGTCCAGCGAGAAATCGCTTCCGCTTCTCTCCTCGACCGCCCCATTGAGTCTCGTGGACCAGTGCATACACATAGCAATCGAGAAAGACAACACCACCCCGGCATTGAGCGAGGTTCTCACCAAATACGCAATCGACAGCTACAACTATAAGACCAACGGCTCGCTCGGGCCGTTTTCGCGGTTTGAGAAGTCAAACATTTACAACATCCCAGACCAGATCTTCCAGGAGTACAACAGCTTGGACTGCATCACCAACATGGGTATTTTGACGGAACTGCAACGCGCCTGGTTGACGATCGACAACAAGCTGATTATATGGAACTACAGGGCAGGCTCGCATGATCCGGACTATTTCACAATCGACGAGCTGAAGAACACCATTCTCACAGTAAAGTTGGTCAAGCCCAAACCAAAGGTTTTCGTGGACAGCGTCAACTATTTGCTGATTGTTGCCACTTCCATGGACATTCATATTCTGGCTGTCGAGTACACGCCGTCGAGTTTGGTGATATCCGACACCAAGATGAGTGTGCCTGCCCACGGCCTCGTGGTGAACAAGATCGTTTCCTTTGACCAGACGAACGACATTTTCTTCACCGGAATTGGAGACGGCGAAAACGTGTGGCGGCTGACGTACTCCAATACCGACGAATGGTTCCAGCGCAATTGCTACAAGGAGTGTCTCACTAAGTCGGGTCTCTCGTCTGTCGTGCCCAAATATAACGTTTTCCAAAAACTCCCGGGACTGCGAGGCCAGGAGAACGACCCTAAAACAGAAACCATCGTCCAGCTTGAGATTGACTCCACCAGAAAAATTTTGTATACACTGTCGTCAAAGTCAACCATCAGGGCTTATAGACTGAAAATCACAGACGGGAAAGTCGAGCTGGGCGCAAGTGTCGTGAAGAGACCATACAACATCCTCAAAGACCTGGCTACCACCACTTTCAACCTTCAGTCGTCCTTGCTGAAGAAAGACGGGTTCAAAATCGTGAACATCTTTCCGATCACAAAAAGCGAGAGCGACAATTTGTTTCTGGTCGCTGTGACCAACACCGGTTGCAGACTGTACGTTAATGGAAGCACGATATACGAGAGACTGGCTTTCACCACCAGCTATGTGAAATTCCCGCCTCCAGACGCCAGCTTCCATGAAAAGCTGGAATCGCTGCAAGCTCAACAGTTGCACGACCAGAACTTTGTGTCGACCGGAATCAAATCAGAAGGTACAAAGTCAATCACCAAGAACCCAGTATTGAACGAGATCACCCCTCAGGATCTCAAGGCTGCGCAAGAAAACTCCAAACTTTTGAGCAACATCAAGGAGTCGCTGATAGTCTCGCCAGGTATATTTTTCTGCTATAGTGAGGACCATCTTTACAGCTCTGTTCCAGACTACGGTATTCTCAAAAACTCACTGCAATATGTTGAGGACTTTGAGGAACTCGATAGAGTCCAGTCAATTCATTCCATCGTGCCGATCACCCCAAGCTTCCATGCCACAAATACTCCAAAAGGTTATTGCAACCAGTTTGCATCTCAATACTTGGCGCCTCCATTGGAAGTTGCGGCTCTTACTTCCACCGGCATTCACGTTTACCGTTACAGAACTCCGGACATGATACTAGAAGACTCCCTTAATGACAAAACATTCAACGAGTTTGCCAGAAAATACGGTTCTCGCGAGGCATGCTCCACTGCATTGTACTTGGCATGCAAGTATCGACAGGGAGACAATTTCAGAAACATGGCCACGAAGTTTTATATTTCAGGTGGTAAGAATTCCAGCCTCAACAAAAATCTACCAGCAATTGTTGACAACGTGGAACTAAGCGATAGGTTTTATGCTGTTATACTGTTGCTTTCGAGATTGGTTAGAGAATTCTGGGACAAAGAAATATTTCAGCTTGACCCGAACGTGAAATTCAACAGGAACGGTTATATCGACGAGGAGTCGCTTAAAAAATTGAAAAATGAAAAAGTGCTACTCGCGGGACTCAGCATAACCAAACAAGAGCTCGAATACTTTCTGTGCTCGCTCATCATTATACTGAACTTTTTCGAGGAGAACAAAAAGACAATTCCAGGATTGCTCGGACCTTTGTACGAAACAGGTACGAATAGCAAAGAAACTGAGCTTTGTCTGCAGGCAGAGAATATTGGATTCAATGCTATACTCAAATTTCTTGGAAGTGTGAAAGAAGGGCTTTCATTTCTGGCGATCCTTTACGATGACGAGAATACCGGTAAGAATTTTGCAGACGTGATGAGCTATCTCACTCTCCAAAGCCAGGCCGATCTCAGCTGCCTGACATTTTGCGAATTTTTCAGCTCCAATGACCAAGCCACATCCAAACTGGTTAAGGAGATCCTTTCCTCTGTGATCAACAAGAGCATTGCTACTGGCGACTCGGTCGAGCTTGTTGCTACCACCCTGCAAGAAAAGTGCGGTTCCTTCTGTTCAACTGGAGATGTTCTGATATTCAAGGCCATAGAGAGTTTGAAAAAGGCCAAAGACTTTGCATCCTCTAACGACAACGAGAACAAAATGAAGCATCTAAAAGCCGCTACACAGTTGCTAAGTCAAACAAGCGACGCGTTGACTTTCGAAACAATAAATGATCTTGTTGGTGTCATGCTTCAGCTCGATTACTTCACTGGAGCAATTGAGCTGCTCCTCACGATTGCTTCTGCTACTGATCCAACGAATATTGCACTGAAGTATGATCTCGACGGCCAGGTTTCGGTTATGGCGGACGATCCTAAGAAATTGGCGTTTGAAAAGAGAGTCAAGCTTTATGAGCTCATTTTCAAGATTCTGATTGATGTCGACGAGAAGGCCATTGTCAGCTTGGAGCAGGCAGCTAACAACACCAGCTTCACGGACGCCAAGGCGCCGATTTCGTATTTTGGATCTGATGGGCAGCTAATGACGCACTACTCCGAGCTGAGAGACCAAAGCTACGAGATCTGCCTGAAAAGCCAGGATAAACTGTTCCACTACGAGTTTTACAAGTGGCTGGTCAAGATCGGCGTTGGTGAGCGCTTACTAGACCTGGAGACGTCATTTGTTCTGGACTTTTTGAAAGATTACTCCACCAAGGATATGGAAATGGCAAAACTTCTGTGGATCTACTATTCTCGGAGAGAAAACTATTTCCAGGCGGCCAAAGTGCTTCTGGATCTGTCCATCTCCAAGTTTGATATCGATCTGGCAAACAGAATCCAGTTTTTGTCGCGAGCCAATGGATTCTGCAATTGTGTGTGTCCACCAGACTTGAGACAAGAAATGACGTTCCTTTCTGTGACCATTGGAGATCTGCTTGCTGTGGCCAACTTGCAAGATGAGCTTCTCCTGACCATTCTCGACGACGAACGTGTTAGCGATCTGGCCAAGCAGGTGGCTGTCAGAAAGCTGAATGGGAGGGTGCTGCCGATCAGTGACTTGTACAACAACTTCATCGACCCTCTTGGATATTACACGTTAGCCCTAGTGACGTTTAAGATATCAGACCATCGTAACTCAGAGGATATTCTTTCCCAATGGGAGAATCTTCTGAGCAAATGGTATTACAAAAATAAGGACTCCGGAGAGCCGTTTTTCTCCGAGATCAACAACGAGTTCATAGCTGTGGCCTCTCGAGTCTCCGACACCGAGGTTTTGTTTCCGATCGTGGAGCTGTTCCAGCTGCTGGCAAAGTATTTCTACTCGTCGGAGTATTGTCCGAAACAGCTCACGCCGCCTACAGGAGTTCTAGTTGACGCCTTCATTCGCAGTGGAGTCTCGTATGGAAAACTCTACTACAACCTGAGAGACCTGGTTGAGTCGACGACGTTCGAACTTTTCGAAGGCTACTCCAAAGTGCTCAAACAGGAAATGTGCTACCTAATCAAGGAGTGGTTCAAGAACGACAAGAAATTGCGAGACGTTCTCTCTTCCGACTCCGTGAGAGACCTTTCTGACTACTCGGTCGACACCGATCCTGTCTTTGCATACATCAAATCAACGGGCAACCCGTTGTGACATAGAATGTAAACTTAATATATCATCAATCTTCGTCAGGTATCTCGATGACTTCCGGTACAGGCTTGTCGACCTGGACCAGCTCGTCCTCGTTGGGCACCGCCTCAGGGTCTTCGGTGCATGTCTTCGCGTCTCTGGCTCTTCTTTCGGCAGCCTCGAGCACCAACTCGCGCATGCTCTTGTTCTGTTTTGGTTTATTAGAGCCCAATTTCTCGACTTTTGCCACATATTTGACCTGTCCGAGCTTTTTGAATCGCATCTCTCTGATCAGTCCATTTTTGCGGCCTCCTAACACCTGGCTTTCGGCCACGTATCCTGTCTCTTTCAGGGCCCCGTTCCGCTTGATGGAGTGGTACTTGTCTCGCAGCTGGTCCAGCAGTCGGTAGAAATTGTTATCGTGCGGGCCATACTTGTTGTGGCTGAGTTCATGCAGCATCGTCTCAATTACGTCTTCCAGCGGTAGAAAGGTGTCCTTGGCGTGCGGATATCGCAAACGGAGACATATTTTTGCGCCGGAGTTCACGTTCAGACCTAGAAGCTGGGGATTTTTGGGGAAAAACTCACATAGGGTGCCCACTTTGAATCCGAACGAGCGCATCACAGGAGCCACCTCTAGTGCGATTTTCTGCAAGCGCTCCAGCGCCAACTTGTTGTCTTTTTGGCGTACCAGTGGCGCGATTTTGTCTATCACAGAGGTGACTGTCATAAAATAAATAAATCTGCAGGAAATATATCAGATCTAACTATAAATTATCTATTTTCCTTAAAAAATACATCTGCTATACACAATCTATTAAATGCCCCTGTTAAATTGGACAGTCGTGATGTCCTCGCCGTTCTTGTTTTTCAGGCCGTGGAATTTGTCCTCCAGCTGGCTCACGCTGACCTCGCGACGTTGAGGGAAAACTGCCAGGGCAAAAGGGAGCACCAGGAACGAGGTGGCGGTGATGAGACCGATATTCGCCAGGTTTTGGATCGCAGGGCCTTTCCCCTTCAAGATGGTCTTTTGCATGCGAACAAGCAACAAAGGAGGGATAACCATGATCGGAGTGGCGTTGATCACTCGAGAAGCGGCGGTCTCGCCCACAGCCTGCACAGCCGCACGCTTAGACGTTCCCAGCTCATTCCCGTCCTTGTCGAAGACAGAAATGCCCTTTTTGATCTCTTCGCTTCTCATGAGGAACACGTTGACGATACCTGCAGAGACCACGGCGGCGAACGGCACTAGACGGCCGAGAATGAGTCTGGTGTTGGCAGAAACGTTTTTCAGCCTGGGAACGATAGAATTGAGCCCCAGAGCGACACCACAGGAGGCTCCAACGGCCAGACAGTAGTTCGTGACGAGCTGTTTTGTGGTCAGCGGGTGTGACTTGTTGGCGTTGGCAGTATTGATTGCCACGTTCAGCGACTGGTTCGCGATCTGCCAGAAAAGCGTTCCTGCGTTGCCCAGACCGGGAGTCAGCATGCCCGCAGTGACCACCAGGTTTGACAAAACGCACGAGGACATTCTGAAAGGCAGGAGGACCGTTTCGCCGGTGTCGGGGTGGATGGAGGAGTCAAGGATCCGTTTGGCACGCCAGAGCTCAGGCGTCATTTGAGGAATGACTCCGTTCTTGTAATCCCAAACGAGTCGTTTGGCTTCCTCGATGTCTTTGGACGTGTTGAGCAGCATTGTGGGGTCTGAAATACCCGCGCAGTGCTTGACTCTGCCCATATATGTGGAGAGGTCATATTGCGATGCCGGCAGAGGCACCGGCCCAGGGATTGAAGATGCCATTGGTACTAAAATTTTTCAGTTTCGTCCTGATAGCGAATACGCCACATGTGGCTGGGTCCCCCGCGACTGTTTACAAAACAGAAAAAAAATAATACTGGACTCAGATCCCAGATGCAGTACAATCAGTCGGACGAGACCGTGAACGGGCTGCCGACAGAGAATCCGTGGATGCAGATAAACGCGGAGGAGGACGATTTTGAGCGGTCGTACCTGCCCCATCGAAGAGAGAGCAACAGCATATACCACACGCCAGAGCACGGGTACGGATCCAGGGACCGCCTCTACGGTAGTCCGTCTCCCCACAAACGCACATACTCCCCGTCGCCAGAACGTCTGTACTACTCTCCGTCGCGCAGAGCAGAGTATCCGCCACGAATCCCCAAACTCTCGCCGTTCGAGGAAAAGGTGGAATCCATCCCGTCGCACAGTGACCGGAGAGATCCGTTTGTGGCCGAGCCTCCGAATCTCGACGTGTACCGTGTGGGCAACGATGTTGACTCCGATCACACTTTTGTGCCGTTCCCAGTGCTGAACAATTCGTACTACCCGATTAATACCCCCAAAGACTACTTTGATCCGTTCGACTACCGGTACGAAGAAGAAAGTCACGACGATGACTACGACGACGACACCAGCTCGAATGCGAGCATGATATCTGCCCGGCAGGTGAAGATGGTGAATGGCAACTTGGTGCTGGATTGTCCCGTCAGCGACGTGCTGCTCAACAAGTACACCACGCCGCTCTCTCAAAAAGATCGAGAGTTTCTGTTTATGCGGTTCCAGGCGTGCACATGCCAGCCAGCGGACTTTGTGTTCCGCAATTTCTCGCTCCGCCAGAGATTCTACTCACAGCCGCGGTCGACAGAGCTGATGGTGGTGATCACGATGTACAATGAGAGCGATATTCTCCTGGCCCGCACACTAAAGGGAGTATTCAAAAATATTCGACATCTGTACTCCCTGAAACACTCGTCCACGTGGGGACAAGACGCGTGGCAGAAAGTGGTGGTCTGTGTTGTGAGCGACGGAAGAACTAAAATACACCCCAAGGCAAAAGCGCTTTTGGGAGCTCTGGGTGTGTACCAAGAGGGGTTTGCGAAAAACAAAGTCAACGAAGACAAGGTTCTGAGTCACATATACGAGTACACGACGATGGTTGGAATAAGCAAGGTGGACGAGCACGAGATCAAGCTGACGACAGAAAATCAAATACCCATACAGATGATCTTCTGTTTGAAGGAGACGAACCAGAAAAAAATCAACTCGCACGCGTGGGCTCTGGAAGCTTTTGCGCCGGTGCTGAATCCGAACGTCGTTGTGTTACTGGATGTGGGAACCGAGCCAGAGGGAAAGGCACTGTACAAACTATGGAGGGCCTTCAAAGATCCACGGGTAGCAGGGGCCTGTGGAGAAATTAGGGCTAGTCTCGGGAAAAACAGCCGGCTGCTCCTCAATCCGCTGGTGGCAGCACAAAATTTCGAGTACAAAATCAGCAACATCCTGGACAAGCCGATGGAATCTGTGTTTGGGTTTGTGACTGTGCTTCCGGGAGCGTTCAGCGCGTACCGGTACCAGGCACTCCTGGGCGCGCCGCTCCAAAAATATTTGAAGGGAGAAGACCTCAAAAGATCCAACAGTGGAGGTATTTTCAACGCCAACATGTATCTCGCTGAGGACAGAATTTTGTGTTTCGAGTTGGTGGCCAAGCAGAACTGTGAGTGGCTATTAAAATATGTCAACACTGCTGCCGCATACACGGACGTTCCAGAAGAGTTGCACGACTTCATTTCTCAGCGAAGACGATGGTTGAACGGCTCGTTTTTCGCAGCGATCTACTCTCTGTTCCATTTCTACAAAGTCTGGTCTACATCTCACTCGGTGAGTCGCAAGCTCTTGTTGCACGTCCAGTTTGTCTACCAGTTTATCAACCTTCTGGTGTCGTGGTTCTCTCTCGGATCGTACTTCTTGGTGTTTCGAATTTTGACTGTCTACCTTGCTGAGCCAGAGGCTGACTTTGCCCCGGGAAACGTTCTGTCTGTGTTCTTTCTCTGGCTCTATCTGGCCTCGATTGTGACCACGTTTGTGCTTTCGTTCGGTAACAAACCCAAAGGAACGAAGAAATTCTACCTGGTGATTGTGGCATTTTTCGCCATTTTGATGGTGTACATGATTTTCGCCGCGATCTTTATGGCCGTCAAGAGCATCCAGGACATTATGAGCGAGCACGCAGACGATTTCAGCATCAAACTAATTTTCACAGAAACAAGGTTCCGCGATCTGATCGTGGCTACCACATCGACCTATGCATTATATTTCATAGGGTCCTTGATTTTTTTGGACCCGTACCACATGATTACCAGCTTTGTCCAGTACCTGCTGCTGAGTCCTGCCTACATCAATGTCTTAAATATTTACGCTTTCTGCAACATCCACGACATCTCGTGGGGAACCAAAGGAGATGACTCCAAAAACGATTTGGGTGTAGCCCGAATTTCGAAGAATACACAGGACGGCGAGCTTGAGATTGTCATTCCAACCACGAAGAGCCAGATCGATAATGCTTACAAGAGAATGATCAACGAGCTGACCACGAGAGTCTCAGAAAAAGAAGTCAAAGTCAACGAAGAGGAGGAGGACGCTTTCTACTTTGCCTTCATCCGTTCAATGACGGTGCTTTTCTGGATGATCACCAACTTCATAGTGATCGCGCTGGTCACCGAAACGGGCGGTCTGTACCAATTCACCTCAGACAGCACGAGCTCGTCGAGCTATCTGCCCAACACGCGCATATCTGTGTTTTTGACCGTTATTCTGTGGATTGTGGCATTCATGGCGCTTTTCCGTTTCATTGGCTGTTGCACGTACCTGATCATGAAGTTCGTGGACTGGTTCAAGCTACGCAAATTCAGGAACGAGTACCAAACTAAAGGAGCTGCGTTTTCTGTATAAATTATGTCAGCATCAATTCAAAAAGCATATTACAATTTTTATTTTGACTTTAATTTTTTTCATAATGAACAATCCATTCTTGCCCCCTCCAAAGAAGCCCATGGCGGAGATGACTCAGGAAGAGCAGGCCGAACAGGGAGCCCGCCAGATCATGGAGTTCATCTCGTCGTGTCCCGGAAAGGCTGTCATGTCTGGGGTGTCGGGTTTCGTTCTCGGAGGTTTCTTTGGGCTGTTCATGGCGTCGATGTCGTACGACGTGGCTCCCGGAATGGGGCCTGGTCCGTCGCAGCAGATCGCAGATCTCCCGTTCAAGCAGCAGGTGAAAATCCAGTTCACAGATATGGGACGGCGAACGTGGTCGTCGGCCAAGAACTTTGGATACATCGGACTGATTTTTTCGGGAGTCGAGTGCAGCATAGAATCCTTGCGCGCCAAAAACGATATATGGAACGGAACAATGGCAGGGTGCATCACAGGTGGTGGGCTTGCCATCAAGAGCGGGCCTACGTCGACGCTGATCGGATGCGCTGGTTTCGCGGCCTTCAGTACTGCTATCGATCTGTACATGCGGAGCGAGAACGGCAAGCCTCCTGCTAATGACTATAACGAATGACGAATGATGACTCTATGCGACAATGGATCTCGATCTTCCCTCTCTCTCCAGCGGCGGCAAGTTGTTGTTGACAATCTCTGCCTTTGGATACGTTCCCATGAGGCCCTTTTTCTGCGCGAACTCGGACGATCTGGTGTATGTTGGGTCGCTCTGGTAATACTCGTCTTTGATTGGGTGAAGGAGCACGGTCTGGCCCTTGACGGTCAAGATCGAATTTGACGGCACAGAGATCCAGTCGCCTCTCTCGAACGTGAGCGGTTCTGAGGCGATCATAATGATATCCTGCGACCGGTCGAGCCGTTCCATTTTGTACCTGGAAGGCTCGACCTCGATGAACCGGGAGCCCGTGGAGAAATACAGCGAGGCTGCCTCGTCAGTTTTGGAGCTCACGTACCGCGAAACACAGATCGATTCGCCGTCGGTGACGGCGAAGTTGAGGAGCGACGGCTCGGCCGGTTGTGTTGGGTTCACCTGTTTGACCCACTCCTTGATCAGCTGGATGGTGGTTTCGAGAGCCTGTCTGAGGGCGGAATGCGGGATCGGCTTCTCTTCCTTGGGGTCGTACCCCAGCTTGTATAAACAGTCTAAAAACAAGGCAAACGAGCATTCAGAGTCGGTAGAGCCCTGGATCGTAAGGAAGAACTCGTCCTCGATGTGCTGGATGAGCAGTCGCTTGATCTTGCCAAAATCGGAGATCCCGCCGTTGTGCATGAACATGAGCCGGTGGTATGTGAACGGATGGCAATTTGTCTCGCTGAGGACGCCGTATGTGGACGCTCTCACGTGGGCAAAAATTAGCTTCGACTTTGTTTTCTCGGCCAGCTTCTGCAGGTTCTGGTTGTTCCAGGCCGGCGTGATCGCCTTGTACACACAAGGAGTGCCCGAAACCGTCTTGTCTGACTCCTCGTCTGGGGTGTAGTATCCCACGCCGAACCCGTCGCCGTTGACGGGCATGTGGTCGACCCGGAGCCGGGAGTCAAACGATTGGTTGATAATTGAGTGGGCCGGTCTTGTCAGCAGACTGGCGAGCAACATGGGCTCTGTGCCCTTGTAAATCAGAAATCGGCACATAAAGAAATAAAAAATAAAAATAGAGACGGATGTTAAATTTTAATTAATAAATAGTCGCGACGATACTTATCTGAAATTATGGCAGAGACAGGCCCTGCCCAGAGCGACAAACCGCGGCAAGCTGTACCGCAGCCGGTCGGTATGCTTGCCTACAGGAGGCAGGCGGACTTGGACATCGCAGAGGCTCTGGACGACCCAGAAACTAAGCGGAACACAGAGCTCAACTCTCTGATATACCAGCTGTCACAGGGCCAGGTCGACGAGCTCGACGCGCTGTCTGCGCGAACACACACACCAGAACGCCTGCTACGGTCGCCGTCGCTGTCGCGGCAGAACTCCACTGACAGCTCGCTGCCAACGACGAATCTGTCTATCGACGAGATCTCCGATCTGCAGCCAAAAAGACCACCGTTGAAAGGCAGCGGGTCGTTCCACCGCGGGATCTCGTTCGAAAACATGGGCAACAGCCAGCTGGACTATGAGAAAATGCAGTTTATTCTCACCACGAAGCACAGAGACTTCCATTTCGACAGAGTCTCGCGGACGTTTATGTGTGGCTACGACGACAACGAGTGCTCGCTGCTCGCTTTGAAATGGACGATCGACGAGATGGTCAGCGACGGCGACACGCTCGTGTGCCTACGGGTGCTCTCGAAAGAAGACGCGGCGGGCGATTACCAGCGAGACTATAAAAAGGAGGGAGAAAAGGTCTTGGAAGAGATCGCGAGACTCAACTTCAAGGATAAGAAGATAAAAATTGTGCTCGAGCTCAAGGTCGGAAAAGTGCCCGAGATGATCACAAAGGCCATCACCGAGTACGACCCGGTGATCCTGATCGTGGGCACGCACGGAACACAGAAAACAGGGTTCCGCGCAATCATCGGCTCCAAGTCGATGTCCAAATACTGCTTGCAGTATGCCCAGGTACCTGTCGTGGTGGTCGGTCCGCTGTGCCATATGCAGAAACCCAAGCTGGATCTGAGTTCTGAAACGGTGTACGCCGACGCGCTTCGCAACTTCCAGCACGGCATCGAGCTCGCGGAAACCGAGATAAGAAAACCACGGTTCCAACGAAGCCTCAGATCCGAGTCTGTGCTGTCGCCAGTGCGATCGAAATCGAGCTTCTCGCCCGCACGATCCAACAGCCCGAACTTCTCCCCCTCCAGAGCGCTAAGCCCATTTCGGCTATTTCGAAGAAATAGGGAATAATCTATTTGTCCCTTGTATCCCAGACAATCGTAACGGGCCCGTCGTTGACGATACCCACGTCCATCATGGCTCCAAACTGGCCGTCTTTCACGCTGTCCTCGCCCATCTCGGCACGCAGCAGCCTCAAAAACATCTCGTACAGCTCCTGCGCCACATGGCCCTTCTGTGCACGGTGGAAGTCCGGCTTGGCGCCCTTCTTGATGTTGCCATACAGCGTAAACTGGGACACCGATAAGATCTCTCCCTTGATGTCCACGACACTCTTTTGCCACGGCTTGCCGACCCACTCGGTTTTCGTGTTGGCGTCGACGCCCACGTCCTCGAAAAGCTTCAGCCGCAACACCTTATTGGCCAGTTTCTCAACGTCTTCCTTGCTATCTTCGGTCGAGATGCCGACCAACAGCATAAGCCCCTTGTTGATCTGCGAGATGACCTCCTTGTTGACCGTCACTGAGGCCTGCTTGACCCTCTGGATCACCACTTTCATGCCCCAATTTTCCGTTCGAATAAATAATGTGAAAAATAAATAATATATTTTGGCAAACCTGCTCACGGCCGAGCAGATTCGATGCTGGAATGCGTCTCCGCAATTTTCCAGATGCGGTTCATGCGCATGCCTCCAAACCCGTCAACAACGTAGAACGAGCGCGTGAGGTCGTCCTTCTCGCGAGCAATCATGTTCGAGAACCCAAAACGGCCCTCTGGAGTGTCCTTTGCCGCGACTTGCAAGTCGTCCACCTTGACAAGCTCGTTGTACACTTTGAAGCCGGACCAGTTGAGTTTCTGGAACACGAGTGTCTCGTCGGCCACCAGGTTCTCCAGGGTCTGCTCCTTGGTGGTGTCGTAGAGTCTGTAGATGCGGAGCACGTACGGCGAGTACAGATACTGCACCACAGGGTACGGCAGAAGCGAGGCCGCGCCAAAAGCCTCGCACAGCTCTGGCAGAACATACTCTGTCTGGAGCATCAGGTACGAGAAACACAGCCCCACAAATCCAAATGCCAGGCTGAATCTCTTTGCTCCGGCAACGAAGCCTGCAAGCGGGTTCTCGTACATGGGCTCGTTCCCAAGCCGGAATTTCGTAGGCAGCGTTTTGTTGAAGAAAAGCGACTCTCTGGATCTGTACTTGATGGGGTTCCGTTGCTCCTTCTCGTTGGGGACTTTGTAGCGGGGCGGGTCCTGGCCCAGATTGAAGGTTTGGCGGCGCAGAGCCGACGTGGACAGTCCGCGCAGGGCCGTCGAGAGTGGGCTGGCCAGCAGGATGGGACGACAGCTGCGCAAAAGAAGCATTGTGATGTGTCACAAGGAGCTTTTGTGACCCTTAAATAGTTTGTTCCCCACTACGAGTGCTCGTAACCACAAACAAGTGTTACAAGAGAGGTATTAAGAAAAAAAAAATATTTATTAGCAAGTAGGACATTCTACACGAGTATAATTTCCCACCATGGATTCCGATGCGACTTCAAGATATGTGCCGGAGTACAGAAAGGCGAACTTCAAAAACAAGAACCGGTTCCAGCAGGACGAGGTGAGAAGAAGGAGAGAGACACAACAGGTGGAACTGAGAAAACAGAAGCGAGAGGAACTGCTGACCAAGAGACGGAACTTCAACGCGCCAAGCGGCATGAACGACTCGGACGAGGAGGACGAGGAGACACAAAGCGCAGAGACCGTTTTCTATAGACAGTTACAGGAGGAGTTGCCGAAAATGGTGAACAGTATTAATTCTAGCGATCTGGAACAACAGCTCGACGCCACCATCAAGTTCAGACAGATTTTGTCGAAAGAGCACAACCCGCCGATCGACCTTGTTATTGAGAGCGGTGTGGTGCCACGGCTGGTGGAGTTCATGCGCTCGGGCCCGGAAATCCTCCAGCTGGAGGCTGCGTGGGCGTTGACCAACATTGCATCGGGAACCTCTGAACAGACGAAATTTGTGGTGGACGCGGGTGCGGTGCCGCTGTTTGTGAACCTGCTGTACTCGCCGTCGATGGAGGTCAAGGAACAGGCGATCTGGGCGCTGGGTAACGTGGCTGGCGACTCGTCTGCGTACAGAGACTACGTGCTGTCGTGCAACGCTATGGACCCTGTTCTTTCGCTGTTCCAGTCGTCCAAGATGTCGCTTATCCGGACGGCCACCTGGACGCTCTCCAACCTGTGTCGGGGAAAGAACCCGCAGCCGGACTGGCAGATCGTCAAGAGTGCGCTGCCTACGTTGGCCAAGCTGATTTTCTCCGTGGACGTGGAGACGCTGATCGACGCATGCTGGGCGATTTCGTACCTGAGCGACGGCACGACGGAGGCGATCCAGGCCGTGGTGGACGCCAGAATCCCCAAACGGCTGGTGGAGCTGCTGGGCCACGAGAGCACGCTGGTCCAGACCCCGGCGCTCAGAGCGGTCGGAAACATTGTCACAGGTAACGATTTGCAGACGCAGATTGTGATCAACGCGGGCGTGCTGCCTGCGCTTGCTCCGCTGCTGAGGTCGCCAAAGGAGTCGATCAGAAAGGAGGCGTGCTGGACGATTTCCAACATCACGGCCGGAAACAGCGACCAGATCCAGGCGGTGATCGACTCGAACCTGATTCCGCAGATCATCAAGCTGCTGGCCACGGGCGACTATAAGACGAAGAAGGAGGCGTGCTGGGCAATCTCGAACGCGTCGTCGGGCGGGCTCACTCGGCCGGACCAGATCCGCTACCTTGTTTCCCAGGGCTGTATCAAGCCGTTGTGCGATTTGCTGGCCATTGCAGACAACAAGGTGATCGAGGTGACGCTCGACGCCTTGGAGAACATCCTGAGGATGGGAGAGCTGGAGAAAGAGGCCCGGGGCTCCAACATCAACGAGAACGCCATCTTTATCGAGGAGGCCGGCGGTGCAGAGAAGATCTTCGACTGTCAGAGCAACGAGAACGACAAGATCTACACCAAGGCGTACCACATCGTGGAGACCTATTTCAGCGGCGAGGAGGCCGAGGAGGAGTCTGCGGGGCTGCAGCCGGAGATGAGCGGCGACCAGTTTGGGTTCGGAATGAACTCCAGCGTCCAGCAGGGCGGCTTCCACTTTGGCTGATTACGTAGCTATTATCTATATACACGGTATGACTAATGACAGCGGTCGGGTGTACCTGGCTCTCTTATCGCCGATCGCCGATCGCCGAAAATTTTCGGCTCTAAGGTCCCTCTACACCCTAAATCCGCAGGATTACAAACACGGCTTTAATCATTTTTCCTTTACACTTCTCGGAGCAAGCGATGGTATAAATACGCGCTGATCTGGGCTGTTTGGCCACCAATTATGAGTTCAGACGAGTTTAAGGACAGCCAGGAACGGCTCGAGAGCCAGAGACGCAAATTCTTCGAGAGCGACGCCGGCGACGGCACCAAGCGCGCAGACCAGTACCTCCACGGCGCCAAGCTCTGGATGTGCATTAGTTCCATCATGTTGTGCATGTTTCTGGTGGCGCTCGACCAGACAATCAGCTTCACGATCCTCGTCCAGGTGTCGGAGAAGTTCCGCTCGTTCGAGAAGCTGACGTGGATCACGTCGTCCTTTGTTCTCGGGATCGGGTGCACAGCCCAGGTCTGGGGCAGGGTGTCGATTATTTTTGGCAGACGGTGGGTGATGCTCGCGTCGATTTTCCTGTTTGAGGTCGGCTCGCTCGTGTGTTCTGTGTCCACGTCGATGAACATGCTCATTGGCGGGCGGGCCATCCAGGGCGTCGGCGGCGCCGGGATCCAGGCGTGCGTGATGAACATAGCCACCGAGGTGACCACGATCGACAAGAAGCCGATGATCATGGCGCTCGTGAGCGTCACGTTCGTCGCGGCGTCGGTCATCGGCCCGATCCTCGGCGGTGTGTTCACCACCTACACCACCTGGAGATGGTGTTTCTACATCAACCTGTGTTTTGCCGCCGTGATCGTGCCCCTATTCATGTACAGCTTCCGGCCCAAGACGCCGGCCGGCAACCTGCTCGAGAAAACGAAGAAGATCGACTACCCGGGCGTCGTCACCATGGTGGGCGGGCTCGTGCTCGTGCTGCTGGCCATCTCGTTCGGCGACAACGAGTTCAAGTGGAACTCTGCGGCCATCATCTGCCTGTTTGTCATTGGCGGCGTGCTGCTCATTTTGTACTGCATCTGGGACTTCATCTTTGCGAAGGAGCCGCTGCTGCCGCTCGAGATCGTCACCGCGCACGGCGTGACCGTGTCTGTGGTGCAGCTGTCCAGTGTGTACAGCGCGTTCATGGTGATTTCGCAGTTTTTGGTGGTGTACTTCCAGACCCTCCACAACACGTCTGCGTTCCACGCAGGACTGTCGCTGCTGCCATCGGTGATTCCGCTCGTGCTGGGCGCGGTTGCGTCCGGCCTGCTCATCCAGAAGACGCGCCACGTCAAGCTGTACGGGCTAATTGGCACGACGTTTGCGTCGATCGGCGTCGGCATCCTCACACTGCTCGAGGCAGACTCGGCTCCGTCGAAAAGATACGGCCTGCAGGTGCTGTACGGCCTCGGCGTCGGCATCACGTTCCAGGCGCCCATGATGAGCGTCCAGCTGTGCTGTCCTAAAACCCCCGGCAGCACGATCCTGGCGATGACGTACATCTACTTTGGCCGGAGCGTGGCCACGGCTCTTTTTTCGCAGCTCGGCGAGGCCATCTACACCGCCACACTGAGGAAGAAGTTCAGCCACCTCCAGCCACTGCTCCCGGGCGTGAACCTGGAGCTCGTGGTGTCGAACTCGCAGCTGCTGCACACGCTGGACGCCGGCGCACAAACGCTCATCAAGAAGGCGATGATGGACTGCATCCGCTACACGTTTTTCCTGTCGCTCGGGCTGATGCTGGTCGGGTCTATCTCGGCAGCACTTATGTCCAACAGGCGTATTCCGCCAAAGGATGAGGTGGAGAGAGAGTGAGGCAGTAGGAAGTGGATTATGGCCTACGTATGGTAATTAGTGTCTAATGGTATTATCACAACAGAACGGCAGCAGCTCCAAGGACAACCATGCCCATGGACAGCCCGTAAGCGTGCGCAGCCCCTGCGCTGGAGGAGCTCACTGCGCTGGAGGTCGAGTTGGAGGTCGAGTTGGAGCCGGTCAAAACCTGCTGTCTCTGCTCGGCAGCAGCGCTCGACTCGGCAATGTAAACAGTGGTGGTGGTTCTAGCCTTTGTCTTGTCGAACCGGCCGTACTTGTGGGTTCCGGTGGAGGACGACTCTTCCGACGCCTTCGTCTTGTCGAATCTGCCGTACTTGTGCGTGCCGGTAGACGTAGACTCCTCGGAGGCCTGGGTCTTGTCGAATCTTCCGTACTTGTGGGTACCGGTCGATGTGGACTCCTCGGAAGCCCTGGTCTTGTCGAACCGGCCGTATTTATGGGTGCCTGTGGACGACGACTCCTCAGAGGCCTTTGTTTTGTCGAACCTACCGTACTTGTGTGTTCCACTGGAGGTCTCCTCGGAGGACGCCTTTGTCTTGTCGAAACGGCCGTACTTGTGGGTATTGGTGGTTGTGCCGTAGACGGTGGTGGTGACGACATTGCTGTCGTCGTCTTCCGCGAGCGCCGACACCAGGCTCAGGGCAAGGGCACCTAAAAGAACAGAGTACTTCATCGTGAAGAACAAAACTTGTCTGCCTTTTTTTCGTAATGGCTCGCAGAAATTGCCTCACCCTAATTGGGGAATCTGCCGGCCCAAACAGGAAACGTAAATAGGGCAGCTGCCGAGGGGGCCGGGAGGAAAAAAAACACAGAAAAGGCTGAGTCAGCGATTACGTAAACCCCGTCTGCGCGACTGAAACGGCCGAGCCGCTCAGATCGCCAAGCGACCGAGCTTGGCCGAATCTGGCAGCCCGCAGGAGACCGCCGGCCACGCAGGGCGCGCGCCACGCTTGCAGATAGATACCGATCTGCTGGAGTGCCGCGCTGTGCATTGGCGGATCCTTATCGGACTGCCGTGCGAGAGCGGTGCGGCTTGTACTACAAAAATCGGTGGTCCTGTCAACGCTTCCTGAGCATGTCTTTGGATCTATCTGTTGACGACGTGCGGGTCCAGTCGGTGATTTCGCACTCGCGAATCCGTCTGGACCATGCTGTGGACCACGACGAGGCGGTTATTCTTGCGCTTGGGTACAAACAGGAGCTCAAGAGAGGCCTGTCGATGCTGACGACGTTTGCCGTGGCGTTCTCCACGCTGGGGCTGCTGCCCTCCGTGGCGGGCACGCTGTGGTACTCGATGGCCTACACGGGGGCGGCGGGCATTACGTGGGTGTACCTTGTGGCGATGGCGGGCATCATGTGTGTTGCGCTGTCGATGGCAGAGATCGCCTCGGCGTTCCCGACGTCGGGCGGGCTGTACTACGCCACCGCAATGCTCGCGCCGCCCCGGTACAAGGCGTTCCTGTCCTGGTTTGTGGGCTGGTCCAACTACCTCACCCAGATCACAGGGGGTCCTTCCGTGGGGTCCTCCACGGCAGCCATGATCCTGGCTCTCAAGCAGATGACAGACCCCAGCTACGAGTACCACAAGTGGCACGCGTTCCTGCTCGCCACGGCCATCACCGTCAGCTGCGCCTGCATCGCCTCGATGCCCGTCAGGTGGATCTCGCACATCACACGGTTCACGTCGCTGCTGAATATCTCGTTTCTCTTCATCTGCTGGGTGGTGTTCCTGGGCGGCAACACGAGGGCCGAGCAGGGGCTGCCAAAGTTCAACTCAAACGCCGACGCGTGGGCCATCACCAACATGACCGACTGGCCCGACGGCATGGCCGTCCTGATGAGCTTCATGGCTGCGATCTGGATCATGTCTGGCTTCGACGCCCCGTTCCACCTCGCAGAGGAGTCGAAAAACGCCGAGATCGTGACGCCGAACTCGATCGTGCTGACCGCGTCGCTGGGCGCCGTGCTCGGCTTCGCGTTCCAGCTTGGCATGGCGTACACGATCGTCGACGTGGCTGCCGCCGTGGAAGGAGAGCTGGGGCAGCCGTTTGTGTCGTTCCTGAGCCAGGTCCTCTCCAGAGACAGAACCATCGCGATGGCCGCCCTGGCTATCGTTCTCTCGTACATCATGGACTTCTCCAGCATGCTGGCCGCGTCGCGCGTGCTGTACTCGTACTCCAGAGACGGGTGCATCCCGCTGTCGCGCGTGTGGTGCCGCGTTAACCCGTACACCAGGACGCCCGTCAACGCTGTGTGGTTCAACTGGTTTGTGGGCGAGTGTCTGCTGTGTCTGATGTTTAAGGGCGAGGCGATCAACGCGGTGTTCTCGTTCGGCGCGACCGGCGCGTTCGTGTCGTTCACGGTGCCGATTTTCCTCAGAATCACCTACGCCAGAAACACCTTCAGGCCGGGCCCCTGGAACCTGGGGCGGTTCAGCTACGTGACGGGCACTGTTGGGTGCCTGTTTATTTTGCTGATGCTGCCGGTGCTGTGTTTTCCGCAGTTCCGCGGCAAGGACAACACGACGGACCTCATGAACTGGACCTCGGTGGTGTACTGGGGCGCGATGCTGCTGGTGGTGCTGTACTGGTTTGCGTACGGACGCACGTTCTTCACGGGTCCTCGGCCAAACGTCGGCGATCTGTGCAGGGACGAGGAGAGCGGCGAGAAAAACGAGATGAATGAGGTGGTCCAGCCGGTGGGAGAAAAGTGATTGAATTTAGAAATTGATAAATAAAAGTTCGAAAATTAATTAATAGATAAGACTAATTTCTGAATTTTGAATATTCATTTTTTTTTTCATGGTTTCCGAGTCGCAATTGCAGACGCTCAAGGAAAGAGCACTAGCCAACCGGGCCAAGGCGTACTGTCCGTACTCGAACTTCCATGTGGGGTGCTGCCTGCTTGCAAACGGCGAGTTTTTCGACGGGGCCAACGTCGAAAACGCTTCGTACGGGGGCGCGATCTGCGCCGAACGCACGGCCGCAGTGGCCGCCGTGACACAGGGCCACACCAGGTTCGAGGCCGTGGCCATTTCGGGCGACCTCGCCACGTGCATCTCGCCGTGCGGGATCTGCCGGCAGTTCCTGCGCGAGTTTTCGGCGCTGGACGTGCCGATCTACATGTACAACAAGGACGGATCGAAAATGGAAAAACTCACCATGAACGAAATCCTGCCGCAGAGTTTTGGCCCTGCCGATTTGGGCAAATAGTACTTAAACAGACAGTTCCTTGACGCTGATTCTTGCGTTCTGCTTCTCGTCGAGGTCGGCCTCCAGCCCGGCCTGCGTGGCCTGGTCCTTGTCGAAAATCAGCGCAATCTCCTCGAGCGAATAGCCCTTTGTTTCCGGAAACGTGAAATAAATAACTGCAAAGATTATCACCTGGGCGCCCAGGTACACGCAGTAGTAGCGCCAGCCAATGGCTTCGAGCGCGATCGGGTTCACAAAAATGTTGAAGAAGGTGGCTCCGTTCAGGAAAAACATTGCCGTGAACAGGCCTTTGGACCGCGTCGCCTGCGGCCACAATTCGGACGGGTACGACGTGATCATCGGCGCAAACGCAATAGCTTGGAACGCGTACACCAGGAACACAAACACAATGATCGCCTGGCCGATGTTTCTGTGCAGCTGGGTGTACACGGCGGTGATGGTGGTGAGGCCAATAAAGGAGAAAAATAGGCCGACAATGGAGATCAAAAACAGCCGTCTGCGGCCGACGTGGTCGACAAGAACGGCGCCGGTGATGGCCACGAGCAGGTTGAAGAGCTGGATACACGCGTTGAGCAGCGTTTTCTTCCATGTCGCGGTGATCCCGACAGCAACGAAAACCGAGCTCAGGTACCACGTGACTATGCCCTGGCCGTTCCACGCAAACGCCACGCCGAGGAAGCACGAGATAAACAGCCGTCTACGGTTGCCCGGCGTGGCGACGAGCGAGCGCCACGACGAGATGTTGTTGATGCGCAGCGCCTCGATGCCGGCGACGATCTCCTGCATCTCGAGCTCCACAAGCGGCAGGTACGCATCTTCGTGGTTTGCGTGGAACTTGAGCAGCACCTGGCGCGCCTTGTCGGTTTCCCCCACGGAAACCAGCCATCTGGGCGATTCGGGTGCGTAAATCAAAGCGGGCAGCAGCAAGGTGGGGATGGCGGCCTGCAATGCCAGCGGAATACGCCACGACACGTCGCCCGAAATGTACTGTGTGCCAAAGACCACCCAGCCGCAGAGCACAGAGCCGAAGTAGTAAATGGCGTGGTACGCGGCGGAAAATCTACCGCGCGACGTGGGGTACGCAATCTCGGAGATCCACACCGATGCGGCGTAGTTGCACGAAAACGACAGCCCCATAAAGATCCGCGACACGATGTAGGCGGCCGGGCTGCGGGCCGACGCGCCCACAATTGAGCCGAGCCAAATGCACAGCACAGTCATGTAGATGACGACTTTGCGACCAAAGCGATCGCAGATGTACGGGATGAAGAAGATGGTGCCGCAGGTGCCGACGAAGGGCGACGCGGAGATGAAGCCGAGCCACGTGCCGGACGGCTCGTTCATGAACTCGAGCCAGGCCGGAATGGCCTGGATGGAATTGGTTATGGCGGAGTCATAACCGATTGAGGACGCAAAGAGCACAAAGTTGCACAGCAACAGGTACAATTTGAGCAGGTTGGGTCTTTTCCACCAAGGTCTGGGGTCGTCAGGGAGTACCGAGGCGATTTTTGCGCCGGTGGCGTTAGCCTCCTTGAGGTGTTTGTTGGAGTGTTCCATGATACCGGGGAACCAACAATTTTTAGTACATTTTATAGTTCAAGCGATTTTTATCAGCGCACAGACCGATGCATTATCAGTCCCGATAAGACGGGCGGTGGATCCGAAGATAAAAAAAATTTCCGCAAACGGTTTCCGATACACTTCCGACGCCAATAATCTGTTTTCATACTTTTCTCCGACAAGAACGCGCCTATATAAACCGCCAGACCCCAGGACCGCTCGTCAATGATTTCGGACGTCAGGGTCGCCATCGACAGAGGAGGAACGTTCACGGACGTGATTGCGGTCATTCCGGGCCGCGCCGACCACGTTTTCAAGCTGCTTTCTGTGGATCCTGATAACTACAAAGACGCCAACGTAGAGGCTATCCGACGTGTTCTCGAGCACGTTCAGGGCCGCAGCATCCCGAAAAACTCGCCGCTCGACACAAGCTGCATCAGCAGTATCCGTTTGGGCACCACGGTGGCCACCAACGCTCTGTTAGAGCGCAAGGGCGCGCGCTGCGCATTGCTCACCACAGCAGGTTTTAGGGACATTTTGCAGATCGGAGACCAAACACGGCCCGATCTCTTCGCTATGCGTATCCGGAAGCCGGAGGTTTTGTACGAGGCCGTTGTCGAGATCAAGGAGCGCGTGACCGCGCCAGACTACGAGGAGGACCCGGAGCAGGTGAGTTTCGACTCGTTAGTCGGCAAAGACCCAGCATACACCAAGGGCGTCACCGGGCAAACGTACCAGATACTACAGGAGCTGGACTTGGAGGACGCGCGGCAGAAACTGCTGCCGCTGAAAGAAAGCGGCGTGCGGTCGCTTGGAATCTGCCTGGTGCACGGCTACGACTTCACGGAGCACGAGGTGCAGCTCAAACGGCTGGCCTTGGAAATGGGGTTTGAGTTTGTGGCCGCATCCCACGAGCTCATGCCGATGATCAAGGCGATCCCACGCACCCAGTCGGTCATCGTCGAGGCGTACCTGACGCCAATCATCAGGGAATACATCTCGTCCTTTTTGCAGGGCTTCAAGCCTGGGTTTGAAAAGACCACGCGCATCGAGTTTATGCAAAGCGACGGCGGTCTGGTGCCTTACGACGAGTTCAGCGGGCTGCGGGCACTTTTATCCGGCCCGGCTGGTGGTGTTGTGGGCGAGGCACAGACATGCTACGACCCAGCAGAGGGCACGCCAATCGTCGGCTTCGACATGGGCGGCACGTCGACCGACGTGTCGCGCTACGACGGCAGCTACGAGTACGTGTTCCACTCAATCACGGCCGGCATCCACGTCGCGGCGCCGCAGCTGGACATCAACACGGTGGCTGCCGGCGGCGGCTCGATCTTGGAGTATGTGAACGGCGTATTCAAGGTGGGGCCCGAGTCTGCGTCGTCGCACCCCGGCCCGGCGTGCTACCGCAAGGGCGGCCCGTTGACCATCACGGACGCCAACCTGTACGTGGGGCGGATCTTGCCGGAGTTCTTTCCGCACATCTTCGGCCCCAACGAGGACCAGCCGCTCGACTACGCCGTGGTTCATGACAAGTTCACGCAGCTGGCACGCACTATCAACGAGGAAAACCGCGGCGCCGAAAAGTCGCCGCACGAGGTCGCACTCGGGTTCCTGGAGGTGGCCAACCACAACATGGCCAAGCCGATCCGTGCGCTGACCGAGTCGCGCGGTCACAATGTCGCCAAGCATAATCTGGCGGCCTTTGGTGGCGCCGGCGGCCAAAATTGTGTCGACGTAGCCACCATCCTCAACATGCGCCGCGTTATTGTCCACAAGTACTCGTCTGTGCTGTCTGCGTACGGCATCGGCATGGCCGACGTCGTCAAGGAAAAGCTTGAGCCGTGCGATGCGGTGTATTCGGACGCCGTGCGCGAAAAGCTGCTGGCGAGGTGCGGCGAGATTGAAGACGAGCTGCTGAAAAAGCTGCTGCTCCAAGGTGTTGACAGAAACACCGTCCAGAGCCAGTTTTACTTCAACCTCGGCTACCGCGGCTCCGACACCAAGCTCATGATTGCCGAATCAGAAAAGGACTTTCTGGCGGCGTTTGTGGAGCGCCACGAGCGCGAATTCTCGTTTGTGGACGCCTCCAAGGCAGTCGTAGTCCACGACATCCGTGTGCGTGTGACGGGGTCTACATCCAAGATCCCGCAAAAGTCGCCGTTCGATCGGGCCGGGGTCGAATTGAGGCCTGCTCCGAACACCCTCGTGCTCACCACGGCGCCCGTCTACTTCAGCGAAAACGGTGTAGGCGTGTGCCACGAGACCCGCGTCTTCCGCATGTCGGATCTCGCCGTTGGCCACACCGTCCAGGGTCCTGCTATTTTGCTCGACTCTACCCAGACGATTTGCGTCAATCCCTGCTCGCGGGCACTAAATCTGGAAAAACACATCATCATTGACATTGATGATAAAGACGCTGCTCCGACACTGACGCAGACGCTGGCGGTTGACCCAATCCTGCTGGCCGTGTTCCAAAACCGGTTTATGGCCATTGCCGAGGACATGGGTACGACGCTGCAGAAAATCTCCGTGTCGGCGAATATCAAGGAGCGCATGGACTTTTCGTGCGCGCTGTTCGACGCAGACGGTAACCTCACGGCTAATGCGCCGCACGTGCCCGTCCATCTGGGGTCCATGTCGCACTGCATACGGTACGCGAAAAAATACTGGGGCGGCAACATCCGCCCCGGCGACGTTTTGGCGTCCAACCACCCGCTGGCGGGAGGTACTCACCTGCCAGACATCACGCTTGTCTCGCCCGTGTTTATTGACGGCGAGATTCGGTTTTTCACCGCGTCGCGGGCTCATCATGCCGAAATCGGCGGCTCTGCTCCCGGTTCCTGCGCCGCAGACGCTACCGAGCTTTACCAGGAAGGAGCGCAGTTTCTGCACTGGAAACTCGTCGAGAACGCCAGGTTCGACTACGACGGCGTCCAGAAGCACTTTGTCGAGGACCCAGCAAAATACCCCGGCTGCTCCGGCTCCAGAAACGTCAAGGACAATCTCTCCGACCTCAAGGCGCAAATTGCCGCCAACCAGCGTGGAGTGCACTTGCTCGAAGACCTTTTCAAAGAGTACGGAACGGAGGTTGTTCTGTTTTACATGACTAACGTGCGCAAAACGGCAGCCGCTGCGGTGCGCAACTTCTTCAAGCGCACAGCCGCCAGAATGCGCGGCCAGCTACCATTGCGTGCCAAGGAGACCATGGACGACGGCTCGGTGATCAGCGTGGTGATCGACATCGACGAGAAAAAGGGCGAGGCGTTCTACGACTTCACAGGCACGTCCGAGGAGGCGTACGGCCCCTGCAACGCGCCGATCGCCATCACGCACGCATGTATCATCTATTCGCTGCGGCTGATGCTGGAGCAGGACATCCCGCTCAACGAGGGGTGTCTCGAACCCGTGCAGATGTACATCCCGCCAGGAAGCATCCTGAACCCGTCCGAGTTTGCGGCCGTCGCGGCGGCGAATTCCACCACGTCGCAGCGGCTCAACGACTGTCTGCTCAAGGCGTTCGGGCTGTGTGCTGCTTCCACGGGCTCCAACAACACCATCGGCTTTGGCAAGGGCGGCAAGGACCCCGTCACGGGCGAGATCCGGCCCGGCTTCGCCATGGTCGAGACGATCGGCGGCGGCTCCGGTGCGTGCGAGGGTGCCGACGGCTGGTCCGGGGTGCACTGTCACATGACCAACACCAAGATCACCGACCCAGAGATCTTTGAGAAGCGGTACCCGGTGATTTTGCACGAGTTTAGTATCCGCAGGGACTCCGGAGGCAAGGGCCGGTGGCGCGGCGGCGACGGGCTCGTGCGGACTATTGAGTTTACGACGGACCTATCGTGCACTTTGCGCACGCAGCGGCGCAATAGCGGGCCGTACGGGGTACACGGCGGGCTCCCGGCTTCCAGCGGCAAGAACTTGCTGGGAAAAATTCAAGGTGGCCGCATGAGATGGATCCACATGCCGGCGTTTGCGCAATTCCAGCTCCACAAGGGAGAGTTTGTAAGTATTCTGACTCCTGGCGGCGGTGGCTACGGGGCGCCTACTAAAGCGCCGGAAACTGACCGCTACAAACGTCCAAACCAGCAAACGGCGTTTTTGCCCATTGCAGGCGGCTCGCTCGCTCTCAGAACGGAGCTAGGCAATACATCGCAGTAAATATATATCTGAGTAAGAATTTGTCAAATTAGGAAATATATTATTTAAATGGTATCTCGGAGAAACAAGTTTGTGTTTGTGCAAACGCTGTTTGAGAAGGGGGAGGAGCCGGAGAAGCTCGCTGGCCGCGAGAACAGACGGACTCTGGCACAGACCAAGCGCACGCGGGTGTCTCTGGCGTGCGACCGGTGCAAGAGGCGTAAGAAACGGTGCGAGGGGCAGGACCCATGTGAGAATTGCAAACTCGCCGACGCCCGTTGCTCGTACTCGCGCGCGCTCAAGACGCAGACGGGAGGTACCAGGATCAAGGAGAGTGGCGTCGATGGGAAGACTCCGATACAGGCTCCTGTGGAAAACTCCGGTAGCACAAGCGAGCCACAACCCACCTCCCCACGTAACTCAAAAAAACACAGCCCGGACGCAGAATCCGCTCACGCGGACGAGAACGAGGTGCTTGCAGAGGCCCTCGAAAACCGGATCCTGGTACTGAAAAAACAATTTTCCCGGTTGCAGGAGGAGTTGGCAGCTTTGCGGCCCCACGCCGCGCGCGCTGAGACGAGCTCGAGCGACTTCTACAAGTCGATCCGGCTGATTCTACACGACACCCAGGACGAAACGTACGCCGGAAGTACGGCCATCGTGTCGAAGGTGAACTCTATCAAGAACTGGATTCTCTCGAAAATATACAAGGAGATGAAGGACTCGCACTCGTTAGCCAAACCACCGCCCGACCACGCCAAGATGATGAGCTTCCTGGATAGCCACACCAGCAGCACGGTGCCGGTGGCCCCCACAAAAGAGCTCGAGAGGATGTATGTGCAGTACTTCAACCGGCTCATGGGCCAGCGGTATTTTTTTTACGAGCCGGAGGAGCTGGAGCAGCTGTTTGAGGCGCATTTCGGCAAGTCCCAGTTGCTGTGTCCCATATTCACCTGTCGAGCGCACCAGGACGCCATCGCAAACCTCATTCTCGGCACAGGCTGCCGTCTAGTGATGATGTCGAAGCAGATGAATTTTCTCGACCCTAAGGTGTATTTCGACCGCGCCATGGACCTGCTCTCCAACACAGACTCCGCACTCAACTCGCTGGACCAGATCCGCCTCATCATGTACATTTCGCTGTACTTGCTGGTCTCGTACGACCACAACGTCAAGTTCACAATGAACATCTGGGAGCTGTCGGGGCTCGCGATCCGCAAGATCACCCAGACAGGCCTCCATCGCTTTAGCGTCCCGGCCGTCGCGACGGCCAAGGAATACGAGACGAGAAAACGCATTTTCTGGTCTGTCTACACGTTCGAGAAGGTGCTGTGCATGACGCTGGGCCGCCCCGCGTCGATCTCCGAGGACGAGATCGACGTGCCGTACCCGCTCAACATCGACTCGCTGGTCGAGATCGACGCCAACGACCTGCACAAGCTGCAGATCGAGCAGCAGCGGCTGCAGTACCAGCAGCACGACCACCGCATCACGTATCCGCCAAAAATCTCCCGCACGTACTATCTGATCCAGATGTGCCGCGTCCGCGAGCTGGAGCTGCGCATCGGGACCCTGGAGCAGTCGATCGCTGTGCCGCTCGCCGCGTCGATGATCGACACCGCGCCACACATAGAGCCGCAATTCAACGCCCGCTACCAGCAGATCGAGACAGAGCTAGAGACATGGCGCTCCCAGCTCCCGACGGAGTCGGAGTTTCTGGACGGCCTGCGCCGCGAAATCCCGTTCGAGTACCTGACGCTCTGCTACCACCGGTCGAAAATGTTCCTCTGTCTCACCCGACTCATGCACAGCGTCGACACGGACCACAAGAGCTTCCACGCGCTTCTGGTCGAGATATCCGAGGCTGCAGGCGGCGTGTGCAAGGCGTACATGGCCATCACGAAGGACCCGGCGTTTGGCTACGGCATGTTCAGTCTGCACTCTGTTTTCCTTGTCGGCATCATTCTCGCGTACTCGATCCTCAACCTCGACCACGAGCTGCTTGTCACCTCGCAAGTGTGGAGATTCCACAACTATCTGCGGCACTGCTCGGTGCTGCTTTCGCGGTTTGCCGAGCGCACGAAAAAGGCAGCCAGCTTCCGCATCCTGTTCGACAGACTGCTCGAAGAGGGCGTTTTCCGCACCGCAGTCGGCTCGCCAGCTCTGCCGGCCACGCCGGCCAGTTTCTACTCGCACACGTTCGAGTCGGGCGACCTCGAGCTGCGAAACCTGATGGACATTTTCAGCTCTACCGCAGAGAACCACTGGAACATCAGCGACGAGGAAGAGTTCTTGGAAAAACTAGATTCCAGCCGCAGTCTACGTAGATAATTCCGCTATAGCTTCATCTGGGGCTCCACCCACCAGTCAATATCTCCAAAGTCCGGAAACTCTCTCGCGACACGCCAGTCCATCGCGAGCGGGTCGAACGACGACCCGGCCCGCCATTTCCAGCACTCCGCGTACTCTGGGTCCAGCGTGTTCTCCAGCCGCGCAACAATATACTTGCCGATGTTCGGCAAAAACTTGTACCCGTGGCCAGAGTCGCCTGTGGCAACATACGCGTTCTCGTGGCCTGGGACACGGTCAATGATGAAGTGCGAGTCCCCCGTGTCCCCCACCCAGCACGCCTTGGCGTTGAACGGTTCGTGGTACGCCAGCTCCGGACAGTACTTGTTGAGCAGCGCCTTGAGCTCGCCGTAGCAGTGTTTCGGCATCGTGTCTCTCGGGTTTTCGTTCTTGTACCGCGGGAGAGACAGTTTCTTGTCCTTCTCGTGCGGACTCGCCACCAGGTGCGACGCCCCGGCTCCCGGCAGCGCCACCTTGATGATCCGCGTTTCTGGGTCCGGAGGAAAGAAGTAGCCCATGTCGGAGTCGAAAATGATCGGAATGTCCCTGTATTTCGCATACTCCTCGGTCGTCAGCTGGATGTGCGCCACGTACAGACTCGTGGCCGATTGCTGCCCGTTTAGGTCGACAGCCGTGCCGGTGTTGGCGCCGCAGCAGATCAAGATCTGGTCGGCCGTGTACAGCGTTCCGGCAGCTGTTTTCACGTATGTCTGGCCGTAGTGCTCTTGTAGCCCCGCAAAGTACCCCTCCGCTCCAAACGTGAACTCCACGCCGAGCTCCCGACACCGGCAATACAGGGCCTTGAGCGAGTTGCTGGCGTGACCAAGCCCAGACTCCGGGTTGAACTTGAACTCCTGCTCGTCGCCCAGCCGGTTGTGCAGGAATTGCGGGTGTTTTTCGGCCAAAGACCGGCTTCCTCTGAGGTACTCCACCCTCTGTCCCTCGCCCAAAGCACGCAGGTTCTGGATACCCTGCTCCTCAAACTTCTTCCGCCCGGCGTGCTCCTTGGGAGTGACCAGCACACGGCCGCACTCGTTGTATAGTCCCTGCAAATCTGGGTCGGTCTTCCACAAGCCGATTGCTTCCACGGCCATCTTGGAGTAGATCATGTCGGTGTACTCTGCCCTAATGATTTTGTTAAAGTCATTGGCAGCAGACCACGGCGACGGCGGCTCATAGACGTCAATTGCCCGCACAGAATAGCCCTTCAAGGCCAGCTCCCTTGCGGCGGACAGCCCAAACACACCGCATCCAACAACTAGCACGCTCGGCATTTATCCCAAACCTAATTTTATCACCTGCTTTATACTTTTTTTAGTTTTTTTTCGCGATTTCTGGAAACCCGATCCGCGCGGTCTGATAAGCCATTTTTTGAAAAAATTGATAACACTGAATTTCATTGGACTCCTCATGAAGGGCATCAAGAAGAGCAAGTCCGGGTGTCTGGTGTGCAAACGTCGCAAGAAAAAATGCGACGAGGCCAAGCCCAGGTGCGGACACTGCCAGCGGCTCGGCCTGGACTGCAAGTATGGCATCGTGCTGAACTGGATGAAAATACAGCTGCATGCTCGGTTCCACGCCAGCTGTGCACGGCCGCCAGACCACCATCTTCTCAATGCCAACTTCACCAGCATGGGCCTGGCGTACCATCTGTTGCAAATGTCTCCAAACTGTCCCGTCCGCGTGCACAACGAGCTCTGGACCGCCGCGGTTGCCGAGCCGTGCATCGACCCACGCAAAACGTCGCCAGAGTACCTTTTCAACCACTACGTCCGCAACATGTCCAAGTCGCGCTCGTTCTGCGAGAGCACGGACACGGCCAACGAGTTTCTGTCCATCATTGTGCCGCTGTGCAAGAACTTCACTGCGCTGAACCAGTCGGTGCTGTGCTACGCGGCCATCGACCTACTCAAAGAGGAGCTCACCAGCACGACACCCGATAGAGACGTTTTGCAGAGCTACTACTCGCTGTACGTCCAGTTCAAAGACGACGCCATCAACGGGCTGCACCTGATCCTGGACACGTGCGACCTCTCGAACCTCGAGATCCTCGAGGAGCTGATCATCACCATCATGATTCTGTGCGCGGCAGAGATCGCAAACACCAGCAAAAACTGGGTCAGCCTCATGAAGGAGGGGTTTCTGGTGTTCTCGTCGCTGCAGCCGGCGCAGGTGCTCAACTCCAAGGTGCTCACGTTTGTGTACCGCTATTTTTCGCTGCGCTACGTTCTGCTCGTGTGCACGTTAAAAGGAGACGTTCTGGCGCAACTGCTCGACTCATGCCGCTGGCCGGTCATTGAGTCTTTTTTTGAGAGCAACACAGTGGACCATCTTTTCGGGTGCTCGCCAAAGCTACTCCACACCATCCATGAGATGGCCATGTTGAACCATGCCCGGGAAACAAATGCCATCGAGGAGTCTGTTCTTGTGGAGCGGTATCTGGGTATATGGGCCACGCTTTCGGAGATGAAACAGAAAACGGTTCAGGACATCTCTGAGCTAGACATGTGTGCCGCGGCGTACCTTGTTGCTGCCAAAGTGTACTTCTGCATGCTGCTCCTGATCGGCAACCTCTCTTTCAACAAAAACTTCAAGAAAAAATTCCATCTGCTCACCAGCAGCCTCACAGAGCTGTTGATCAACCTCAGCAAGGTCAACATGAAGGTTTTCTTCCCCGGCTGGACGCTTCTTGTCCTTGCAGCCTGTCAAAGCTGCACCCCTTCGGGCGAGGAGGTTCGGCAGCAGATCATGGGCATTTTCCAGACGCTGGAGCTGAAGTGGCCCCTCAGCACCATTGCATTGCTCAAGGACGCCGTGCAGTCGATCTGGGTGCTCTATGACACAAGTATCGAGGAGCCGGAAAATCTGGCCGGCGCGTTGAAATTGGAACCCAACGGCGTGGACTGGCGCGACGTGATCTGCGCTGCCAACTACTGGCTTCCGCTGGTTTAGATAAGAGAAGCTATATACTTAGTAAGCTCCATGGCCTTTTCGTCCTCGAGCCGGCGACAAATAACCTGTAGAGACACAGCAGCTCCGTCAAACTTGGCCAGGTTGGCGGCATATGTCTCATGGACGTGTCTGTCTACCTCCGAAATGAACTCTGTTTTCGCAAACGGCGTGTCCTTGGAGACGTCGCACTTGCCGACCGGGAAAGTCGTTCCGGAGTAGTCAAGACCATTCCAAATGGCCGTGAACGGAAGTGTCACCACGCCGTTCTTCAGACAGGCCGGGAACGGCGACACCGGCGTGATGATGGCGTCCAGCTCGTGCTTGTTCCACAGCTCCATGTACTTTTGGCTAAGGGCGGTCCGCTTCCGTTGCAACTCCCACAGCTCCGACACAGGCATGTCACGTGCCGTCGGAAACCACTTCGACAGCAGCGGGTCCACTGGCTCGCCGGATTTTTCAATCAGCTCCAGGATGCTGCGGTAGCCGTTTGCGCCAAAGAAGGGATAAATGGCATCCTTAATGTCCGTCAGGTAGTGGTTTGGCCAGTCAACCACCTCGTGTCCTGCGGCCTCCAGGACGCCGCGGACCTTCGCCATAGCATTCACGAGCGGCGCCGTGGCCGTCGAGGTGCCGTCGTTGTCGAGAATGGCTATCTTCAGACTTCCAGGCAGCTCAACAGAGCGGTAATTCAGGGGTAAACAGCCCACGTCAATGTCTAGGTGCGGCTTGGACGCAATTATGGCTTTCAGAACGTACTCCACGTTTTCCAGATAGTACGACATCACGCCGTACACAGACTTGATGGATTCCTGTCCGGGCTGGCCCGATGCCGTGCCGTAGGAGGGGATTCTTCCAGACGACGGCTTGATCGAGTATATGCCGTTCAAAGCGGCGGGATGTCTCACGGAACCCCCGATATCCGACCCGATACCAAAACAAGAGCCTCTGAGGGCCCCTATGGCAGCTTCGCCACCTGACGAGCCGCCGTTGTTGAGAAATTGGCGGTTGTGTGGGTTCAAAGTCCGCCCCCACAGAGTGTTAACCGTCTCTGAGTACATCATCCCGGAGGACGTGTTGGTTTTGCAGATAATGATTGCACCCAGTCGTTTTAGCAGTTTCACAATAGCAGAGTCCTCGGTCGCCAGTTCCTCTGCCAGACCCACAAACCCCATCGACGTCGCAAGTCCCTCCACGTTAATGTTGTCCTTGAGAGAGACAACAATCCCGTGTAGGGGACCAACCAGTCTATTTTTTTGCTCAAGAAATTGGTCCTGCTCGGCTGCTTCCTTCAAGGCCTGCTCAAATCTCACCTCCGTAATAAAATTGGAGAGTCCATGGCCAGCAGCTGCTCGGCGGCAGTACAGAGATGTCACTTGAAGGACGGTGAGAGATCGAGAGAGATATTCTTTCTGCAGCGGCTCAATGGTCAAACTCACTATTCTGTTCTCCTCATCTGTAAATAGTGTGTCGATATATCCAGTCACGTCGTTAACTTCCTCCGGCGAGGGCAGATTCGCAATCTGGTACGGACAAAGCAGTCGCTGCTGCTCGCTAAGTTTTTTCTCTCTCACTTCCTCCCAGGTCATGTTGAGCTAAGTTTATTTTGGCAAGCTTATGCCGAAGACTCTTTATCCGGAAATCACAGGCTTGCTTGAATTTTTTTTAGATTTCTTATCGTGCATTTATTTAGGTCGTGTGCATCCGACGGACTTTTTCATTTATATCCGCCGCATGCAGAAACTATAACCTCCATAAAGACGCGAATACAGTCCAAATAGTCTGGGATGTCGACCCTTTCGTCTGGCATGGTGTTGTACTTGCCACCCGGCCCACACACAATTCCTTCCATGCCCAGCTTCTCGTAAAGGTGGCCAGCATCGCTCCCGTAGAAACAAGGCGGCTTGAGCGCGCCCGTAGGCTGGTCCACGCCGCGAACCTTCCTGTAGCACTGGTTGAGAAGCTGCACAATCTCCGCCTTGGGGTCGACCTCGAACGGAGGCATGAAGTCGCGTTTCTCCAGGCTCAGCTCATACTTCATCTTCGGGAACTTTTCCTGCGTCTTCTTGAGCTCTGTCTCCAGATCCTCGAGCACTATTTCTTCGTTCTGGCCTGGTGCGTATCTGGCCGCTCCGGTGAATGTAACAAAATCTGCCACCTGTGGAGGCCGCCACGTCTCGTAGCTTCTGCCCAAGCCGCCTCTGATGGTCCCGACGTGGCATCTGTTGACGCTCTCGTGCGTGGCGGAACGTGCCTTGGAGAACTTTAGGTCCGTAAGCCGGTGGATCGCGTCCATTGAGGCCAGAATCGAGTCTGTGGCCTCTTCACGTTTGGACATGTGGCGAGTGTCCCCGACAACGTTGACCTTGAAAATCGCCGAGCCAGCGTGCATCACCAAAGCATAAACATCGGTCGGCTCGCAGTTGATGAAAAAGTCTGCTGAGTCCTTGGTTATAACCTTCTGTGCCAGCAACGCCATGGTTCCCGCACCACCTTGGAGTTCACCAACGACAAACGTCAGCGTCAAGTCCTTGGAAATCTGGAATCCGGCCTCCTTGAGCGTCTTGACAGCCATGTAGTAGGCACAACAGCCAGATTTCATGTTGCTGACACCAATACCGTAAATGAAGTTATCGTCCACCTTGCCCTCATACGGATCGACCGTCCAGCCCTCAGTAACAGGGTTCACATCCACATGGCCGTTGAAAAGCAGTTTCTTCCCCTCATACTTGTTTGTGCCCTCCCAAACACCAACAGAGTTATACCTCTTCATGCCGTCGGCCTGGTCGGTAAACTCCAGACTCTCCGCTTTCAGGCCAATATCTTGCATGGCACGAGTCATATAGTGGACGGCATCGATCTCGCCCGGGGTTCTGGATTGCGAATGGATCTTGATGAAGTTGGACAGGAAGCCCAGACACTCCTTCTCGTTCAGTTGCGGCAGCTCCAACATGGTCACTAAGAGCGTAGAGTAAAGAGAATTTAGGTTATTATACGGCTGACAATAGAACGGCGGGCGGCACTAGTTTTCCGTCGGCTGGCCCCGTCCTGTTTTCAGAGCGCACCGTGCATGCTATCGGTAAATTTTATTTTTTTTCGCAAATCTAGTTCCGCAGGCTTACGGGATGCCGACCTTGGGACCGTATATATAGGGGCGTTCCAGATTGACCCCGTTTCTCCAGAATGCTGACGATTGGCGAGACCAAATCGGGCTCTGTGACAGAGGTCCAAGTGCCTGAAGAAGCCATCAAGGACGTTGCCTATGAATTGTTCCAGGAAGGGGGAGCCAACGATGAAGTGGACCCGAAAGACTCTTCCCGTATAGCCAGAAAACTGGACCTCCACATGATGTGGGTGCTCTGCACTCTGTATGGTATCAACTATGTGGATAAGGCAGCCTTGGCATGGGCCGTGCTGTTCACTTTCGAAGAAGACCTTGGTCTCACAGGAAGCGACTACTCGTGGGTCTCGTCGATCTTCTACTTTGGCTACCTGGGCGCCCAGTTTCCAGCCTCCTACCTCTTGCAACGCTACCCTGTTGGCAAGGTGATCTGCTTCTCCACCTTTGCGTGGGGGATCATCATGCTCGCCCACATGGGTTGCAAAAACTATGCCGGTATTCTTGTCTGCAGATTCCTTCTCGGAGTGTTTGAGGCTCCTGTCTCCGGAGGATTTGTGCTGTTCACGTCTCTGTTCTACACAAGGAAAGAGCAGGTGTCACGGACCATGTACTGGGGTTCCATGCAGGGTATTTTCTATGTGATCTTTGGTTTCGTCACTTACGGTCTGGGCCATGCCCACGGCTCTTCCTTGAAGGAATGGCAGCTGATTTACTTGGTGTTAGGGCTTTGTTCGGTAGCCATCGCTTGCGTGTGGCTCGCACTGATCCCAGACTCGCCGGATAAAGCGAGATTCCTGTCCAAGGAGGAGAAGATCATTGCCGTCAAGAGAGTCTCCAAGAACATGATGGGTGTCAAGACAAACGACTGGAAATACAGCCAGGTCTGGGACTGCCTTGTTGATCCAAAGACATGGCTGATGATTGCGTTCATCATATTTTCTATGATTCCAAACGGTGGTCTAACCAACTTTGGCTCGCTGGTGCTCAAAAGTATCGTCCACAACAGGGTCCAGTCCATTGCAATCGGCGTGGGCAGCTCGTTTTTCTCGTCTGGTCAAATGCTTATTTACTCCGTGTTGTCGATGAGGTACCATAATCTGAGAACCATTGGAATGAGTGCCCCTCTGCTGCTGGCGATAGCCGGTTTGTCTGCAGTTTATGCCACAGAGGACCACGGCGCAAAGTGGGGCCGTGTCTTTGCGTACTGGATGATCAACTCGTACGCGGTCACGTGGCCGTTTGCTCTTTCGATCATTGGATCAAACTACGCCGGACACACCAAACGTGCCACCATGAGCATGTTGCTGCTGATTTTCTTTGCTGTGGGAAACATCATTGGTCCGTTCTGTTTTACCACCGCGGACGCTCCAAAATACACCAAGGCTTTGGCTACAAATCTGGGCTGTTTTTGTGCCTGTTTCCTCATTGCAGTGCTCCTGAGAGTGTATCTGATATGGGAGAACCGCAGAAGAGACTCGAAATACGGCCCCGTTGCCGAGCTTACAGAGGAAGAGAGACAACAGGGCATCATCAATGGTTTGAAGGATCTCACCGACACAGAAAACAAAGAGTTCCGGTTCGTACTATAATACAGGTTTAAAATTTATCTAGTTTTTTATCGGCCCACCAGATCGGGTTTATGCGATAGCTGAGAAAATAAGATCTGCTCAGATAAGTTGTTTTAATATTTTCCATGACAAGTTATCTCCCTGTTGAGAATGGCACACGGTCGTTTTGGCTGAGTGCCGAGACAGAGTTTGGCTCTACAAGGACGACACAGGACCTTCCCTCAGAAGTTGACGTGCTGATCATTGGTGGTGGTTATTCAGGAGCCACCACAGCGTACTATTTGCTGGAAGGAAAAAACCGGCCAGAGTCCGTTCTCCTGCTTGAAGCCAGAACTTTGTGTTCTGGGGCCACTGGCCGAAACGGCGGCCATTTCAAGCCCAGCTTTTACAGCTCCTCAATTGCCCACACCGAAAAGTACGGCCAGAAAGCTTGTGCCGATATCACTAATTTCGAAATGGCACATTTAAAGGAGTTGAGAGAGGTGCTCGAAAAAGAGAAGGTTGACTGCGAGTACATTGTCACCAGAGGCTGCGACGTGTACACGTCCGAAAAGGGCGCCCAGAGGGCAATTGCAAATTTCCACCACATGATGGAAAATCCGTACGTTGAAAATAAACACGAGTTCCAGCTGCATGTCGGCGACCGTGCAAGAATTCTCTCGAAAATGCCCGAGGCTCGGGCCTGTGTGACAGGGCCTGCGGGCCAGATGTGGCCGTACAAGCTGATGGTTGCATTACTAGGAATATGTGCCACCAAAGGACTCAACATCCAAACCAACACCCCTGTGTTGAGCACTGAAAAGCAAAAGAATGGAAGATACTTGGTGCACACCAAAAGAGGCGACGTCGTTGCCAAGTCTCTTGTCATTGCCACCAACGCGTACACTGCGTCCGTCGAGCCTTGTTTTGAGAACAAGATTGTCCCCATCAAGGGCATTTGCAGCCACATCGTCTCGTCCGGAACCCATCCTCCGGCCCATCTTACAAATTCCTACGGACTCCTTCTTCCTCAGAACAGTGACTACCTAATAAACCGGCCAGACGGCTCCCTTATCCTGGGCGGCGCCAAAGAACATCTTTTTCCGTACAAAGAGCGCTTCTACAACGTTGTGGACGATAGCACGCTGGTCCCAGGTGCTGAAAGCTACTTTGAAGGATACATGGAGAAAAACTTTTACAGCTGGCAGAACTCCAAGTCGGCGGTTGCCAAGGTCTGGAGCGGTATAATGGGCTACGCCAATGACGGTCTGCCGTATGTGGGTGAGCTCGAGGAGAACAAATTTATCCTGGCCGGATTTGGTGGCCACGGAATGCCCCGGATTCTCCTTTGTGCAAAGGCCGTTGCCAAGTACATCAAAGGCGAGTCCAGCGAGTTCGAGGTTCCCCGTCCATTTTTGGTTACTCCTGACAGAATGGCCCGGACAGAAAACGGCGTTCTTGCGTCTCTACAAGCTGTTGTTGAAAAATAAATTATTTTTTTCTCAGTGCCAGTAGCGGACTCTTGTTCACTTCGTAATCCCTAAGCTTTTCCCAATTGTGTGCATCCAGACAGGCCTGGCGGGATAGCAGCACAGCAGGACCAGCGCGTGCTCTGACGTCGTCCTTGTACGCATTGATCATCTCCTGCCACGAGATCTCCTCTTTCTGACATCTCTCCAGTAGATCAATAAAAAGCTTAACGTCTGCAATGGCGTGGTTTCCGGCCTCTCCCCTGTACATGACCATGGCATGGCACGCATCTCCAACCAGAATGATCTTGCCTTGCTTGTCGTCAAAATCGGCATATGGCCAGTCGGAAAGCCGTATCTCCATGAACCGGTCGGCCGCTGCCACCATTTTTTCTCGCAGAAACATGAGATTTTCGTTCAGGCCCGAAGATACTCTTCTAATAACGGCAATCTTATCTTCCACAGTGTCAAACTTCTCGACAGCCTTGTCGGGACAGTTCCAAGAAAAGTTCACCTGGCATTGGTAAAAAGTGGATTTGTTGTACGCTGGCGAGGAAAGCAGAGAAAACCAGAAGAACGTGTTATTGGATGGTATTGTTCCTTGGAATAGCAGACTGTCGAAGTGTTTTGAGACCTGGTCGTACTCCTGCTGGGTAAGTTCGACAGTGGATCCCAGAAACCTGACTGGCAGATCATAGAGCTGGTAATTGCCTGGATTAGTGAACCGTCTTGTGACAGAGTTGCTTCCTTCGGCCCCAACCAGGAGTTTTCCAGTAAAAGTTCTACCGTTCTCGCATATAACTGTCACTTCAGTGTCAGTGGTTCTAACCTCCACCGTCTTGCAGCTCCAATTAACGTCAATTCCCTCTAACAACGTCTTTCTGATCTGCTCCCGTCTGACTCGCAGTCTTCTGGATGGAGGAATGTGAACTAGCGATTTGGCAGTTTCCGCGTTGATATACACAAAGTTTCCGCTGTCGTTTAAGTGAAAGTCCTCGAGCACCTGGCATTCATAGACTTTTTTTTGTATCTCTTCCGGCAAAAGTGAAAGAAAATCATTCAAAGCCCAGTGCAGGGTGATTCCCCATCCTTGGCCGCGAGACGAGACTGATTCGTCCCTATCGAAGATGATATATGGGATTCCCAGCTGTTTGAGAGATTGCGCTGTGAGCAGGCCAGCAATTCCAGCTCCCGAAATGAGAATTGGCAGTTGATCCCAAGACATTATTTTCTTTGGGTTGGAAAATCGGTCTTTTTATTTTCAAGCCCGTTGGTCCAGTAAAGATAAAAAAATCTTATCGCTGCGGAATTATTACATAAAGTAGCCGGCGGGTTTCGCGAGTACTCGTAATATTTATAGTCCCAGTATTTAGTCTCCGAAATCAAATACTCTGCGACAATATGAGCGGACACGAGGCAATCAACCCTATCCACCCTTCGATGGTGGGCAAACTCGACCCGGAATTTGAAAAGATGTACAACGAGCACGTTGCCAACACCCCGAACCGTCCTATTGATCTTCCCATGCTAAGAAAGAATTACAATAAAATCTATTCCTATGGCACTGCTCCTGCACCAGAGATCAAAAACATCGAAAACATTACGTTTCCAAGCTTTGATGGCAAACAGGTCGCTCTACGAATTTACCGGCCTAACGACTACTCAGAGTCTGAGAAGTTGCCTGTTCACCTCGATTTCCACGGAGGCGGTGCAGCAGTTGGTGATCTCGACACCGAGGCTCACATTCTGAAAGAGTACGTCGCAAGAGCAAGAGTTGCCGTGGTGGACGTTGACTACCGACTGATACCGGAGCACAACTTTCCTACCGGTGTCAAGGACTGCTTCGAAGCCACCAAATACGTCTATGAGCACGCGGACGAGCTTGGATTTGATAAAAATTCCATTTCTGTCGGAGGTGTTTCCGCTGGCGGCCACATTTGTCTGTCTGTAGACCATCTCTGCCGCGACATTGGGCTCAAGCTGGTGCTGGTCTGTGCCGGTACACCGCAAATTGCCGATATCTCGAGCGTCAAAACGGCAGCAGACTCTCCATACCAGTCCATCAAGGAGTGCGAGTTTGCCCCTACTCTAAATTGGGCACGTTTGAAGTGGTTTGACGACATCAAATGGCAATGGCTCGAGGATTTGACCGAAGAGCAAAAGCAGAAGGAATTGGCGGAAATCGGATGGCTGAGAGATCTGATGCTGGCTACAAATTTCAAGGGATTGACCAAAACTCTCGTCTTCACTGCTGGCCTGGATCCTTTGCGGAGCGAAGGCCTCGAATACGCCAAAAGGCTGATGGATCACGGGGTGGAGGTTGTGTACAAGTGCTACGAGGGCGTGCCACATCCTTTCCAGCACATGAACAAGAACCTCTGGCAGGCACGGGACTTCATCTACAGAACGTCTCTGGAGCTGGCTCTGGCTCACAAAACTTTAACTTTTTAGATAATGCGGAATTAGACCTTATCACACCGATAGTAATTATCTTCGTAAATTCCACCGGCAGCTTTCTCGAATTCCGCCCGTCGCTGGCGCAGGTTTAAAAAGATATCTACATCCCATATCTTTGCACATCATGACTCTCGATTGGACAGTCCCGAAGGGTTCTGTTGTGCTTGTCACCGGCGGCACTGGCTTTATAGGCGCACACTGTATCCAGGTTTTGCTTGAGAATGGATTCAAGGTCAAGGCTGCTGTCCGGTCCAAAACTAAAGGCGAGCAACTAGTCAAGTCGTTTGAGCAGTATAAGCCTGCGCTTAGCTTTGGAGTCATAGAGGATGTGAGCGATGACGACTCATTGACTCGTCTTGCTGAAGGCTGTTCTGGAATTCTACACCTGGCAAGCCCTTACACCTATGCTGTCAAGGACTTTGCAAAGGAACTGCTGGACCCAGCCCTCAAAGGAACACAGACGGTAATGGAAGCTGCTGCTGCTCACAAATCAATTAAAAGAGTGGTCATCACATCTTCGTTCGCGGCGGTTTTCGATGCAACCAAGGGTTTGCAACCAAACGTTGTTTTGACCGAAAAGGATTTTTCTCCGCTGACATACGAGGATGGAGTCAACACCACGGATCCGGCTGTGGCATACAGAGCATCCAAGATTGTTGGAGAAAGAGCGGCCTGGAACTTTATCAACGAAAAAAAGCCTTCTTTTGACATTGCTGTCCTCTGTCCACCTATGGTGTATGGTCCCCTTGCAACTACGGAGATGCTTACGTCTTTAGACAATTTGAATTTCAGCAACTTGACTATCTGGAAAATGGCCACTTCTGGGTCAGCCGCACCAGTCCCGCCCACGAAAGGTCCTGTCTATGTGGATGTGCGGGATCTTGCGTTCGCTCATTTCCGTGCGCTAGTCGTGCCGGAAGCGGCCAACCAAAGATTCATGGTTTCTGCCGGGGTTTACAGCAACCAGGAGATTTGCGATGACTTGAGAGATAATCTTAGCACTGCAAGAGCAAAGCACGTTCCTATCGGAACACCCTATAAAAATGCAGAGCCGGATCATTTCACTACAGACTCGTCCAAGGCAATCGACATTTTGGGTGTTAAATTTAGACCAATCAAGAACTCAGTTTTGGATCTAGTTAACCAATTGTATAGCTATATTGAGTAACTACAAAAGTCCCATCTGTTTTGCCTGCTCTTCAATATCGGCTTTAATATCGTAGCCACAAATCTCAGTAATGGTCAGCTTGTCAGGCCGGTCATTATCCTTGCTGGACCATCCAATACGCTCGTTCAAATTTTCCCGCGCCCTTAGGGATGCTGCTTGGATTCTGGTAGCACGAGGTTTGCGAATTTTCTCATACAGCTTGAGACCGTCTGGCACGGAAAATTTGAATTGGTCGCTGAAAATGTAGCCAATGGCAAAGGCGTCCTCAATCGCCGTGACAGCACCGAGGGACTGGTCAGGCATCATTGGGTGGATGGCATCTCCTATCATCACAACCTTGCCCTTTTGCCAGTGCTCGTAAGGCTGGTGAACATACAGTCTCCATTGCTTGATATCGTAAGCAATCTTGAACAGATCCAACACCTTTGGGTCCAAGTCGGGAAACGTGCCACAGAGCTCTTCAACAGAAGCTTCGTCGTTCCAGCCACCCATACGAAGGTTGTTTTTCACCGCTGGATAGAAGCAGTAGCAGGAGACCACCTCGCCGCCTTTACAAGGAGACATGACAATTTTGTCAATTCCAGAGGAGCCCGGAGTTCCTCTCCACCAATATTCGATGGCCTCGTTTTTAGAAAAGTCAGTGAGACCCTTGGCCAGCACTTCTTTGGTTTCAAACAAGCACCTAAAGCAACAGGAAGTCGAGGACTTGAAATTTGGCGGGTTTCCAATTTGCTCACGAGTCAGAGACCGGATTCCGTCAGCAGCGACAATTAGATCGTGCGTGGCCTCATGACCGTTTTCGAAAGTGATCTTTCCAGACTCTGCGTCCACGTTCAACGCTTTGTGGTCCACTAGAAGCTTGCAAGGAATGCCCTCTCTATTTTCATCCAAAGCACACTTGAGAAGCAAGTCGTGAATGTCGATTCTGTGAAGATTGTAGTAAGGCACTCCAAAAGACTCTTCGTAGTCTCCGAGGTCGTAGACCCCAGTTATCTCACCGTTGTCGAATTGACGTTTGATCAGCTTCTTTAAAATCACCGGCTTGGTCTCCAGCAGAGGCACGCCAAGCTCCTGGAGCAGCCTGCCTCCGTTGGAAGCACAGGACAAACTAGCACCAACTTCTCCTGCGTAGTGATATCTCTCATATATTGTCACCTCGTGGCCAAATTTGCGAAGGCTGATGGCTGCTGTGAGACCAGCAATTCCGCCACCAATGACTCCAACGTTCAGGTTCTGCTTTTTTTCAGGCATTTCTTGCAAACAGCACCATTGACGTGCAACTTAAATAACCATCCCAAAATCCGAGCCGGAGACTTTTTTGTTTGTTCCGCTCGGAGATTTTCTTACGATTTGCGCTTATCTTTATCTTATCATGTGAACTTTTTTTCGCTAAAAGTCAAATAATAGATGTGCTCGATTTGTATATATGCCACACATGTCTGCCTGTTTAAATGACCGTTTCAGTATGAGCTCAGACAAGAACACTGTTGAGATTGTCTCCGAAGACCTGGCTCACAAGACACACCCAATAACCTCGGTGTTGAGTGCGCAGAGTAACATATTTGCAGATGAGGACCAAGACATCACTCTCGGATTCATAAGAGAGTACGAGAAAAATGGACTCTCGTCGCTGGCAAATGTGGATCTGAATGCCATCACAAAGAAGGTTGACAAACAGATGATGCTGATCATGTTTCTGTGCTACACCTGCCAATTTATCGACAAGGTCGCTTTGAATTACGCTAATATTATGGGTCTGAAAAAAGACCTGGGTCTGGTCGGTAACCAGTTTTCCGACCTTGCAACCTACTTCTTCGTTGGATTTCTTATTTTTGAGCCGATTCAAGGCTTTTTCATCCAGAAAATCTCGCCCACAAGAGTGTTGGCTGTCAATGTCATGTTATGGGGTGTGCTGTGCATGTGCAGCAGCGCAGCGACTAATTTTGCTGGAATGATCACCGTGAGAGTTCTCTTGGGCTGCTCGGAAGCCGCAATTGCACCGTGTTTGGTTCTTATCACCGCTTCCTGGTACACCAGAGGCCAGGCTGCCTTCAGAACGGGAATTTGGTACTGTGGTTTGGGAGCTGGACAAATTATCGGAGGACTCATCTCTTTTATATTCCAGCAGATTTCTACTTCGGCGCCTTTCAAAGGCTGGAAAATCATGTTCCTTGTGATTGGTTTCGGCAATCTCTTGGTGGGACTCGCCGCCTACTTCTACCTGCCCGTCAACCCTGTCGAATGCAAATTTTTGACTCAGGACGAAAAATACGCTCTAGTCATAAAGCTTAGCGAAACAAAAATTGGTGTGCAGAGCAAGAAATTCGTGAAATCGCAAGTCTGGGAAGCTCTAAACGACATCACGCTGTACCTGTTTTTCATTATTGCCTGCACCATTTCGTTCTCCTCTAACACTATTACCACCTTTTCTTCTGTTGACATTCTCTCGTTCGGCTTCACGTCAAAACAGGCTGCGCTACTGAACATGCCTTCTGGGGTCGTCTCAATTGCCTCCACGCTGCTCTCGACTTTCTTCATTATGAAGGGCTTCCACAGGGGACTATCAATCATGGTTCTCTGTATCCCTGCAGTTTGTGGAGGTGCCCTGCTTTCCTTCTTGCCAAAATCCAACCAAGCTGGACTTCTGGTTGGAATATACATGATCAACACCATTGTTGCACCGTTGGCCATTATATACGCGTGGGTTGGTAACTGTGTTGCCGGCCACACGAAAAAGATCTGCTTCAATGTTGCCGTCATGTTTGGTTTTGGTCTCGCTAACATTCTCGGACCGCAGTCGTACAGGGCAGACGACTACCCGGACTACATTCCGGCAAAGGTAAGCATGCTCGCAACGCAGGCTGCTACCATTGTGATCGCTGCCCTGATCAACCTTGTCTACTTTTTGAGAAACAAGAGAAGAAGTAAGGAGCCAAAAAGAGCCATGGACGAGGATGTCGCTGCCGCCTACCTCAACAAAACCGACTTTGAAAATCGTTCTTTTAGATACTTATATTGAGACTGTTGCCGCGTTCCGGGCTGTGCAAATTATAAACTTCGCTTATCAGTAAAATAACTTAGATTTGAAAATATGACTGTAGCTCCAAAAAAACGAGCCTGTGATTGGTGTCATACTTCCAAGCAGGTGTGCCTAGGAGGATATCCGTGTGACCGGTGTTTTCGAAACGGGTGGAACTGCACGATTCAGCGGCCAGTAAAGAAGATAGGAAGACCGTCAAAGCCGATGGGCGATAAAACGGAGAAACCGCGAAAATACAACAAGAACGGGTGTTTGACTTGCAAGCAACGAAAGCGCAAATGCGAAAATGAGACCTGGCCATGTAAGCTGTGCTTGCGGCTTGGTCTTAGGTGCAGTGGAGCGGCTGATACCGCGGCCTCTGCCGAATTCTTGTTAACGAAGGAAATCGATGCTTTCGACGAGCTCAAGGAAGCGGAAAAAATGTACATGAAATATTTTGTCAACGAGGTGGCACCGATCTTATTCACCAAAAACCACGCCCATGTGTTTCTCAAGCAGGTAGTCAATCTGGCGTTCCTGTATCAGCAGGTCAGAAACCCTATTTTGGGGATCGCTGCCACACACCGCTCTTGCAAGTTAGACCATGAGCTGTCCTCCGTTCGTGAGCTCAGTCCGGCCTATCGAGACTCGATCACCTACCGCGCTCGCTCGAAACTGTCTGAATACCCCCAGTGCTCAGATGAGATTGAGCTTCTTTCCGTGTTGTTGTCTGTGATGATGGAAATCCTCGTTGGAGATAGTCTTGACTGGTTTCAGTTGCTTCAACGCGCTTACAGAATTCTCGAGAGGTGTGGTGGTATTTTTTCTCTTACAAACGACAAGGACGACCAGCTAAAGCTGATCAGCGTTCAGCTCTTTTGTTATCTGGATTTTGTGTCTAGTTTGAGCACATGCAACCCGCCATATATCGAGATGCAGCAAATGAATCAGTTTGAAACTAGCGACAGCATATCCGAATCCCTGGAGGAGTTCGATATTGAGGGTCTGGTAGATGAGAGTCTACTGTCGAATACAGAAATAAACTCGCGGTTTGTCTCGTCGCTACTGAGTGACAGCGACACTTCAAATATACTCAAAATTGAGCTCGGGTTCAAGTTTGGCATTGCGGGTGACATATTCAAGATCATGGGCAAGATATCTGCCCTGGCAAGTCTCCGCAAGCTACGTGGAAAAGACAGCAAGTACGATATCGAGTTCAATCGGTTTGCCAGCGAGATAGAGATGAAGTTGCAAAATTGGGATGTCCCTGAGGAAATTAATTTTGAAAACATCTCGGATTTTCAGAGGACGCAATACGCGTTGGCATTGCAATGGGCTTGTTTCTTGCGGTTGCATCAGATACGCTACGGATACAACAGGGACGACTCGAGGCCTAAGGGGTGTCTGATTAACATTCTGCAGGCTATCGAGTCCATTCCTGAAGGGTCACAGCTGGAAAGTGGACTAATGGTCCCTCTCATTCTTGCTGGCTCCGTGGCCAGTCGGGAAGATGACCGTAGACTCATACTGAAGAGGATGAGGAATATCAGAGGAACGCTGAAGTTTCCGTACATTCAGCGATTTGAGATGCTGCTGATGAGAATCTGGGAGCGGGACTCGCTGGATGGCAATTTTGTGAACTGGGCAGCCGTCAGATACTACGAGTTTCCAGGGCTGGTGATGTTTTAGCTGGCACCGAAACTGGTGCCACGATAATTAACGAGGCGCGATAAAAATTATATACGATAACGGAACTCTGGGTTCTGGCCGTCTGTCAAATCTGCAAACTCCATGTTCTCGACCGGCTTGTACTTGTCGCCCAGCTGTTCTCTTTGCTTATCTCTGCGACGATTCTCCATGACATTTAGCACCGTGAGAACAATCATCAGCACGATGGCTCCGCAGTAGCATCCGACGACCGTTGCTTTGGCCTTTGGGTAGTTTGGTGCGTCTGAAGACTGGAAGGTTTGAGGCCCAATGATATTTCCGCAAGAGTAGCCAACAAGCGAGATGGCGTTTGCAACGAGCTTTTTGGTGTGTCCAGCTGTGTTGGAGGTGACACATGACGTGACCAAAATGATACCAACAGGAGCCACTCCAAGCAGATAATAGCCTGCAAGCTGTGCTTTTTCCTGGACGCCGAAGGCAAGCAGACAGGACGCAATCACGACCAGCACCATGTACGAAACACCCAAAATCATTCTTTTCTTGATGAATATGGAGAGGTATCTCAACGCAATGAGACCCACGCACTCCACACCTCCCAGAGGAGCCTTAACCAGTAAGGACTTGATGGAAGAATATCCCATGGACTTGAGCAGGATGGTTCCGAATCCACTGATACCCCCGTTGGGGATGGCTACCAGAATTCCAATGGCGAAGTAGATCCAGGTTCTCACGTCCGTGATACATTCGATCAGCTGGTATTTCTTGAAATGCCTGTTTCCGAATCCCTGGTTGTTTCCTCTAATTCTTTCCACCACGTTGAGCTTTTCTTTGTGAGTCAAGAATCTAGCCTGTGCTGGAGTGTCCGGCATGATCAGCATGATCAGCAGTCCGTTCACAATGGTGGCAATGCCAATAATCATAAACAGAACCTTGTACGCCTTCATGGTGTACTCTCCTGATCTCTCAAAAAGGCCGTAGGAAATGCCCGAGAGAACGACAGTGCCGAGACCGTTGAATCCGTAGAAAATCGCGGTCCGCCCAAAATGTTCGGTGTGTCTGTAGTACTGGTTGAGTATAACGACGAAAATAGGAGAAACAAAAGACTCAAGCATTCCCAGCAGTGTTCTAAGAAGAACAAACGTAGCATATGACTTTGCACTAACATGCAAACATTGTATAGTTCCCCAGATGACAATGAACGTGCTAACTGCCTTGATGATTGGCAGTTTCTGTAAAATGATCGCAGAAAACGGTGCCGCACACAGGTAACCAAGATAGAAGCAAGAATTGGTCCACGAGTACATCTGTCCCTCCATACCGTAATCGGTCTGGATTCCCATGACTGCTGCAAATCCGATCGACGTCTTGTCCATGAACTGGATCATGTACAGAAACGAGAAAAGAGGAAGGACGATACAGTCAAGCTTGAACAGCAATTTTCTGTCTTCTTGCTCAGAGAACACTTGGTGGTCAGCCTCCTGGGCCAGATCCATAGCCTGGTCAACATCGTCAGTGATCTGGACAATCTTTCCTCTTGGGGAGATGATCGTCGTTAATGGCTGGCCGTGTTCGACCTCCATCACCCCGACAGATTCAGATTTTTTAGAATAGTCGTCGGTCATGTTTTGATCTTATCTGGGGAATAAAGAGCGTTATATATGCTTGATCCGTGCTTTTTCATTGCATCCGATAAGTTGTTATCAATAATCGAATTTTTCGTCCGAGCGGCTGAGATTTCTCGACCGCACCCTCCAAAGATATCGTCACAATTTCCTTTTTGGTAATCTGCACACTATAAATATAGCGGATCTTTTCCCGTCTATTAAGCATGGGTCAACAAGTCTCAACACAGGGGACCACACCTTACAGCGTGTCTATTCCGGGACACGGAACCTTGACCGGTTACACTTTCAATTCGCCTAGAACAGGCAATACCTCCGTTCATCGATTTGCAAAGGTCCCTTTTGCCAAGCCCAGCACTCCCGAGAACAGATTCAAGCTCCCTGAGCCTCTTCCTTCAGACTATGATTATACTGGGGATTATAAGGAATTTGGTCTCAAATGTCCTCAGCCTTCGGTTCCTCACCCTCAATTTAGATATACCAAGTCGCCAACCGAGGAAAACATCTTGTACTCCAATATCTGGGTTCCTGCTTCGGACAAGTACAAGCCAAAAGATGGATGGCCAGTTTTAATCTACATCCACGGTGGGTTTCTTCAGTATTCTACGCCAAACAATGAGATGTTCAATGTCCACGAGATGTTGGACGACGAAGACTTCACTCAGAAGTTTATCTTAGTGGCGCCCGGGTACAGACTCAACATGTTCGGGTTCCTGTCATCCAAAGAGCTGCTGGAGGAGGACGAAAAGTGCTCTAATCAGGGATTTTGGGACCAGAGACTGGCGATTGAATGGACATACAAGAACATCAAGCACTTTGGAGGAAACCCAGACAAGATCACAGTTGGAGGCATTTCCGCCGGAGCATACTCCGCGTTCTTCCAACTTGCCTATGAACTGTACCATCCGGAGGCTGAGCAGATTATCAAGCAGGCCATGTTCTTCTCTAACATGGTCTACGTTCAACCGAAGACAATTGCTGAAGTGCAGAATCAGTTTGACGAAATAATTGACAAGTTGGGCATCGATCCGAATGCATCATCTGCAGAAAAGTTACAAAAGCTGAGATCTCTAGATACTGGTTTTATTGAAGATTTCATTCCCACTCTTTCATTGCATACCTTCAGAGCAGTCACCGATGGTCATTTTATTTCGCCAAATCTCATCAGGGACATTCGTTCAGGAAAGCACGCCAAACTGCTTTCCGAGAAAGGAGTTAGAATACTAATTGGTGAGGTTGACAATGAGCTGGTCAAGTATTCCTACCTCAATACCCCCCAGACTGTTTCAGAACTTCCTCTTCAAGTTGAGAACTACTATCCAAAAATTGTGGTTCCTACTCTGATGGATTTATACGGCGCTGAAAAGCTCGATGAGAATTCCCCAGACTTCAAAGAGGACCTGAGAAAAGTTTATGGTGCGATCATTTCTGACGGTCAAGTCTATGCCTCCGCCAGAGGATACATCAACTCTCTGGTTCAAAATGGATATCCGGAAAACCACATTTACAGATACAGAATTAGCTTCCGTGCTAAATGGCTCGACCAACACATCAGTCCGGACTTGAACGTTCCTCATGCATGCGACGCACATCTGTGGTTCTACTGCCTCAGAGAGGGGTATACAGAATCCGAAAGGCTTGTGATTAATAAATGGTTGCAACCATATCTTCAGTTTGTGAACTTTGAACAGGACATCGCAGAGTGGCCATCCTCTGATGCCAAAAAAATCAGACTTCTCAAAAGAGACGGCCAGGCGGAGTACGTTGAGGATCCAGATTGGGACTGGGGAGTCAAGGTTGCAACAGCAGTTTATGATAAGCAGATCGAGTGCCCAACATAGATTTAATTAATTACCATAATTAAAATACAATTATTTGAGCCTTGCAAATATAGTTGAGCATGAGTCAATTTACAACTAGCAATGAAATGTCCCGAAGTGCACTTCTAGGACTACACAAGCACAAGATGACAAGCCACTTACATTATTATAGATTATAGCACCTCATTCTTAACTTTGATCACCCCGTCAAATCTTGTGAGTAACACAGCTGGCCACAGTACCTTGATTTTTTCCAGCGAGTGGACGCATCTTCTCACCAGTGGCGCCCTGATGTCACCATTCACGTAATCAAACAGCTCATCTGCGGTATACTGTTCATCGATCGGAAGCATACGGAAATTTACTTCTTGATCGGGGTGCTGCTGGATATGTCTCAGAATGATAGTCAAGGCTTGAAATGGGTATGAGTTTCTGATCACCCATAAGCATGCTGGCTTACACCGAAGACCCAGCTCAATTTTCATAATAGACTCATTAACCAACAGCAACGACTGGAGCAGGAGACTATAGCTAGGATCGTCCAAAGAGTCTTCTGAAGACATGACGGAATCCCTCAATATGTTTATGAGTAAAGCTGACTTACGGACTCCCAGCCTTCCCTCAGTGACTAGCCATTTTGCATAGATCGGATCAAGACTAAAATCATTCAAAAGCCTGTGGCTCAGACTGTTCACCAGTCGTTGTGTATCAATAAAGCGTTCAAATATGGAATCATATTCACTCTGAGTGGTAACTCGAATTTTATTCATTTCTGCAATAACGTCTCCCCAAAGGATTCCGTTGTGAAACTGTATGGACAAATAGACTGATGAATGGTGGTCTAGATCAGTTGGGAGGTTTTTGTAGGTCTCGCAGAAATCTCGGTGCATAGTTGGGGGCAGTCCACTGTAGTACGATGACAGCGAGTCCATGTACGAAACGAAACTGTAGAGGATGTATCTTAGGGAGCTTCCAGATGACCGAGTCGAAAAGTTTCTGTGTAGACCGGCTATCTGGCACAAACGGCTGAGAGATGCTATTTCGCTGTTTTTCCCAATGCAGTTTAGAGATCCAACATAGTAAATAAGGGTGGCCGCGACAAGAGAAGACATTGAGGGTGAGTTCATTATGCTTATCCAATGCTTGATATTTTCAATGGCACGAAAGCTATTGAGCTTGACAGTTTCAAAATCTACCTTGTCACTATTATGTTGCATGCTTCCGTAATGATACATATTGGACAGCTGATTCACCAGCGAGCTACTAAAAAGCACTGCTAGTATTTCGAGAAGTCCATTGAGATCTCTGTATTTTTCCTGCGTATTCCACAACTGCCCGTAGTGAATGAAAAACTCCTCCTGATCCACAATGGGAATATATGGATGAATGTTTTCAAAAAAATACACCACAAGAAAGTTGCAGTCCTCTCGAGACGGGAGTCGCTCAACCAGGTCGCGAACACCAGATAAAGGCTTGACAGGCTTTGTAAAGTCAAAGGCAACGCACTGGTCATGGTCGTCGTGACCAAGGCCTACGATCGTATTGACATTGGACTCCTTTTCAGCAAACGGGAAAAAGAAAAGCGAGAAATACTTGGAGTACTCGCCTGTAGAGCTGATGATCAAGTTGAAATTCTTTTTTTCCAGGGTCCTTGTTTCAGGAACAAGCTGTGTATTTGAGTCAAGCCTTTCGGCGCCCAAATCATATTGATTTTTATTTCTTGGCTGGCCCTTGTATTTTCTACTATAAGTTCGCTCTATAATCTGCTCCTCGGTGAAATAGTCACAGTTTTTGCCTAAACGTGCACATCGTCTGCATTCTGGTTTTTCTCTCCCACATTTTCTCTTTGAAAGATAGCACGCTTTGCAAGAAGTTATCAGCCGCTTTCTGGTGATAATCATTGTTTAGCGAGAGTGCGGTCGTAAAATAAATCGAATGATTACCAGCAAACTTTGCGGCCGAGAAATTTGATTATTATCACCGCAGCCACTGCTAATATAAGCGAGCCAGAAAAAAAATACTTGATCACATCATGAGTGATACTTATGTTGTTGTGGGAGCTGGTATAGTTGGACTGTACACGGCATATACGCTGGTGTTTGAAGCAGGCGTCAGTCCAGAAACTGTAACGATAGCCGCAGCGCATTTACCAGGCGACCAGAGCATCAATTACACTTCTCCTTGGGCCGGTGGTAATTTTTCATGCATTAGTCCTGGGGATAAAAAGTCTCTTTCCTACGATCGTTATACGTATACCCACCTGGCGGAGCTCCAAAAAAAGCTTGGAGGTCCGTCATGTGGTCTGGACATGAGGCCAGCTACAGACTATTTCCACAAGTATCCTCCTGCCAAGAAAATGGAGTCTTTAAAGGCGTACGTGAAAGACTTTCGCATTCTTGAAAAAAGTGCACTGCCTACGGGAATTGTTTTTGGAATCAGCTATACTACCTGGAACTTCAATTGTCCACTGTTCCTGCAAAACTTGGCCCTGTACCTGGAAAAGCTTGGCGTTACTATCATCAAAAAGAAACTTGAACATCTGTCGCAAGCCTTCTTATCACCAAACACTAAGGTCGTTCTCAACTGCACCGGAATTGGCGCAATAACCTTGGGCGGTGTGAAAGACACCAATGTGTATCCTACGCGCGGGCAGGTCGTGGTTGTCAAAGCTCCACATATTCAATTCAACATGTGTTTGTGGACAAACGAATCTGCAACCTACATTATTCCGCGGCCAAACTCAAACGGAGAACTTGTGATGGGAGGTTTTTTGCAAAAGGGTATCAGCACTGGCGACACCTTTAAACACGAAACCGAGGATATCATCAAAAGGGCAACCACTATGGCCCCACTAATTCTAGAAAAGCCTCTGGACGTGGTGAGAGTGGCTGCAGGACTTAGACCCTCGCGTCATGGAGGGCCTCGGATTGAGGTCGAGGAAGTGGAAGACGGAAAATTTGTCGTCCATAATTATGGAGCCTCCGGATACGGATATCAGGGGGGATGGGGCATGGCCCACGATGCGGTCAGATTACTTATCAAAGCGCAACGGGGAAGCTCGGCGGCGTTATAGCGGGGATAGTTTCTTATCGGAATACTAAAAATTAAAAAGAACCGGGTATTGCGGCCGAATCAGGTAAATGTAAGTCGAAGAGATCCCTTTTTCACAACAATATGCATGATAAAAAATTTGTCCGATAAGCGATAATGTGAATATATAATAAGGTCATCAACGTGCGCCGAAAAAGGTCGAGGAGGTTTTTTAGCGTCCAGATTTTATAATTTTAGGAAATGACGACTGAGGAAAAGACACCTACTCATGTTAGCCAAGATGCTGCAACGTCTTTGGAGAGTGGACTAATGCCAGAGATCAGCAAGATGGATAACGTTGCCGTTGAAAAGAAAGATGCGGTTTTGTCCAAGAAAATGTATCTCATCAACAACGCGATTGATGAAATTGGGTTTACCTGGTACCACGCGAAACTCTTCTGCATTGCAGGATACGGGTATTCTGTCGACTCTCAAATGGAAATGATTCAGTCCTCTGTCCACAAGTATGTCGCGTATCAGTTTGGAACTGGATTCCCTATAGACACTGAAATTTCGTATGTTGGACTAATTATTGGATCGATTTTCTGGGGTTTCGGTGGCGACCTTATTGGAAGAAGATTATGCTTCAACACGTCTTTGCTTCTGACTTCTATGTTTGGATTTTTGGCCGGTGGTATGAGTTCCATGTCCACCTACTGCATTTTTGTGGCTCTCGCTAATTTCAGCGCGGGTGGAAACTTGGCAATGGACGTTGCTGTGTTTCTGGAGTATCTCCCATTTAAGTACCAGTACTTGAACACTGTCATGGCCGCATGGTGGGGAGTCGGTCAAACAACCACCAACCTTTTGGCCTGGGCATTTCTGCCAAATTTCTCTTGCAGTAGCGCAGACTACTGTCCTTCAAGCATCAACAGAGGCTGGAGATACACCTGGTATGTCAACAGTGCGATTGTTTTGTTTTCTGGTTTGCTTCGCCTCTTCTGGTTCAAACTTGACGAAACTCCTAAATTCTTGGTGTCGGTTGGAAGAGATGCCGAAGCCGTTGAAAATTTGCAGAAACTTGCGAGAAAGTACAATAGAAAATGCTCTTTGACATTGGAGCAGCTTCAGGAGTGTGGTGACATATCCTCTGAATACTACACAGCCTCTGAAGACGGGTGGGATCCAAAGAAAATTCTTTCGATTGTCCGTCACCACTGCAAGATTCTTTACCAAGACAAGATTAACGCATGGTCCACAAGCTTGGTTTTACTCTCATGGCTCTTCATCGGAATCTCGTACAGTGTTTTCTACAACTTCCTCTATATCTACATTGCGTCTCATGGAGGAGATACGGGAAGTTCCACCTATATCGTCTACAGAAACTCGTCTCTGGCAAACTTTGTTGGCATTTTCGGTCCTATAGTTGCGGGATATATCATTCTTATTCCAAAGGTTGGCAGAAGATATACGATGAGTTTTGGAGCTGTTGCTACCATGGCAATTTTGTTCGGCTACACAACTGTGCGGACAGCGTCAGGAGATGCAGGGTTCAGTTCTGCTACCTACTTCTTCATCAACATTTACTATGGATGCTTGTATGCTTACACGCCAGAGGTGCTTCCAGCACAAGCCCGGGGTACGGGTGTCGGACTTGCTTTGGTGGCTGCAAGAGTCTCTGGAGCTTTTTCGCCAGTCACTTATTGGTATGGAGAGCAATCAGGTTCTTCGATTCCAATTTGGGTTTGTGGAGGGATCATTGGATCTTTGGGCATAATATCGGCTCTGCTTCCATTCGAGCCATCGAAACAACGTTCTGTTTAGTCTATAAATATTAAAAAAATGCTGTTTTATATTTTAGCGAGCACTCAGTCAAACATGAGCTCCTTCAAGTTAAATGGTTCCTCAAATAGCGAGTCCCACGACTCCTTGGCAGAATCCGGGAATGGATTCAAGGGTCGTATACTATGCACGGCGGAGACGTTGCTGGCTGCGCTTAAGCCAAATGCGGGGGTGTCCGGCACCTCCTGTGTAATTGCTTTGTCTTCTATCAACGGAATAGCTCCATTATGAGAAAGAAGGGAGATAGATTCTGAGTCAAAGGGTCCAAAATGCGAGCCGCAATCAAATAAGAATTTGTTTTCCAGACTTCCTCCGCCAATTACCTGCTCAATAGTGTTGTGATGTACTGTCTCTAGAATTTGCATGGCGCTTCGCGCTGGCGGACAATGGATCTCCAGTTTTTGTAGTAGGTCTTTGGTTACTTCCATGGTATGTTCGAGCTTCTCGATTGTGTCTGCGAATAGCCGGAGCTGTGCACAGTTTATGAAACAATAAAGCACCGTCAACCCTGACTGATAAATGGAGTAGACGGATAGGTATCTATAGTTAATTCTTCGAGTCTGGCTCAGAACCTCGTAAGTAGCTAGTATCTTGATGCTGCTCTCAAACAAGCTCATAAACTCATTGAATGTGAGACACTCGGGCGACATATTGTCTGGCTTGTAAAGTCTCTGTAACTGTTGAAAATATGTGAGTATCAAAAAATTCTTGGAAGATACAAAAGCTTGCTTTACTGCTGAATTTGAACTGTTTTCAAACTGTAGAGCTTGGACAAGCCACGAGTTCAACTCTACATGCATCTCATGTCTCCAATTTGCAACGGATTTACTCATATTTGACAAAGCTTTCTTGCTGCTGAACTGTTGAATCATTGACTGCAGCTTTCGAATCTTGAAGAATAGTGACGAAATGGCAAGCCTGTGCTCACCCACAGACACCTCGTCAAGGTTAGTTGTGATATCTGTGTCATTTAAGCCGAAAGGTTTATTAACATAGCAGCATATTTGGCGGTCGAGCGCGTAGCAGCACCAGAAGAGTCTCCTATAATAGCTGCTCCCAATATCTTTCACCACATGCTCCTCGTGCAAGTCCATGTCGATACATAATCTCATTGCGTTTGCTATGACATACCATATTCCTGGAGAAACGGGTTTCAAAAGACCAAAGCAGCATATTAGAAGAAGGGACTGTAGGATCTGCATTTGGGAGCTGAAGTCACGATTGTCTGTTCCTGGAGAAATGGTCTTCGCTAGGAAAATCTTTAGTTGCACGATTGAGCTCAGGTAGAAGCTCTGAGATTTATCGCTCATGTCGCCTGTGATTGCGGTCCCAATGGCAAGTGTTATGTAGAGTACGAAAAGCTCCCAGTGAGACAGACTATCAGGAGACTGATAATGCTTGGAGCTCAATTTGTACAAGATGGTTTCGTCTTCAACTATTGGATGCTGTATCCAGGCTATTTGGTAGTAGTTGGAGATCAGCTGTTCGCATTCTGCCTTTGAGGGTGGGAGCGGCTCCCATCTGTCTAGGGGCTGATTTGAGTCAATTTTGCCATAGATGGAAATTTTCGTAAGCTCGTTGTCAACCGTTGGAGAGCTGCTTCTGAACGGAATCATTGAGAGCACAGTTAAGTGGCTCATCGCCGCTACAGATGGACTATTCACAGCACCAAAACTCTCAAATATGCTTGCATATTTTGCTAGTCTGTCTTCCAGAAGCTCTACTCGTTTTTCAAGCATTCTGATGGACGGCTCTTCCATTGGAAGGGGGCAAAACACATCTGGATAATCGGCTCTTGGTCTGAGCTGTCTTGTCGAAGAGTCAAGTACCATACACTCCACGCCAAGCCGACCGCATCTAGAGCACCTGGGATACTTAAAGTCGCATTTGTGCTTTAATGAACGGCATTTTTGACATGCCGTTTTCGATCTGACTGGACCCATTAATTAAGATTTTAATTTTAATTATATCTTTTTTTTATAGCTCCATGCGGCCCGAGGAGTCGGCCCGAGTCGGCTAGCATATTCGGTCGCTGATAACTGATTGTATAAAAAGAAGATAAATTCCTCGCCTCGATAATTCCTAGTGACATTCGAGACTATGACTTACGTTGAGCGGACCATACCCAAGATCAGCCTGAAGAATAAAGACCAGCGAAGAGAGGAGATTAAGGATCAGCTTTTTTATGCAGCCAAAAATATTGGCTTTTTCACTCTCTGTGAACAGGATTGTCCGTCGCGAGACGACATTGAAGAGATGTTTCAGCTCTCTCAGAAATTCTTTGGCCTTCCCCATGATGCCAAAATGAAAACGCCTCATATCAAGTTACTGAATTCGGGATTTGAGTCTTGCTCCCAGATTAGACCTTCCACCGGCACCGCAGATCAAAAAGAGTCTTTGCAATTACAATATCACAGAATCAATCAGAACTGGCCAGCTGAAGAGGATGTTGGTAGGGAATGGAGAGAGAAAACAAAAGCTTTCATGGAGAAATGTCAGCAACTGAGCAATTTCGTGATGGAGTTGTTTGCCGAGGCTTTAGGATATCCGACGGACTTTTTCACAAAAGCCCATATCATCAGTTCCGATACAGCTCAGACAACTTTGAGACTTCTGCACTACTTCGATACCAGCGGCAAGAAGTTTGATGGCAACTTCTGGAGAGCAGGACCGCACACGGATTTTGACTGTTTGACTCTTTTATTCCAACGAACTGGTGACCATGGCTTAGAAGTGTGTCCGGGTCGCGAAGCTCACACGGACTTTGGCTACTCAGATAAATGGACACCTGTTCCGTCCAAAACTGGCGATATTGTGATCAACATTGGAGACATGCTGATGTCCTGGTCAGACGATATTTTGAAATCTAATTTTCACAGAGTTCGACTTCCTACTCCAGACGAGAACCAAGGGGACCGCTACACCATTGCATTCTTCAACCAAGCTAATACTGATGTTGTCATTCAGGGCCCTCTGAAAAAGTACCCCCCAGTGACCGGAAAGGAGTTCATCGAAGAGGCGATGAGGAAAAATTTCGAGAGGCTGCAGAACGGTGCCTAAGTTTTTTTCTTTTGTATCTAGTTACGATGCATGAATTATTTTATCATATCTATTCAGATAAGCTAATTGAGGTAATCGGCTTCATCCGACACTTAAAAACTTTTCCGTTTTTCTCGATAACCAATTTATTTCACGTCAATGCAGCAGGTTTCCTGGGAAAAGCTACAAGCTAAAGGCAACCCATTACTCTCCCCAGCTTACAAAAGTAACGGCCACGTTTTTACATCCGGAAACGTCGGTAGTCGACCAGACGGAACGTTTCCGTCGGATGTCGCTGAACAGACGAAATTGGCAATTCAAAAACTGGAGAAAGTCCTTCAGGCATCCGATTCCTCTCTTTCTCAAGTTCTGAAGGTCCTTTTGTTCATTGCCAATCCAAAGGACGCTGCCACTGTCAACTCTGTATACAAAGACTACTTTCCTCACATGCCTTCCAGATCTTGTGTTGTTGTGGGGTTCCCAAACAAGCAAGTGAAAGTTGAACTCGAGTGTGTAGCCAGCTACAACCAGAGAGATTCAAAGTTATAAACTAATTGACCAGGATCTACTCCTAAATATTGGTCAAAATTTTTTATTCAAGCTACAATCGTGTATCATCTAAACTGTTACAGAACATAGCACTGACCTGCTCAGCCGTAGGTATCTAGTTGGCTTCAAAAGTTGGCTTCCAATCCCAGTAAAATTTGATTTCTTTAGGTGCATCGTCTGGGAGCTCACAGGCCGACGCATAGTCAATTTCTGGAGTGATAATGTCTAGGAAATCCTCTAGTGGACAGGAGTAGCCTGGCCCTGAGGAACATCCTGGAACAGGATACACCTTGTCGTTTAAAATGGTTCTCACGAAAGAGGTATCAGAACAGTTCAGCTTCTCGACAATAAGTCTGGCTCCTTGAGGAACGAGTTCAGAGGTTTTGAAACTTCTGTGGAAATCGACATCTTCAGTTCCCAACTCGGTGTCAGTGATGAGCCCAAGAGCAGTAATATAGTTCAACAAGTCGTTGTCGTGGGAGAACGAAAACCAAAGTTTGCCGTCTTCTTGCAGCAACTTCGCGGTAGCATTGGCATAGACGCCACCAGCCACGGCACTCATGTTGTAGCCCGGTCCGAATTGGTAAAATTTGGTGACATCGTTATCATATTGGAAGGCAATAAAGGCCTCTCTCGAAACGGCGTCGCAAAAGTTCGATTGTCCCTTAACATTCGTTTCGTACGCACAGTAGGCTCCCATGGTGGAAATGTCATCAGCGGTGATATTGAAGCCGGGAGATAGCTCATTCAATCTGTCTGCTTCTCTTTGGAAGATCTCGTCACCAAACGAGTAATCGTATAAAGAATCGTTGAATGTTGGACAGTTGGACTTGGTGGTCAGAGTGTTCGCACCTCTGCTGGTATCCGTCTCGTTGATGACCTGGATGGAACAACTGTCGTCATAGTCCAGCCCGAAAAAGCCACGGCCAAAAAATCTTGCGGTTTCAACAACTCTGTCCTGGCTTGCAGCAAATATAGGCAAAACTTCGCTTGTATTCACTAACGAGTCATACCTTTCTCTAAGATAGGTACCAAACTTGAAGGCATGAAGCAAACCCGAGTACATGCCCTTTGTAGTTTCAAGTTCATAGTTATTTGTGTCTGGAACAAAATATTCCAGATCCTCAACAAAGGCCAGAGGTCCTTTGTAGTTGGTAACGTTGGCATTCTTGAGTTTCTTGTAAAGATTGTTAAACTTCTCTCCAGTGCTTTCGGTTGGATACCTCTCTCCGTGTCTCATGAATAATTGAGCTTGTTCAATTTCACAGTGCGGAGGAGTTTCCAGTGGAACGCCGAACCCGCTATGTTCAACAAAGGGTCCAGCGCCGGTCATGAACTTTAGTAAGTTGTACTGATCGGAGGCAACCTGGTCGTAGCCAGGGTGCAAGATAAGGCCATTGGCCACGATGGCGCCCAGAGTAAGAGTCGTTGCAAAGGAAAACATTGGGGTTAAGAGTGAGGTAGATTGACCATATTTATAGTGGAGTATCGAGGATTATTTTATTATTTTACTTACCAATCCCGGTGAATATATTGCATGCAGGATTGTAGTCCACGAGAATTTTTAGCACGTGTGATAAATTAGGCCCATTATGGCCGAAAACTACTATACAACATCCCAATTCTCGCTCTATTGCCTCGAAAGCGCTCGTGCTTCCTGCAGCTTGCATATTATTACCGTAAACGAACTCTCGCTCATACCCGGATATGTCTTTGGCGATGGTCGATCATAGAGGATATATAAAGTTCTTGTTTTGGAGATCTGTGAGGTCGAGATTAGCAATGTCGACTGCCTCCTCAATCGTCTTTCCCGTCTCTGGGTCTTTCACCAAAACGACTCCCTTGACGCTGTCATCATCTCTTGCTGCCAGTCTCTCCTTATTTCTAGCTTTGAGGATGTAGTGGATCACAAACGCAACCACAGTTGTTCCAAACCATGAGAGCACAATTTGGATAGTCCAAGCAGCATAGTACCGTGGTCCCGTACCGTGATCAGAGTATCCTTGCTTGCCCTTCCAAAGCTGCGGCGAGATAATGTTTGAGACACCGTAAGACACCATCAGCATCAGGTGCCTTACATAACGTTTGGTGTTACCACTGGCAGCAGCAGTACTCCATCCCAGGATGACAATGTAGGCCAGTGCAAATGTGTTTCCCGCAAGCACCAGCATCGCAAGCAATGCGAGCTTGTTGCTCCAGGGAATTGTCACCATAGCGATACCACTAGCCACTGCCGGCATGCAGCCCAAGAAAGTGGCCCAATGGCTCTGGTTGGGGAAATAATAGATGAAGACGGATCCAAATATCATGTAAGCCCAGGAGAACCCTGCTCCGGCAACGCTGACAAGAGTGGAGCCCAAGTTGGACACGCCCAAGCCGACATAGAGAAGATTTTGCTGGTATGCGAGGTTGTTCGATAACATGACCAAGAACATTGCAAGCGAAAAGAGCCAGGAAAGAGGGTCACGAAGGCACTCGACAATTTGGTCGCGCTTGATCACAGTTTGCGTAATGGATGAAGAGCTTGTGGCGTGAACCTTTTTGATGAGAAAGTATTTCTCTCTCGTCGTGAGAAATTTTGCTGTTGTAGGATCTGCAGGGTACCAAACCCAGCACACAGCAGTAACAACCAACGTCATACCACCAGTAATGATCATGAAGATCTTCCATGGTGGAATGGTTCCTGTTGCGTACAGAACTCCATAGGCAATGAAACCTGCGATAATATTTGGCGGACCAACACAGCTAACCCAGAAAATAGGCTGGATCGTGGCTCTTTGTTGGGGAGTGAAAAACTGAAGCATGGTCACCTCCAATGCGGGCACAACCACACTTTCTGTGACACCAAGCAGCAGACGGAGGAAAATTAAACCGGCAAAATTGTAAGCGGCACAGTGGCAGAAAACTAAGATGGCCCAGACAAAGAGCGTAACAGTCAGGAAATATCTTTGATTGACCTTTTGCAGCACAAAGTTCAAGGCCTGGCCCACAGTATACCCCGTGTAGAAAATGGAGTTCAAGTCATCGTACTCCGCAGTTCCGATTCCTGTTGAGTCATATAGTCCGAGAATCGATGCATAAGATAAGGTAGCTTTGTCAATATACAGCATGGTGTTGATGATAGAGACAAGCGAAATAACGGCAACCAGCACCTTCTTTGTCATATGGGAGTCCTCTTCGTCTGTGAGCGGCGAGTTCCTGAATTCCTCATCGTGGAGCTCAAGGAACGCTAACGTGCCGTCTGCGTTTTTTTGGTCCACGACAGCGGGCACTTTTTCGCCATCTGAAAGGATCTTGGTCACAGAAGCTGTGCGCGAGATAGAAGCCTCCTTGGACATTTTGATGAACAATTCTCAGCAGATCGAAAGCGCATTATATACTGCCCAAACGATTGATCGAAATAAAGGTGTGGCTCGCATCACACCACGGAGAAGAATTGCTTAAAACGGATAAAGAAAAAAGAACTCTTGCACCGCCGTACGCACAGCCGTGGAAGACCGGAATTCGGGACAGAGAATAACGTTTCTGCCGTTCAAGCACTATGCTGTATGAGTAGCTGCCATAGTCTGAAGACAAGGAAACCCATTTACTGCAGCTGATGACCTCAAAGGAGGAATTCAAAGCGAGTAAATTTTCTCCGAGTTTTTTTTTTACGAAATCTGTCATCGAAGCGTTGACTTAATTGCATAAACGGGATCAAATCATGAAAATACATTATAATAGAAGCCACAGCTGGCAGGGTCCGCAAGCCGGCACATGGGCCGAGGTAAGGCTACACCAGTAAGAAATCTGTATGCAAGTCATGAATGATGCTGGTACATCGCAACATGATCGGAGACCCACACCCCGTGTTCCCTAAAAAGAGAAGCAAGTCCGAAGGACACAGATCAAACTGTGGCTGGAAAGGTGTAGCCAATTTGCTTCAATCATATAAGTCTGTTGCGCTTCACAATGGATCCTCGAACTGGGTCAGCTGTGAAGTCGTTAAAACAGCCTTGGGACGTAGGGATGAAAAATAACTGCTATGTAAACAAGGGGTTTAAATAGTATCATGCAGAGCACCCCCGAATTGTACTCAGTACGGTAAAATACAACAAAGCTTGGCGAAAATATATTCATGAAATTTTTCACCCCCAACTGAGCCTTGCAGTTGATGATTATCACGAAGCCAGACAACTTTAAATGCCTCATAGATCGCAGCCTCTAGTCTTTTGTCCACTCTGCTGCGCGTAGACGCATATCGGTGTAATATGTTCATAGATGTGTAATTTACCAATCTCCCAAAGTACTAGCCAATAACACTCAATGGAAGTCGAGAAATGGGATTAGCATGGTTTTTGATGACATGAGCTAAGTGACACCCATTTCAAATCAACACGGGATAATTGTCCCCTTGTATAGCGTCATGCGGTTTTGATTGCAGAGAGTTTCAGTTATGTATACCCTACTACTAGACTGTCTTGAGAGAATTTAGGGCCCTAATTCATCATCTTCGGGTCGATATTTAATCTTATCAATACATTTCGACTTGGAACGGATACCCTCGTTATCTCTTTGTGGGCTAGGCAAAATACCAGGCAACATTCACTATACATATGGGACACTTCACAAAAACTCAAAACAATCTCATAAAGAATGTAGGGAAACCATAAAGATGAAATGCCAACTATGAGTCTCCCAAATCACTGGTCTCGGCTGTTTTCAAATCATCAATCCAACTGCGGCCAAAAGGCAAGCGACAATTACTCGTGTCCGTTATTACATTTAAAAAAGGAAGAACTCGACTTGAAATAGAGCCAAATGAATGACACGTAGATTCTGAATTGCCATGAAAATTTTGGTTGGGGTTAGACCTATGTGGGAGAATATCATAAGCGAGGTGAAGCTAGGTGCTCCACGAATCCTCACTATTGAAAGATATGGCTTGCGTGACTAATGCGTTGCCTATTTGACCCCTAATTTAAAATGAGACAGAATAGGATCTGCCAACGGACCAAGTTTTGGTCTGCTTAACTCAGATTGCCCCTATCTGATGCAAGAAAAGATTGTGCCAGTTCGTTACATCAGTGGCTCTTACTGGAAAATTCACACGCACTGGTTGAGCAATGAAATGTGGAGATTTCCCTGATATTTGCATTATCTCATCTAATAAGATATGTACCATTGGCAAGATTCTCGCTGATTCCGGACGAGTTTCTGGCGGAGGAGGACCACGCGCGGTCGCACCAGATCACGGCGCGCGGGTTCTCGCGGG